GGCACAGCAGACCTCTCCTGTCTTGCCCACTGCTCCCCTCAGCAGTGTGTTTCAGTCAGTCTACCTGTTCTGCTCCCCACTCTGTCTCTGATGAATCCTCTCGCCCTCCCGTGCCTCTGGCCTATACCCCAGTTCTTGTATAAAAATAAATCTTTTTTTAAAAATTTAAAAAAAAAGAATGAAGAAGAATTTTAAAAATTAAAATGTTATGCCTCAGGGGAATCTGGTAAGATGTCAACAGAGTGAAGACATCAGGCTCACCCAATAAAATGGACACAAAACAAAGCTAAACCCCGCTACGGAAAAACTGGTTATCAGCATACATAATAGGAGCATCAGCCTAAGGGAAAGGGGTGTGTAAAACTCCAAGTAACTTTGTTTAATGTAAAAATGAGGCAGTACAAGCTACAAGAGGGAGGAGCTGCAGCAGTGCAAAGCCTCCTACATCTAATGACTTGGGCATATGCCAACATCAGGACTACCCAGCACTGCCCTATCTAAGGCCATGCACGAGGAGGTAGCTAGGTGGAGGGTGCATTGCAGGAGAGAGCGAGGATCACTGGTTTGAAACTGAGGTTCATAATACAGAACAGTTGTAGTCTGAAACAGTTCAGAGCACCTGATTTCCTTATAGAAGAGACTACTACTAAAGACCAAAACTGACATATCCAAAACTCTTGCCACACCCTGGCCCCCTCCAGGTTGAAACATCCAAAACATCTGCCACCACCTATCGCAGTTTGAGATATCTGAAACACCTGCAGTCTGACTAAGAAGCACTTTACAACAGGAATTTCAAACTCCTGAGTCTACTAGAGATGATACTTTGATGCTTATTGCTCCAAGACCTCTTCTAAATCTACTACACCTTGCTGGTAACCATCACCTGACTACTCCAAAAACTACAGAACAGCAGTTGAAAATTTATCCTTACTAAATGTTGGGTAAGTAAATTAATCAGGCTTTTTGTACACTAGCCTCTGTGACTATCACCAGCAGCCATAGTCATGTTGATGCAAGAGGCACTTGGGAGCATGGGCATGGGGTATGCATGCCTGACTATGGACATTTGAGCCTAGAGGCCAGTGTTATAAAGGCAGTGTCACTGAGGGGACAGCAAGGGGAGGATGGCTGCAAGAGGACCAGTGACTACAGAAGAGGTAAGACCATGAGAGAATGCCAGAGAGAGCCCAGAGAAAGTGTAAGGATTTGTGGGGGGCTGGGAGGCTATCTTGCCTGCCTGCCTGCCTCCCAGCTCCCCCTGCCCCCCCCCCCATCCCTTGGCCTGTGACTGCCTCCTTGCATACCAGCCCTGCCTGGTGTACCTCTGTACCTGGCTATCTGAGAGAGCATTAAAACCTGAAAAATTCACCAAGTGCTCCAGGACTCTCCTTCATCTGCCTGTCTGAATCCATAGTGAACCTACCCTGTGCTTGCTGGCACTACACTAAATCACATACAAAATTGAAAATGAGGAGATAGAAGAACACAGTAAAAATGCCTAAAAGGAAAACCAAATCAGTGGAGTTATGAAGCATGATAGAAGGGTAATTTGGGGCAACAATACTGGCAACATTGATGGAACTTAAAAAAAAAACAACAACAATGGAGGATATAAATCAACAACAGAATAAAGATAATGAATATGAGTTGGCTACATTCAGAAATAAAGGAGTTAAGAAGCACTATAGTTGATTTTAAAAATACAACTGTCTTAACAGCAGAGAAACAGTACAATGGAGAGAATTAATAAACTTGAAAACACAATATTATAGAACACAGAATAGCACAAAGTAGAGAAAAAAGAATTTAAAAAGATAAAAACGTTTATGAGTTCTCTGAACATCTTAAAATGATGTAGCATCCATATCATGGGGATCACAGAAGCAAAGAAAAGCATAGACCAAAGAGTACCAAGCAAGATACTTGATAGACCTGTACTAAGATTCATAACAGTAAAGATGTCAAGCATCAATGATAAGGATAAAATACTTAAAAAGTTGAGAGAAAAAGTAGTAATATATAAGGGAACATCAATCAAACTATCAGCATATTTTTCAACAGAAACATTACAAGCACAAAGGAAAGAGGTATTCAAGTACTTAAGAAAAAGACTTTCAGAAGAATTGTCTACCAGCAAAATTAACACTCAAAAGTAAGCTAAAATAATTTATCAACATTAAGCCACATATGAAAGAAATCCTTACAAAGCAAAAGAACAATGAATATCAAGGAAGACAATACCTAACATGGAGGAGAGAAAAAGTAACAGAGGGCCTCCCTGGTGGCACAGTGATTAAAGCACAGCTGTCAGTGCTATCAAGCTATCACCTGCCACTACAGCATGAGTTTGATCCCCTGCCAGGGAGCTAACCCACATGGCACAGTAGAACTCTCCTTTTTCACCAGCTGTTCCCCTCAGCAGTGCATATCAGTAGATCAGCCTGTTCTGCTCTCCACTCTGTCTCTGGTGAATCCTCTCACCTTGCCATCTCTGGCATGCACCCCAGTTCTTGTATGCATAAATAAATAAATAAATCTTAAAAAAATTAAATAAGGGCTTCCCCTGGTGGTGCAGGCAGTTAAGCCCAGTGCTGTGAAGCTGTCTGCAGCCTCTGCAGTGCTGGTTAGATCCCAGCCGACTTGCAAGGGTCCCACATGGCACGGCAGGCCTCTCCTGTCATGCCCGCTGCTCTCCTCAGCAGTGTACTTCATCTGTCTGCCTGTTCTGTTCCCCACTCTCTCTCTGGTGAATCCTCTCTCCCTCCTGCACATCTGGCCTATACCCTGGTTCTTATATAAATAAATAAAATAAATAAATAAATAAAACAAAAAAGCAGAAAACTATTAATATGTGGGTGTCAAATAACATATTCTGCTTAATAGCAATTGGATAAAAGAGGATATCAAATCAGAAATTAAAAAATCATTAAGCTAATGAAAATGATGAGATAAGTCACCAGAATCTAGGAGGTGCAGCAAAAGCAGTCTTAAGGGGAAAGATAATTGCCATACTAAAAAACAAAAATTCCAAACAACCTAATATCACATCTGAAGCAACTTGAAAAAGAGGAACAAGGGCCTCACTGGTTGCCTAGGGGTTAAGTCTCAGCATTACCACCACTATGGCCCACCATAACAACCTGAATTCCATCCCAGTCATGCAACTAAACCACATGGCACAGCAGACCTCTCCTGTCTCACCCACTGCTCCCCTTGGCAGTATGTTTCAATATCTGCCCATTCTGTTCCCTATTCTGTTTCTGGTGAATCACCCCACCCCCCTACCTGCACCCCTGGCCTACATCCCAGTTGTTCTATCAAAAATAAATAAATTTTTAAAAATCTTAAATGTACTGCCTTAGCATTAAAAAAAAAGAGAGAAATAAATAAGACCTAAGTCCTAAGTTAGCAGAGGGAAGAAAATAATAAAAAATAAAGAATGAAAATGAAATAGAGATTAAAAAACTATAAGAAATCAGTGAAACCAAAAGCTATTTCTTTGAGGAGATAAACAGGAGAAATTCCTAGCTAGAATAGGGAAAAGAGAGAAAATAAAGAATCACAAATCAAAAAGGAGAAATTACGACAGATAGTACAGAAATACAAAAGTGTACTATAGTTGAAAGAATACTGCATGAACCAAAATGCAAGAAACATTTGCATTTTTGTTCAGGAAAGTCATTTAACTTCATTTACTAACTTCCAAATTAAAAGGGTTAGATAACCAGGGAGACTCTCTAATTGCAGATCATGCACTGGAAATATAACATCAGAAAAGTCAGACCTGAGTAGGACAGACACAATAGATTGAAGTGAAGACTCCCCCCAAGAGTTTGAGAAAGCAGGCAGTGTGGTTTATAAATTCTCGACTGGAAAAATACAGAGTAAGAATTCGACAATGTGTTGGACAAGAACCCAGGATTTCCCAAAATTCTGGGCAAAATTGAGACAAGAAATCTGAGTAATGGCACAGAGCACCAGCAATAGGGCTTAACAACCTAGCAATATTTTCTACTCTATGTAGCAAAGGCAGGATCTGACTGTACACATGGAATTTAGATAGGCACTTCAGGTAGAATACAGTATAGAAAAATGCAGTTCCAGAAACATGGATGTTTCATTGACAAAATACTGTAATGCAACTCAAAAAGAACATTTAGTTTTGGGAGTCAATGTACTTCTCAAATAGCACTATCCAGTGGAATTTTCTGAAATGTCCTGTATTTACTTTGTTCAACATGGTAGCCACTGGATGGCTATATGGGACTACTAAGCACTGGAAATATTGCAAGTACAACTGAGGAACTGAATTTTTAAATTTTACTTAATTTTAACTTAAATAGTGACATATGGCTAGTGGCTACTATTTTTAGCAACACAGGAAAGGTCTGACCAGGAAAGGTCCTGTTGTTGGTCTCTGTATGGTCACAAAACATACATAATAAAAAATCTATTTGTAAAATATGAAAAATATTCATTTTTCTTTGAAATTTGTATGTATTTCTGTTGGAAGTAGTAACTTAATACTTCCATAAGAAGCAAATAAACTCTAAAAATTTTACAGGAATTCATGCCCTTCCAGAGTAAACAGAGATTAACCACATTCTTGGTTCAGTCTGAAGATGCATTTATCTAAGATGAACAGAAATCACCTTGGCCCCAAGTAACCTTTTAAACTGAGGACAAAGTGAGATGCTCCAACTGCTGGGTTGACCTGAGAGTTCTTGGGCTTGCCTTATCATAAGCTAGGCTAGATCTGGGCTCTGGAATTTGGGAAGACATAGCTCTTCTTTCACTGGCACTCATGACAAAATCAGTTAATTCAGACAAGATATTCATAATCATAGCGTGTCCCTAAGTTTCCCCTAAGTGCAATAAGTAAGAGTCCTATAAAACACTTAAATTACAAATTTCTTGCTTAAGACCTACAAATCCTGAATATTCCAATTTATTCCTATGCTGGCCCAATTAAGAAAAGAAAGATAACCTAAAGCCAAAACAGTTTTATTGGTTATATACACACACAAAAAATGTATGCAACTTACAAGTATTCAATATAAAAAAGGCTCAGTATGAGCTGTTCTTCTTTCACCCTAAGAAAAGTATATCAACTTCAAACACAGTGGATTCTAATTTTAAGTTTACATACTAAACATACTCAAAAGAAGTCTCTGCTTTTTAGGAAATTGGACAAAACCTATTCAAAGTAAGTGGAATGAAAAAAAAAATTACAACTGGGATATCCTTATATTAACATCATCTATTATTTTTGTATGACATGAACAGACCAAACATTCAAAATTCAAATATAAAGCTAATATTTTTTTCAGCCTCATTGATATATAATTGACAAATCAATCTCTTTAATAAAGAAAAACATACTCTGAAGTTATCAGGTACCAATTTTTTTAAACTTTTAACTAAGAGTTTTACCAACTCCGTTCAAACCATAAAACACAAAATTTTAAAAATATGGATTTTTCTGTTTACTAAGCTCAAGATTTTTTCCTTCTTCAAATCCTCTAAATCCAAATTATAAGAAAATAATTCACTCTGGCCACTGAGAACATTTATGCACAGTAATATGATCAGAACATTTACTCCTTTAATTAACATATTCCCATTCTAATCAAATACCAGGAATATAGGAGTAAGTGAATATTATTTTTCTGCCAAGCCTATGACAGAGATGTGACAAAATTTACATGAGAAACTTAAACAATGAGGAAGGCCCCCATGGCAGGGGAAATGAGCCATCTTTACAGCCTCTGGAACAAACAGCAGATCTCTAAGGCTGATCTAGAAAAGGATTTACCCAGGAATCAGTCTTCTCCAAAGCTGGACAAGGAGGAAGTGTGGAAAGCACAGCTTTTCTAAAAGTATGAAAGGTGTCACTTGGAGACACTCCAGCTTCCTGAGGAAGGGAAGGAGACAATGAATCATCTTGTATTACGCATTTTAAATGTTCCTTGTTTTCTACCATCAGCAACTGTTCTATCTCCTCTTTTAAAGATAAATTTGTCTGAAACTCATGCTTGGGTACCTGAAGTTGTTCTTTTTGAGTTGTTCTCTCTTCCTCCAACGCCTCTGACTCCAGGCAAGTGAGTTTGTTACTGGATGCCTCACTGGCTTCTCCCTCCTTCATGGGATGTAGATGCTGAGGTTCTGTTGTTTTAGGTTCTTCTTTCAGCAAATTTATATCCTCATGAGAGGTAAAACTTGGACCTTCGTGAAGCCTAGAATTTTTACAACGTAAGAAACCTCTTACTCTTTCCCCTTTCTCTGCTGTCTCTGTCACTGTTTTTTTTGGATAGAGCACTGTCCTTATTAGGAGTCCCTGTGCATTCACCCTATATTCTTTGGCAGCTCGCTCTCTACGCTGCTTCTGGAAGCTTGTAAGTTGAAGCAGTTCCTCTGGAAGATCCATACACGTAGGCTAAGAAAAGAAAATGAACACAGTGTACTATAACTAAACTTCTGACTATGGTCCTTATAATTACTTCTACAGTAATGAAATGTTCGGCAATGGTAGGTCTATTCAAACGTGTTCTTATAGCACCCTCTGGTGTCTCCAACTATAGGGCTTTTTTCTGGTGATTTAAATATTTGGAATCCACAAATGTGTGTGTGTTGCACATGTGCAAAAAGATTATACAATGGCAAGTGAGTTTCTTTTTAACCTGGACACAGTTGCCTTAGCAGGTGCATTCTCTAAAAAGCAGTTTCTTGCATAGCCTCCCAGAGGTAGTCTGTGTATATATGAGCATATTTGTGAGTAATGTGTGTATATCTCCATTGTATGTATGGGATAGGAATGTGTGTGTGTGTGTATATACACGCGTATATATTTACATATATCTCTTACTATTTATCTTTTCATTGGGTTATATTTGTCAATTTTTATTTTACCCCAACTTTTTATTTGATAACTCTTTCTAAAATCATTTTTTTTTATTTTTTTTTTTTAATAGAGGCATGCTTTATTTATTTATTTATTTATTTATTTATTTGTTCGTTCGTTTTTGTTTATACAAGCACTGGGCACAGTCAGAAGCGCGGGAGGGCGAGAGAATTCACCAGAGCCAGAGCGGGGAGCAGAACAGGCAGAAGGACCGAAGCACACTGCTGAGGGGAGCAGCGGGCGGCAGGAGAGGTCTGTGCGCCATGTGGGACCCTCCTCCGGTGGCCGGGGAGCAGCCGGGGATCGAACCGGCGCCGCAGAGGCTGCGGGCAGCTTCGCAACCCAGCGCTCAACTGCTGCGCCACCGGGGAGGCCCTCTAAAATCATTTTACACAAATAGCATCTTGCTATTATGTATTCTTCTGCATCTTTTTAAAAAAGATCTATTTATTTATGCATACAAGAGCTGGGGTGTAGGCCAGAGATGTGTAGGGTGAGAGGATTCACCAGAGACAGAGTGGGGAGTACAACAGGCAGCAGACTGACTGAAATACACTGCTGAGGGGAGCAGCAGGAGGGACAAAAGAAGTCTGCTGTGCCATGTGGCTTGGCTCCCTGGCTGGGGATCGAACTCAGGCTGCAGTGGCTGCAAACAGCTTCATAGTGCTGAGACTTAACCCCATGCACCACCAGAGAGGCCCTCTTCTGCATCTTGATTTGTTTTTACTAAAAATTTTGTCTTGGAGAATTTTCCATATTGGCATTTTTTTTTTTAAAGATTTATTTATTTATATATACAAGCACTGATTATAGTCAGAAGCGCGGGAGCATAGGGGAGAGCAGAGCAGGCAGACTGACGAAGTACACTGCTGAGGGGAGCAGCGGGCGGCAGAAATGTCTGCGCGCCATATGGGACCCTCACCCCATGGCCTGGGATCGAACTGGTGCTGCAGAGGCTGCGGGCAGCTTCGCAACCCAGCGCTCAACCACTGTGCCACCAGGGGAGGCCCCCATATTGGCATTTTTAAGGGCTATATGGATGCATCTAATTAATTTATTCAAACCCTTACAGATGGATATTTGGTTTGTTTTCAGTGTTTTCTCACTAAAAGAATGCTACAATAAAGAATATATTAAAATGTCCTCCCTGGTGACGCAAGGGGTTAAGTCTTAGCACTATGAAGCTATCTGCAGCCACTGGGACAAAAGTTTGATCCCTGGCCAGGGAGCTGGACCATATGGTGCAGCAGCCCTCTCCTTTCTTGCCCACTGCTCTCCTCAGCAGTGTGTTTCAGTCAGTCTGCCTGTTCTGCTCCCCACTCTGTCTCTGGTGAATCCTCTCACCCCCCGTACCTCTGGCCTGTACCCCAGTTCTTGTATGCATAAATAAATAAATCTTTTTTAACCTATCTTTTTGTTATAAGTGAATGTTTTCTTCTATTATATTTTCTAGCTGTGTATATCGATATAGCAAAGCTATAACTTTTTGTTATATTTTGTACCTACTCACTTCTAAATTGTCTTTTTATGTTTTTCAACTGATTTGCTTCAATTTTCAGTTGCATAATAGGCAAGGAATTATTCTGATTCTTCCTGTTCATTTTTTTTTAAAAGATTTATTTATTTATGGGCCACCCCTGGTGGCGCAGCGGTTGAGCGCTGGGCTGCAAAGCTGCCTGCAGCCTCTGCAGCGCAGGTTCAATCCCCGGCTGCCTGGAGGGTCCCACATGATGTGCAGACCTCTCCTGCGGCGCCCGCTGCTCCCCTCAGCAGTGTACTTCGTCAATCTACCTCTTCTGTTCCCTGCTCTGGCTCTGGTGAATTCCCTCACCCTCCCATGCTTCTGACTGTACCCAGCGCTTGTATAAATAAATAAATAAATCTTTAAAAAAAAAAAAGAAACATCATTTAAAAAAAAAAGATTGATTTATTTATGCATACAAGAGCTGGGGTACAGGCCAGAGGTACAGGGGGTGAGAGGATTCACCAGAGACAGAGTGGGAAACAGAATAGGCAGATCTACTGAAATACACTGCTGAGGGGAGCAGCAGGTAAGTCAGGAGAGGTCTGCTGTGCCCTGTGGGTCACCGACCTGGCCAGGGATTGAACTTGTGCTCCACTGGCTGCGGATTGCTTCATAGCACTCCATCTTAACCCCTTGCGCCACCAGGGAGGCCCATATTCCTGTTCAATTTTTATAGTCAATCTTTTTTCCTAATTTTATTGACTAATAGCTTTAAAAAAATGCTAAAGTAGTGATGATTGTCACCATTTTGTATTATTCTTGATATTAATGGGAATGCTTCTAGCATTCCCTAACATACATAGTCTTCGTGCTTGAGATATGGTTTACCATGCTAAATTACCTATCTAGTCCAACTTTAAGCACTGATACTCTGTATCATCAAATTTTTGGTCAGTGTTTATGAGATAATCCTAAGACTTTCTTGGGTCTTTTAAAATGGAGAATTTCCTAACATTGACCCAAGCTTCCAAGAATCCAGCCACAAAGTAAAAGAAAATAAACTACATTTAAGTGGGGTTCATACCTATAATGTTAGTAGTTTATTTAGGATATTGCACCAATATTCCCAAGTAATAGTGGTTTATAAAACAACAGCCTGAAAACTTTTTATGTAAGGAGCTATATTATCAATATTTTAGACTTTGTGAGTCACAAATGGTCTCTGTGACACATTCCTCTTCCCCCCCCCCACCCCCACTGCTTTTTTTTTTTTCTCTCTGGTTTTACAATTACTGAAAACCATTCTCAGCACACAAGCTGTACAAAAATAGGCTATGGGCCAGATTTGGGCTTAGGGCCATAGTTTGTTAACTTCTGGTCTACAATTTTCTTACATTGTGCTGGCTTCTTAAAAATAAATAATGAGGAAACTCCCTGGTGGCACAGGGGTTAAAGACACAGCACTATCAAGCTATCCAAGCCACTGCAGCATGAATTTGATTCCTCCACCAGGGAGCTAACCCCACCAGAGCAGCAGACCTCTCCTGTCTCTCCCACTGCTCTCCTCAGCAGTGTATTTCAATCCTCCTGTTCTGCTCCTCACTCTGTCTTTGGTGAATCCTCTCACCCTCTGCACCACTGGCCTATAACCCAGCTCTTATATGCATAAATAAAGAAAATAAATCTTTTTTAAAATTATGAAAAAATATTCAAGGAGATGGATTAAGCCCAAGTTATAATCCCTTTAAGAATATTTATCACCAGGTCTGCCTCATGAAATTTGCTGCATTTATGAAGAGTAGGTATCACTGTGCCCTCCACAAGGAATAAGGAAGAAGGTAAAGATACAATCACCTACCTCTGTGCCTCCTAGGCGGTCTGCTGACCCTTCTCGATAGGTGTTCAAGTACCCATCTACCAGGGTAGTTAGGTCAGACATCATCTCATCCAGGAGTACTAAACGAAGGGGTAGCAGGTAGGTGGCTTCCAAAGCCAAAATTTTCAGCAAATAGGGTGAAAGAGGTCTTGTGAACCACACTTCTGGATTTTCCTGGAGATACCAAAACATTTTCCACTGAAAAGTAAAGTAATTTTAAAGAAAGTGATTTTATCTAAGGTTGCTTAACTTAAACAATGTCACTGCTATTACTGTTATTTTCTTCAATTACTACCTTCTGCTGTCACACTATGGCTAGCCTTCTAAGAATATACACACTCTGTATGTGTATACAGTATGTGTAGGGAGGGGCCAAGTCAGGAAAAGAGAGAGAGAGAGAGATCAGGAATTCATCAAAATTGTAGGCAGCAGATATGACTACATGGCCAAAATTATAGCAAGTATGGTCATGACAAAAGTTTGTATGCAAGGCTATTAGGAACTAAAGAAAATGAACCTTACTTTGGGAGAAACAATTGGCTTGATTTTTGTTCTGCTGCCTTCAATCCAAATTTCCCAATAAAATCCCACCTTGTCCCAATTTTAAAATTTATTTCAGAATACTTTTTAATTGATAACCAACAAATCTGGACCCTGGCTTTTATCCACTTGCTTCCACAAACTGTTCACATTTGGAACAACTAAGATTTTGGCAATGATTATGCTTAGATGGCAGTTGTGATTTCTCAAGCTGATAATCCTGCTTAGAAAAAGACTTGAAAAATTATTGTCATATAAGACATCCTTTAATACTCACCTGAATTAGTTTTTGTCTCTCTTCCAGAAAGGAGAGATATTTAGGGGCTACTTTGAGGTGTCTGATTAAACTCTCCTGCAAAGTACTAATGCAGTTTGGAAGAAAGCCACCTGTTTCCATGGAAAATTGAAGGACATCTGCTACCTATGGCATTAAAAGATAAACCTATCAGTCTGCAGAATATTTACAGAGCGCTGTCTCATGGCAAAAATAACAAAATTAGAGAAATGTCTTTAAATATCATTTTCCCAAAGGGCCCATGTGATAGACAATACCCATTAGGAAACTTGAAATTGTTCAGGGAACTTAATCTGAAAGATCTGGAGAGAAAGGGAAGATTAACCAACTTTAATGTGCCCATGTCTATTATCTTTCATACTGCTTCATTTGTCTGCCTTTTTGTTATCTATTTTTTTTAGAAGAGTTTTTTTTTTTTTTTTTTATAGAGGCATGCTTTATTTATTTGTTTTGCTGGTTTGTTTGTTTGGTTATACATGCACTGGGTACAGTCAGAGGCGCGGGAGGGTGAGAGAATTCACCAGAGCCAGAGCGGGGAGCAGAGCAGGCAGAAGGACCGAAGTACACTGCTGAGGGGAGCAGCGGGCGGCAGGAGAAGTCTGCACGCCATGTGGGACCCTCCTCCGGTGGCCGGGAAGCAGCCGGGGATCGAACCGGCGCCGCAGAGGCCGCGGGCAGCTTTGCAACCCAGCGCTCAACCGCTGCGCCACCGGGGAGGCCCAGAAGAGTTTTTTTTTTAAGATTTAGTTATTCATGCATACAAGAACCTGGGTACAGGCCAGATGCACCGGAGCGGGAGAGGATTCACCAGAGACAGAGTGGGGAACAGAACAGGAGGACTGAATAAAATACACTGCTGAGGGAAGCAGCAGGCGAGACAAGAGAGGTCTGCTGTGCCATGTGGGATTCTCATCAGCAGGTGGGGATCGAACCCGCACTGCAAATGCTGCAGACAGCTTAATAGCGCTGTGCTCAACGGCCTGCACTACCAAGGGAGGCCCTGTTATCTGTTATTATCTAGTATCTTTGGGAACGGGGAAAGGAAGATGAAATTCAAGAAATTTTTTTTAAAAAGATTTATTTATTTATTTATACAAGCACTGGGTACAGTCAGAAGCTTGGGAGGGTGAGGGAATTCACCAGAGCCAGAGCGGGGAACAGAACAGGCAGATGGACCGAAATACACTGCTGAGGGGAGCAGTAGGCGTGGCAGGAAAGGGCTGTGGCGCCATGTGGGACCCTCCCCGGTGGCCAGGGATTGAACCAGCGCTGCAGAAGCTGAGGGCAGCTTTGCAGCCCAGCGTTCAACCACTGCGCCACCAGGGGAGGCCCAAGAATTATATTTATTATTAGCAGCTCTGATTAAAGTTTTGGTAAGGAAAATTAATAACAGTAAGAATTGGAATAATTATTTGTATGTGGTAGGCTAAATAATGTCCCCCCAAAGACACCCATGCCCTAATCCCTGGATCTATGAATGTTACCATATATGCAAAATGGATTGTATAGCTGTGGGAACTTTATGGGGAATACATCTGAAAAGAGAAAGCATATAAGAATGCATTGCACAAAAATGAACAATGGGGCCTCCCTGTTGGCACAGGGATTAAAGTCTCAGTGCTATCAAGCCATCTCTAGCTACTGTGGCAGGACTTTGATCCCCAGCCAGGGAGCTAACCCACATAGCGCAGCAGACTTCTCCTACCTTGCCCGCTGCTCCCCACAGCAGAGTATATCAGTAGATCCACCTGTTCTGCTCCCCACTCTGTCCCTGGTAAATCCTCTCATCTCCTGCACCTCTGGCCTACACCCCCAGCTCTTGGCACACACAAATAAATTTAAAAAATAAATCTTTTTTAAAGAAGAACAATGATGTGTGTTATATATATATATATATTTAAAAATTATTTAAAAAAAGAATCTTGAGATGAGAAGATTATTTTGAATTTTGTGACTGGTCACTAAATGAAATCATAAGTGTTTTTTTTTTTTTTAGATTTATTTTATTTATTTATACAAGCACTGGGTACAGTCAGAAGCGCGGAGGGTGAGAGAATTCACCAGAACCAGAGCGGGGAGCAGAGCAGGCAGTAGGACCGAAGTACACTGCTGAGGGGAGCAGCGGGCGGCAGGAGAGGTCTGCGCGCCATGTGGGACCCTCCTCCAGTGGCCGGGGAGCAGCCGGAGATCGAACCTGTGCTGCAGAGGCTGCAGGCACCTTCGCAACCCAGCGCTCAACCGATGCGCCACAGGGGAGGCCCCACAAGTGTTCTTGTATAAGAGGGTAGAAGATAGAGATTTTATTACTATAGTCAAAGGAAAAGGTGATGTGATGATGGAAACAGAGGTTGGAGTGATGTACCCTGAAGAGAGAAGGAGCCACAATCCAAGGAACACAGGTGGCCACTATGTGAAGTTGAAGAGGAAAGGAAACGAACCCTTCTTTCAGAGGCTTCAGAAGAAACCAGCCCTGCTGACACCTTGATTTTGGCTAAATGAAAGTAATTTCAGACTCTGACCTCTAGAACTGTAAGAGTATAAATTTGTAAGTCATTAAATTTGTGGAGATTTGTTTCAACAGTAATAGGAAACTAAGACAATGTGCTAAAGGAAAACAAATTGATAAAATTCTAAATTGTTGCCTTTTACACTATGGAAATCCAGAAAGAAAAATATGGAAAGAGATGCCAATGTCTCCATTACACAAGACACAGGGAGTCAAATCAAGTAGCCTAATGGACTCAAGGGAACAATGATCAATTCTCTTACATTTTGAAGTAAGCACTGAAGCAATCTCTATATAGTAAAAGATTCTGAAAGAAGGCCCAAGGGAACATGTAAAGAGGAAAAATGGCATAAAGTTAATTTTGAACAGATGCATAAAGGACAAACTTAAACCACATATAATAATAAAGTTGAACTTTTTGGAACTTTTAGTTAAAATTAATTGGTCAACTCTTTAGTTTAACCCCTCTCTAAAGAGTGTAGCTCTAGGCATTCACTGGCATAAGCCTAGAAGAATAGAAGAACCTAAAAAAAAATTATGAAAACTACTGTTTTTACTCCTCTCACAGCCGAACCAGAAACCCAGATCAGTTCTACGAGCTAGGGTATTCAAGGAAATCCTCATTTCTCTAGGATACTTTACATGAGTGACTAATCACATATCTTCAGGCTATCTGGGGCCAGAATATGCTTTTTGGGCATATATAGTAGAACCTGCATCCCTGGGCTAGAGGCCAACTAGCCACTAGCCTTAATCATATATATATATATATATATATATATATATATATATATATATATATATATAAAATACGTGTAACCCTAACCCTAGCCAAGATAGGATTGTCTTACACTAGATGTCCATGACAGGTTTTCAAAAGACTCTCAAGGGCCTCCCTGGTGGTGCAGAGGTTATAGACAGCACTATCAAGCTGTTGCTAACCACTGCAGCACAAGTTCGATTCCTAACCTCCCACACTGGCCCCCCACCAGGGAGGTGACCCACCTGGCCCAGCAGACCTCTCCTGTCTCCCCCGCTGCTCCCCTCAGCAGTGTATTTCAGTGGATCTGCCTGTTCTGCTCCCAATTCTGTCTCTGGTGAATCCTCTCACTGCTACTCCCCGCACCCCACACCTCTGGCCTACACCCCAGCTCTTGTATGTATAAATAAATAAATCTTAAAAAAAAAAAGACTCCCAAAATGTTTTAGTTTCTGAATGCTATAGAGTATGCTGCCCTGGTGGTGCAGCGGTTGAGCACTGGGCTGCGAAGCTGCCCGTAGCCTCTACAGCGCTGGTTCTATCCCCTGCCGCCTGCGAGGGTCCCACATGGCGCGCAGACCTCTCCTGCTGCGTCTGCTGCTCCCCTCAGCAGTGTATTTCATCAGTCTGCCTGCTCTATTCCCGGGTCTGGCTCTGGTGAGTTCTCTCACCCTCCCATGCTTCTGACTGTACCCAGTGCTTATATAGATAAATAAATAAATCTTTAAAAATAAATAAATAAAATAAAAAATGAATGCTGTAGAATATGGAGATTGCTTCATATTTGACAAATTCTGGAGTAAAACAGGGAGGGAAAAGTCCTAAATACTTATTAAACTTTTCTGCAAAACTTTTACACTTCACAAAATGTCTTCACAGACTTTCATGAGAGTGAGCAGGAATGGGGAACACATAAAAAAAGATTTTCAACCACTAATCAGATAAGGCCTATTTCTCCTAAAAGCTATGCACACTGATTTGAATCCAGTCTTTTCTTTTCCTACATATACCTGTGTGTCAAAGACATTATTCAGCAAAATTCCATACTGATGAGAGAGGCAGTCAGAAAGCCAACGACAATCATGGATAACCTAAGGAATCAGAAGATGGAGACAGAATAATTAAAATCTGGCTGTTAATGTTAATAGCAAAAGAATCAGCTTACACACTCACCTTCAAAATTCTCTTGTCTTCTAATACCATCTGAAGTCCATTGTTGAAAGCACGACTTCCCAGGAGGAAAATGTCAAATAAGTAAACTCGGCTATTTGTAGCCACCTATGATAGACCATCCAGACATACATATATAGGACAAGAACAAACTAGGGAAGGGGATCTGAGGATCAACTTCTAAAGTGAATGAGAAGCACTCAATGATTCTTAGGAAAAACAGATTTAAACTGATGTGAAGTTAAAAAAGACACCAGTACTGTGCTTTTCAAAAGGAAATAAAGTCAAGTTGATGATTTAGCCTTTTCCTTTTTATAGTTCCAATTTTATCAGTCTCAACAATGACATTCTACTATTCCAGGGATTACAAGTTTAAGGAGGAATGAACAGCATTTCATTGTCACTAATAGGAAATGCTATTTCTGTGTTCCATAATATCCATGATTGCGTTAGGTATTACATAAAATTACTTGTAAGAGACGCTCCCTGCCCTCTAGTAGTTTAAAATAGGCAACAAACCCAATGACACAAATAATAAGAATTCTAGATTGTTTCTGATCACAAAAATCATAAAGGCCATACAGCTGAATTATCTACTGAGTCAGAGAACAAAGGCAAAAAAAGATCCAAGACGATCTAGAGAGCCAGCCACATTACGATCCTTGTCACTTTCGGAGTCAACTCTTATTACAGCTACAATTGCCAGACCTACCTGGTGTTCTATGATGTTTCATGGTGTTTGCTAGAATGTGATACCTAAAACAGTCATTCACTTCTCTTTTTCCCTAAGTCTCTAATTGAAGAGACATATTACCAAAAGTTTGGAAAAGTATTCTTTGCTAGATAATATGAGAGAAGGGACCGTTGGATTTACCACTAAATTGGTAGCAACTACAGCACAGTCATACACATGGCTGGCTGTTACTCATTTCTTCAGTGGTTCAATGCCTGCCATACAACACTCACATTTTTCATATGCAAAAGAATATATATGGCTATAATCATATACATCAAATCTCTATCCTGTTTTTCCACACTCTTAACTTTTAAACACCTTTGGCAGCTGCAAAGATCTACCAAACGTACTGGAATGTCTCCAATAGTTAACTGATGACAAGATGAATAGGTTCTCACATTTTTTTCTTCATATTTTGAATTATTTAGGACAAATTACTAGAAGTGGCCCGAGAAGTGGACCTAAGGATATAAAATTCTCTGTAACTCTTAAATATTTGTTACTGTTATCTTAAGATACATTATTATACGTCAAAACACCTGACATAGATGAAAGTTAAACATTTAAATAATTTAATGTTAAGAAAAGCAGTAGGAAATACTGACAGAAAGGAAGACCAGGAAAACAAAACAAAAAAACAAACTAAACGTTTAGGAATTAAAGGTGCCACATACTGAAAAAAGTGAAAAGCTAGGAATAGAGGAATGGGCTGTATATTTGTAAGGAGAAGTCTGTCTCCAGGTTAACCTTACCTAGTCTTCTCCCATTCTCATAGAGGATAGAGACATATTTCTCATAGCCAACCAGAGAGCCTTTAGGGTTGTGAATACAAGACAGAGGAGGGAAGGGTTTTTGGCAGTGGACTGAAAAGTGAAGTCTGAATGTTGACCTGGAGCCTCTAGACTTCCACTGAAGCATTTAGGCCTAGAACACCAGGCCTGTGTTGGAACAAGAGGAAAGGGTTCCAGGCAAGATGACTTCAAGACAAAAATGCAACACAGGCAGCAAGAGAGAAGTAAGCAATTGCACTGAGGGGAATACACAGGAAGGCTTAGTCACAGTGCAAAGAAAACAACACTAATAAGATGAGGCCAGAACTAATTCTATGAAAACAAGAAGTTGTACAACAAATTAAGCAATTACTTGGCTCAAAAAGGAACCAAAGTCACACATTCATAATCACATACATTACCTCAATAAATGAGGGGGGAAAGAAAGTATACAACATAAAAACAAAAAATAGAAAAAGGAAACAAACTCTTCATATAGCTAAGGCAATAAAACAGCTGAGAAAGCAGGGAGCCTGTAAGACAACAAAGATATTGTTACCAAAACCCAGCTGCTTCAGCTGTAGGAGCCTGCAGGAACAGTAGTGTTCTTTTACCCTACTCCACCACCACAGGTCAGTTGTGGCAGTTGCTTCTCAGAGCCCTTTTATGTAACAGTGTACTTCCTGGATCGTGGAATGGACCAATCAGGTCCTATGAGCTGATAAATGGTCCAATCAGCCACAGGACTGAACAACGGTCCAATCAGGTGGGGCACCCTGAAAGGGGATATAAGCCAGGGTTCGAAGGAGCTGAGGAGAGACGTTGCAAGCCCTGAAGAGAGCCTGAGGAGACAAACAGGAGAGACAATGCCAGCCCCTGAAGAAAAGAAGACAGTTCCAGTCTCCAAAGGAATTAGAAAGAAAGGAAGGATTCCGCTCCTGGCCTCCAAAGAGGAAAACAAGCATCCAGCAGCTGCCCTCCAAGCAGGGAAGAGATATCGAAGGCTTTTGAAATTATGTAATTATATATATATATTGCCTGAAAGGCAGAGCTCTGAAATTATATAATTATATAGATTGCTTGAAAGGAGCACCAAAGGCCCTGGGTCTGGCGTCTCAAAGAACTGTTTGTTGTTGGTATAATACAACAACTTACAAAGAGCTGTTAAAACTGGATGTCTCTGACACCACCTCTGAGGGACCAGTAGTGACCATCACTACTGGCCAGTGCTATCCAGCACTCCAGGTGACCAGTGGCGACCATCACTGATGCTATCTGGGTGAGATAACCAACCCTAGTGGATACTGTAAGTTCTTTGTGTCCCCTGTTTGTAAAATAAACCACATGGTTGTTATTCCTGGAGACTGAGGTCTCTTGCGATTGTGTGCGTGGGTGAGAACCCACAGACCTGTCCTCTTATAGGGCAGCCCTTGGTTTTGGATTTTGGCTATTTAGGGCTTTTTGGCAGCTCTCTTGTCTCAGAGCTTGGGCAAGTGGGTAGCCGTTCCATCCTTCCATCCGGCCTCCTGCCTTGTTGTCCTTTTGCCCTGTCCACCCCTGTTTCAATATCATAAAAAGGAACCTACAAAAAGAGACAAACACTTCCTTTTTGAAGAGAACAAACTGAGCACTACAGGGAGAATGAAAGACATTCCAAACAAGTTATAAGACAATGACAATGGGTGACATAAAGAAGATAAATATATCAGTGAATCTCCAATTATTTCAAAATAAAGAGTTTATTAAAAAAAAATCCTTTACCTGGAGCCAACATAGTTTCCCATGACGACACACATTAACTCCTTCTGCTGCCACACTCAGGACACTCTGCTTTTTGATATGAAGCATCTAGTGAGAAAAAGAAGAAAGTAAAAATCTCTAGGGAATGAATGCTGCAACTAAGACATGAAGGACACAAGTAAAAAGGCTTGCAATAAAATGGATCATATTTTCTTAAACTTAATTTGACTAATTCTTAAACCAAATTTGACTAATCTGAAACACATGAATCTGTTTCACATACACGAATCACACTTAATACTTCTAATTCTCAGTTTTCACAAAATTATCTCACACCTGGAAAATAAATCATTCATATCCCAAATGCTAATAAACACTGCAAACTTATCACTAATGCTGCAGTGAAGGATTTCTGGTCTTTCTGACCAGATTTCTCATGCAAAGAACAGCACCCTAACACAGGACAATTGATAGTACCTGAAAGGAATTCACACAGTGGTTGAGTCTCACAGTATCTACTCCTCAAGATGGCAGAGACAAGGACTCAACAATCCCTTCAATCCTTTGATGCATTAAGTCACTCCAAACTGAAATAGTGGTATCCTTGAGATACCTGTTGATCATTTGATTATTTATAATTGTATCCTATCTCAAAGCATTATATGATTCTTAGATCCTGAATCCATAATCCATGAAAATACCAACTAGATACAAGGCTTACCCCATTTCACAGCTAGGTAAATTACATAAAAACAGAAGGTTATGGCAACTTTATCAGCACAATATCATCCTTTAAAGAGCACAAAGTTTTCTATATTCTGAGTATCTTCCACCAATGATTAAAAAAGGGGACTAAATTTCAGTTCCATCCTCAATTAACAAGAAGGCTACAGGGGCCTCCCTGTTGGTGCAGGGGGTTAAGTACAGCACTATGAAGCTATCTGCAGCTTCTGTAGCACGAGTTTGATCCCTGGATGACCAGGGAGCTGACCCACATGGTGCAGTAGACCTCTCCTGTCTTGCCCACTGCTCCCCTCAGCCTTGTATTTCAGTCTGCCTATTCTGTTCCCCACTCTGTCTTTGGTGAAGCCTCTCACCCCACCCCCACCTCTGGCCTGTACCCCAGTTCTTATATGCATAAACAAATAAATCTTTAAAAAAAAATAGAAGAGTACAGTACTAGGAACAAAAGTTGTGTTTCCTTATTAGTAAGAATTCCTAACGACCTATTCAAATTTTCAGAGCAAAAGTTCTTAACTCCTTTTTGTTGTAGCTGTCATGACCATATAAAGAATCTATTGATATGTAAAGAATTCTTACAACTCAGTTTAAAAATTAATAAAGGAGGGGCCGGTGGTGCAGTGGGTTGAGCACAGCACTATGAAGCTGTCCGCAGCCTCTACAGCGCGGGTTCAATTCCCAGCTGACCAGGGAGATACCCACATGGCATGGCAGACCTCTCCTGTCTTCTCCTCTGGTCCCCTCAGCAGTGTATTTTGGTCCATCTGCCTGTTCTGTGCCCTGCTCTGTCTCTGGTGAATGCTCTCACCCTCCCGCACCTCTGGCCTGTACCCCCGTTCTTGTATAAAAATAAATAAATCTTTAAAAAAAAAGATTTATTTATTTATACAAGCACTGGGTACAGTCAGAAGCGCGGGAGGGTGAGAGAATTCACCAGAGCCATAGCGGGGAGCAGAGCAGGTAGAAGGACTGAAGTACACTGCTGAGGGGAGCAGCGGGCGGCAGGAGAAGTCTGCGCGCCATGTGGGACCCTCCTCCGGTGGCCGGGGAGCAGCCAGAGATCGAACCTGTGCTGCAGAGGCTGCAGGCAGCTTTGCAACCCAGCACTCAACCGCTGCGCCACCGGGGAGGCCCAAAAATAAACAAATCTTTAAAAAAAAAAATGAATAAAGGATCTGAATGGACATTTCTCCAGATATACAAATGGCCAATAAATACATCAAAGATTCTCAACATTATTAGCTATCACAAAAAGGCAAATCAAAACTACAATGAGATACCACTTCACACCACCACGATGGCTATAATCAAACTGCCAGATAATAAGTGTTGGTAAGGATGTAGAGAAATAGGGACCCTCAAAACTACTGGTAGACATGTACAATGTTGTGGCTGCATACGGCAATCCTCAAAAAGTCAAACCCAGAGTTATTATATGACCCATCAATTCCACTCCTAGACGTGAAAACTTATATACCTACAAAAATTTGTGTATGAATGTTCATAACAGTATTACTTATCATAGATAAAAAGTAGAAGCAACCGAAGTATCCATTAAATGTTGAAATGGCAAATGAAATATTATTCATCAATAATAACGTGAACTATTCCCCTGCAGTACATTTGCAGGCTGGACCAAAGACTGAATAATACATTGTTACTTCTCAAATGAATAATTACAGGGCCTCCCTGGTGGTGCAAGGGGGTAAGCACCACACTATGAAGCAATCCTCAGCCTCTGAAGCATGAGTTGGATCCCCAGCTGGCCAGGGAGAAACCCATATGGTGCAGCAGACCTCTCCTGACTCACCCGATGCTCCCCTCAGCAATGTATTTCGGTCAGTCCACCTGTTCTGTTCCCCACTCTGTCTCTGGTGGGTCCTCTCACCCCCCGCATGTCTGTCCTTTACCCAGCTCTTGTATGCATGAATAAATAAATCTTAAAAAAAATATTAAAATATGGGCCTCCCCGGTGGCGCAGCGGTTGAGCGCTGGGTTGTAAAAGCTGCCCGCAGCCTCTGCGGCGCCAGTTCGATCCCCGGCTGCTCCCAGGCCACGGAGGAGGGTCCCACATGGCGCGCAGACCTCTCCTGCCACCCGCTGCTCCCCTCAGCAGTGTACCTCGGTCCTTCTGCCTGCTCTGCTCCCCGCTCTGGCTCTGGTGAATTCTCTCACCCTCCCACGCTTCTGACTGTACCCAGTGCTTGTATAAACAATAAATAAATCTTAAAAAAAAATATTAAAATAAATAAAATTTAAAAATAATTACAGAGAAAGTGCTTAAATAGAGCATTCAGAATGGTCATTTTAAAATATAAGTCAGACGGCGCCTCTCTGGTGGCACAAGGCATTAAGACGCAGCACTGTGAAGCAATCCACAGCCACTGTGGCACGAGTTCGATCCCTGGCCAAGGAGGTGACTCATATGGTGCAGCAGACCTCTCCTGTCTCTCCCATTGCTCCCTTCCGCAATGAGTTTCAGTACATCTGCCTTTTCTGTTCTCTACTCTGTCTCTGGTGAATCCACACACACACACACACACACACACACACACACACACACACACACACACACACACCTCCCCCACGTCTATGGCCTGTACCCCAGCTCTCGTATGCATAAATAAATAAGTCTTTAAAAAAATAAAATATAAGTCAGAAAATTTATGACTCTACTTTAAAACTGCCATTGGCTTTCCGTCTCACTCAAGTCAAACTAAAAATTCTTGTCTAAAAGGCCCTACACAGTCTACCCACTGCCCCTGTTCATGTCCCACCACTCTCCTTCCCTGTGGTCCTGCCACAGAAATGCCCCTGCTGTTCTTCCTCACACAAGTCAAGTGTCTTTTAGCCTCAAGGGTTTGCATTCACTGATTACAACTTCTTTAAGTTCTACACCTGGATATTCACACAGCTAGATCCCTTACTTCATTCAGATGCTGTTCCAATGCCTTCTCTTTGGCATTGGAAAGGGGAGCAGGTAAGTTTTCTCTATCCAGTCTATAGAAAATAAGAACTCCCTGTCATTCTATTCCCCATATCACACTTTATTTTTCTTCATTGCACTTTTCACCAGTTGACATACAAATTTTGTCTATTTTCTTGCATTCAAATGTAAGCTACCGAAGAGTTGGAACTTTGGTTTGATTATTGTTTTACCCTGATCTATATCAGGTCCCAGAATAATGCCTGTAATATATCAGACATGCACACATTTTGTTGAATTTTTTTTTTGAATTTTTTTTTAAAGATTTATTTATTTATTTATTTATACAAGCACTGGGTACAGTCAGAAGCGTGGGAGGGTGAGAGAATTCACCAGAGCCAGAGTGGGGAGCAGAACAGGCAGAGTGACGAAGTACACTGCTGAGGGGAGCAGCGGGCGGCAGGAGAGGTCTGTGCGCCATGTGGGACCCTCGTTTGGCAGCCGGGGATCGAACCGGTGCTGCAGAGGCTGCGGGCAGCCTCGCAGCCCAGCGCTCAACCGCTGCGCCACCGGAGAGGCCCCATTTTGTTGAATTATTAAGGAAGAGGAATTATTAGGGAAAAGATCTTATAATTAAAGAAATTCATGAAGCAGATATGATACTAGTATACAAACAATACTTGGCACCAATGAGAACAATACTTACTGCAGCACCAAACTTCTGCTGGAACTGATCAATAACTGTGTATGTCACCTCTTCTTCTTCTATAAGAGAATAATGGCATTATATATTTAATATAAATTACTCCTAGATATAGGCCAATGTCAGAATTCTCTGAGTCCAATTATTTTTTCAATTATGTAATTAAAAAAAATTAGAGATATAACATACCATATTGTCCTTTGCATCTCCAGCCCTACAACTTTGGAATGGTTGGAGTGGCACAGGTCACTGTCCATATACCTCTTTCTTTCTTCTGCCCACACTCACTCTCTTAGTGGACTAATCTCATCTATTCTCAAGGCTTTAAATATAAACTACAGGCTAACTCATGAATTTATATCTACATATCAGATCTTTCTGCTCATCCCTAGGCTTATATTCAAACTTAGGTTGACTAAAACTAAACTCTTAATCACCTCCCCAAAACCCTTCTCACCCAGTCTTTCCCATTTAATAGCAACTCTATTCTTGGCCTACTCAGTCCCAAACCCCTGAAGTCACCTTGATTCACCTCTTTCTCTCACACTGATGTCTAATTTGCCAGTATGTTATATTGGTCTCTCCCTACATCCAGAATTTCACCACTTCTTACCAATGATACTACCACCACTAGGGTCCAAGCCATCATATTGACTAATATTAATTATTTCAATAGCTGCCTAACTGATATTTATGCTTTTATGATTGTCCTACTTTTAGTAAGAATGATCTTATTAAAAACAGAAGTAAAAAAAAAATCTCTTTTGCTCAAAACTATCTTCAATGGAAAAAGAAGTTTTAAAAAACACCATTTATAAGGCAAGGTATACTTATTGGGCTTTTATTGTGCTTTTTTTTTTTTTTTTACACAAATTGAAGATGTGTGGCAATCCTGTGTCAGGCAAGTCTGTTGATGCTATTTTTCCAATTGTATCTGTGCTACATTTAATTAAGGTATGTACATTGTTTTTTGAACATGCTATTTTACAGTTAACAGACTACAGTATAGTGTAAACATAACTTTCATATGCACTGGGAAACCATAACATCTGTGTTACTTGCTTTATGGTGATAATTGCTTTATTCTGGCGGGCTCTCTGAATAACTTATTTCTGAGGTATGCTTATAGTTTAAAAATATGAAATACTTAGAAATAAATATGGCAAAATACATGTATAACTTATATACAGAGAACTACAAAACACTGTGGAGAAGATCTAAATAAATGGAGAGATATACTGAGTTAATGGATTGGGATACTCAATATTTTTAAGGTACCAATATTCCCTAAACTGATCTGTTGATTTAACACAGTTCCAATAAAAATTCCAGCAGGGTTTGTTTTGTCTGTTTGATAGAAATTAACAAATGATTCTAAAATTCACAGGGAAATGTAAGGAATACAAAATAGCCAAAACAAATTTGAAAAAGCTGTTTTGTTTCAGAAAGCGTAAGAACACACACTACCCCATTTTAAGATTTATCATTAACAATTAACAAAAAAAGGCTATTATTATGGATGGAAAGATAAAAAATGTAATAGAATTAGGGTGTGCAAAAACAAACCTACACATGATTTTTGACAAAGATGCAAAGGTTGAGAAAACACTTTTAAACAAATGGTCCTAGCAGAATTGGATATCCACATACATTTAAAAAATAAAATCCTTGGTCCATATCTCATATTATATACAAATATTAACTAAAAATGGATCATTAAAGAAAATGTAAAGCCTAAAACCATAAAATGTCTAGAAGAAACATGAGAGGAACTCTTTGGCACTTGAGTTAGAAAGAAAATTCTCTGGCCTGTACCCCAGTTCTTGTATACATAAATAAATAAATAAATCTTTAAAAAAACAAAAAGAAAGAAAATTCTTAGATATAATATCAAAAGCACAATTCACTTAAGAAAAAAATAAAAACTATAATTCTTGGGGGCCTCCCTGGTGGCACAAGGGGTTAAGCACCACTCTATGAACCAATCTGCAACCTCTGCAGCACAAGTTCGATCCCTGGCTGGCCAGGGAGCAACCCACATAGCGAGGCAGACCTCTCCTTCTTGCCCGCTGCTCCCCTCAGCAGTGTTTTCAGTCAGTCTGCCTGCCCTGTTCCCCACTCTGTCTCTGGTGAATCCTCTCACCCCCCACATCTCTGGCCTATACCCCAGCTCTTGTATGCATAAATAAATAAATCTTTAAAAAAAAACTATAATTCTCAAAATTAACAATGGGAGATAGCAAAGATGGACCATTTGGAAAAAATATCTGCAAAGCCTATCTCTGAGAAAAGACTTGTATCCAGAATACATAAAAAACTCTCAAAACTAAATAATAGTGGGCCTCCCCGGTGGCGCAGCGGTTGAGCGCTGGGTTGTGAAGCTGCCCGCAGCCTCTGCAGCGCGGGTTTGATCCCTGGCTGCTCCCCGGCCACCGGAGGAGGGTCCCACATGGCGCGCAGACCTCTCCTGCCGCCCGCTGCTCCCCTCAGCAGTACTTCGGTCCTTCTGCCTGCTCTGCTCCCCGCTCTGGCTCTGGTGAATTCTCTCACCCTCCCGTGCTTCTGACTGTACCCAGTGCATATATAAACAAAACAAACAAACAAATAAATAAATAAATAAAAACATGCCTCTCTCTAAAAAAAAAAAAAAAAGAAAAGAAAACAAAAACTAAATAATAGGGGCCTCCCTGGTGGCTCAAGGGGTTAAGTCTCAGTACTATGAAGCTTTCCACAGGCCACTGTAGCAGGAATTCAATCCCTGCCAGTAAGATGACCCCACATGATGCAGCAGACCTCTCCTGGCTCGCCCACTGCTCCCCTCAGCAGTGTATTTCAGTAGAACCACCTGTTCTGCTCCCCACTCTGTCTCTGGTGAATGCTCTCACCTCCTGTACCTCTGGACTGCACCCCAGCTCTTACATGCATCAATAAATAAATCTTTAAAAAAAACTGAATAATAAAGCAATAACAAAATGAGCAAAAGATATGAACATAGATTTTACCGAAAACAATCAAATGGTAGATTAGTGCATGAAAAGATCTTCAACATCTTCCCTCTGTCACCAGGGAAATGGTAAAATCAAAAAAATCTTCCAGTGGCTTTTCTTCTCACTTCAGAGTAAAGCCAAAACCACTTCAATGATCTACAGAGTCCTCCAAGGTCTACCCACCCCACTACTACCTTTCCTTGCTCCAGTTACAGTCATCTCCTTACTGTTCATTCCAGACTCTGCATGTTCCTATACCATGGCTTTTGCATCCAGATATCCATGCAGCAGGATGCCCCTCTTCCATCTGGCTTTTACTCAAATATCACCATACGTTAGTGAGGCTTGTCCTGGACATTCTAGAATTGTAATACAACCCTCTTTACATACCTCTCTTTCTTGTTTTTCCCCCTCTTAGGATTCAGCACTAGTATACTATACATTATGCTCATTTAACTCATTTAGGATGTTTCCTCTGCAGTGAGCTCAGGAATACTACACGATGGGTCCAAAATGTCAGGCAAATATTATGCACTTAAATATTAAATAAATGAAATTAAAAAATGAATTGTGGTATTTTATCTTAATTCAGAGCCTTGAAGCAATGGCACTGCTGTACACTGCCTACAGAACCTTGACTCTGGGTCATGTCAATGGTAAAGAGTCTGGAACCACAATAAAGAATGTCAGGGCCTCCCCTGGTGGCGCAGCAGTTGAGCGCTGGGTTGTGAGGCTGCCCACAGCCTCTGCAGCGCCGGTTCCATCCCCGGCCACCAGAGAGGGAGGGAGGGAGGAAGGGAGGAAGGGAGGAAGGGAGGAAGGGAGGAAGGAAGGAAGGAAGGAAGGAAGGAAGGAAGGAAGGAAGGAAGGAAGGAAGGAAGGAAGGAAGAAAGGAAGGAAGGAAGGAAGGAAGGAGAGAAGGAGAGAAGGAGAGAAAGAGAGAAAGAAAGAAAGTCTAGAAGATTTAGAGTTCCTGGTACTTACCTGATGGGCTGTACTTGAGGTCATTCAGTAGAGAGGTGATAGGTGCCTCAGGGGCAGATGAAGAAAGTTCACATACATTTAGTTCTGCATCTTTCATTTTATCCACCCTGGTTCTTTCTGTATTTGGACTATGCTTACAAAAAGAAAAAACAACTCAGGTGAACTTGGTCTTTGTTGCTAATGCTATAAACAAATTTTGTCACAAATGGTAAGGATTCTGGACCTCTATTAGAGGACCCATACAACCACTGGTTACACTGACCTGATGATGCCACCTAAAGATGGAAGAAAACATTCATCTGTTTTTTTCACATTAATATCACCTCAGACTTTTTAAGAAATTATGCAGCTAGTGAGTAAGTTTTAAGGTTTTCTACCTTGATGTATATATTTGAGTAACATCATAATTAAGAAAAGTAATATACCTAACAGATCATCATACCTAACAGATGTCTTTTCTCTCACTGAACCTTGTTCCACTTCATCCAGTAGTTCCACTGCAAAATAACAGGATGGCTTCCATCTGAAAGATCAACTGCTCCCATATCCCCCTCCCTCCACTGACTATGTACCACAAACAGTAATTAGAAATGAAATGTCAGTCCACAGAGGGCTTAATCAATCAACAGTAAACAGAACAGAGAAGACTACTCAAAGTCTTGAAGATGCATCAGTTCCTGCAAAGCTTCCTTGGTCATTCAGCAGGATTAGGAATCTCGCTGCATCATCCCTCTACACTTTTTATTCCAGGGAATTTTTGTGGTGACTCAGATTGGTTCTAGATATAACATTTCTTTCTTATTCATTCTCATCCTAATTCACTTTCCTTCAATATACTGTTTATAGGTTTTCTCTTAAATTGTTGACAGATAGGTCCCTTCCATACTCACAAGCTGGCGCACTAATAGGTCAATGTCATGCAAGGTAATAAAAGCTAGATTGGAAATGACAAAAGAAATAAAAGGAAAACATTGTACAGAGATTCTAAAGCCATTTATCTTTAACCTAACAGTGTAGGGAATATAGGAAAATACTATATATCATTGATTTTAGGATGCACATTTTAAACAGCTTCAAAATTAGATATGATTTACAAATACACATGACACTTTGATAATGTCTTTCACTTGCTTAGGGTGGAAAAGGAATATAGCACTTTAGACTGAATGAAATACACTTAGGGACTTTGCAGGGGAAAAGCATTTCAGGGGCCACTTTGCTTCAAGTGTCTCTTTTTCCTGCATTATTTAAATTGCTGAGTCTGGAGTAGAGAAAACAAAATCACTAAGAACACTAGAGGTCAATTATTATCCTTCACTGTGATAATTCTTCTTCAAGGTGCTTTTTAGGGAGACCCTACCATACCTGATTGGGTCATAGGGCAAAGAAGATGGCAAAGGCCAGCTTTTGAGTTTTTAAAAATGATGAACAAAGGCCAAATCCTGGGAAAGAATTGAGGAGGAGGTAAGTCAAGGTGTGCAGATAACAAAGTTGATCAGTCGGTGGCCAGACATTTTTTGAGTTAGGGAAATGGCAGTAGTAATTTCTTCACTTCTCTTTACAAACCTATGCACAGCCTAGTTTTATTCCAGTCCAGAGCTCTGCTGGGTTGCAATAGTTAATAGTTAAAACACAATTAAGAACACCACTACTACCATCACCTCTGCCATTACAGAAAGGTGTCCAAGGGACACAAAGTGTTTACAGGAGCATACTCAGGGAGAAAGGAATTAGGCAGCTGGCAGGATTTGTCTACCTTTCAGTAATTATGGATTTGCAGTCATTAATTTGGTGACTTCATCTCTTCCTAAATTAAAATTCTCTCACAAAGCAATTTTTTAAACATTAATCTATCATTTACAGGAGTCCTTTCCTTTCCTCATATCTGCCCCAACAGTAAAATATGTACCGCTCTATATAAGGTCTCAGGTCTCCTATTTGTCCACCTCCCTCAACACCACACTCATCTTTTTTATATTTACTTACATCATTTGTCCTTTTCACCACACTAACTCCTCCTTGAAAGGCTTTCTCTCTTGAGTTCTTAAAAGAACACATTATTGCTCCTGACCCCTTTTTCTTATCCCATTTGACTTGTTTGAAGCACACTGACCAGATAAACTTCTTTATCTACACTTAAGCAAACAATTGGACCTATTCTTGCTAAATGGCTTTTGCTGGCAAAAAAAGAAAAGAAAAGAACTTCAAAGCCCAAAAGCTCTGAAAACCAAAACAAACCAAAACAATTTTGTAATCCTTTTGGCAGCAAAACCTGAATGATATACTATTTATAGTCCTATGATATTCCACCTGTTTCTGCAGGAATGTATTTTATTACAGAGTGCTGCCCAGTTCTGCTTAAGGAGTTAAATAACATGCACAGTATCTATCCTGTGTTAGGTTTTCTAAAAGTCCAGAACAATTCTGGATTCTGAAACATTTGGTCCCAAGGTTTCAGATAAGGAACTGTGAATGTACTATGAATATGTCAAACTCATTTGCTGAGCTAAACAACTCCTTTCTGTTCAGATTCTTAACCCTGCCTGCTGGCTATGTGTAGTAATGAGCATTGGCAGTGCTCACATCATTAAAACCAAAATGATTAAAATTATCTGAGACTGTTTTGATATTAGAATACCCTTTGAAACAGTAAGACAAGGATCAATTCTCAAGTATCAACTTTAAGGGTTGATAAATGCAACTTTGAAGGCAAGACAACATCTTGTTTTATTTTAAAAACCAGAATGAGACAGTCTTTGACTGCTACTACAAATCCCAACAGCAGCATTTGGGGAATATGAAGCTATTACCATTCACAATCTCATGCCCAAAAAACATCTTCACTCCAGGGATACTTCGGCCAGTCTCCACGTTCTTCACTGTTACAGAAAACAGTTTATCCAGTTAACAAAAAAATAATATTCCCTAAAAGCATAAGAAACTATCTGTCAAAAGTACCCCAAATTATTTTTTCCTAAGGAATGGAGAGTCAGTAATAAATTACAAAGCTATGTAGCCTTGAAACTAGTAAAAACATTTAAGGCAATTCACTACTTCTAGAGCCTACACCCTGTCAACTACATGCTTGAATTTATAAATTATCTGGGATAACACTTTAACCCCTGACCCAAATATAAGGGTCTTCTGTGAGTAGGTAAGGGAATTAGGAGAAATTTAGATGTCATGTCTACAACACGCTGTCATTTTTCTAGATGGAAATGCTCACAGCAGTTTTGTATTTCTACATCTCTCAGCAATCCAAAATAATGGAATTCTACCCTTACTATTGCACTGAAATCAAAGATCACCAACTGTTTGTCAAATTAAAAAAAAAAAAAGGTTTAAAGTGTAATTTTACCAAGTTCCAATGCATATTTTGACAATACCACTTTCCTTTCTTCTTTGGCTTACAGGACATTCTTCATATTTATTTCCTTTCTGACTATCCAGAGCTACCATACTGAGCACTCACTTCAAGCTAGTCACCATCTTAAGTATTTGCCTACTTTCCACTGTCCAATAAATAATAGATTGGCATTTCATTATCTTCATTATGGAGGAATCTGACACTTCAGAAAGGTTGAATAACTTCCCCAGCATCACACCTCTGGTAAAAGAGAGTCAGGATTCAAACTCAGGCCTCAGTGATTTTAAATCACATTCTTGCAATCATTGCCTCCTTGATCTGCTCCTTCCAGTCTCCTTAGTTGCTTCTACCACCTAATCTTCTCAGAGTTATAAATGTAGAAGTCATCTCCCATTGTATTTTATCTAATTGTTTACCAGATTACTTATTCTAACTCCTAAGCATTTCTGTCTTCTCTTCTGCATTATTTGCTGAACCTTAACTCTGACTCCTATCTTTTCCCCTTTGTTGTGTCCCCTGATTGTCTGAAGTTCCCTATCTCTTTTCCATGTCTCTAATCTCTCCCTAAGTTATTCACTTCTTCATACTGCTGTCACAGTGATGTCATTCCCTGCCCTGTTCACCTAGTACATAAAATTAAAAAACAAGTATAAAGAAATATGTTCAACCTCTTCAGGAATATTTTTTAAACATGCCAAAATGAAATCACCTTTTGCCTACAAAACTATCAAAAATTAAGGGAAGATATACATCAACATTAAAAAAAATCAATATTAGATTTACTGTAATTCACTCATATATTACTAGTATCAAATTAAAAAGGCAAGACCCTTTCAAAAAGGTATTTGTAAATATGCATCAAAACAGTTAAAATATCCTTAAGTTAATCCAGTAATTTATCCTCCAGGAACTATTCCTAAAAATATAATTATAAAATATTTAAAATACAGAATTGTATTTTATAATTATAAAACAAATATTTTTAAGCTTTTTGCTTTAAGATGTTTAGCCATTAAATTGAATTTTTAAATAAGGAGAAATGTTTGTTACAGTGTTAACTAAAAAAAGTAACTATGATAGACCCAATTTAATATGCCAACTATATAAAAATCTATGTAATTAAAGACTAGAGAAAAATACACCAAAATGTTTTTTCTGGACTGAATGCTCTGTTCAACCAGTATGGGGCATTTAATGACTGTTGTCTATTCAATACCATTTTTGAGGCCAGCAATGTGCCCAGTCTCCCCTGCAGATAGTGGTAATCTATTGGACTTCTAGGGCTTTAATCTTTCCTCTTCCTCATGTCAGTAACTCCACCAGCTATGAAATAACCTTGGGATCTAAAGCTGAGCAAAAAGTTGAAGAATCCTGGCTCCGTGCTATTTTAGAGTCAACAGTAGTCCTGGAATGCCTGCCTTCTTTTATAAAAGAACAAACTCCTAATTTATTAAATTACTGATGGTGAAACTGTTTCTAGCTGCTGAGCATGGTTTCTAACTGGCTTCAGGGAATGAACCTGAAAACTCACATTGCCTCTCACTTCAAATTTTGTTCCTCAGTTTTCAGCTGTGTCCAAATGCTGACATATGACATCTTCTGGTCTATCTCATGCCTGCTTCTCCAGCTTTAACTCTTACAACATTTTCACGTTGAAATTTACTTCCACATTCTGAAAGTACCAACTTTCTATTGTTATACATGCCACTACTTCTGCATTGTCTGTGAGACAATGGTTCTTAAGGTGTGGTTCCAGGACCCAGCATCAGCATCATCTGGAAACTTTTATAAATGCAAATTCTTGGGGTTCCATCCCAGATCTTAACAATCAGAAATTCTAGGAGTGGAGCCGGGCAATCTGTATTATAACAAGTCTTCCAGGTGAGTCTCATGCACAAAGCTTGAGAATCACTGGCTTAAAACAATCCTCCCCTCTTTTTCCATCCAGTTCATTCCCACTCATGCAGATGTAGTCCTACCATCAGTTTCTCCTCTGGGAGGCCATCCCCACTGGCCTAAAACTCCCAGATCTAAATTAGTTGAAGCTCTGTGTTTCCATTTTGTGCTTCCCTCAATCAGAGAAGTATCTTTCTACTTATTTATCTGTCTTCTTACTAGTTTCAGTTTTTTGAAGACAGGCATAATGTAATCCTTACTTTTATCCCTAGTACCTATAGTGCCAGGTCTAGGACATAAAAGTACTAGCAAATGATTACTGAATGAATAGTATCACAAATGCCTGTATAGTCCCTTTTAGCCCAAAAAGTCTATTTCAACTTATAATATGGCATGCAATCACACTAACTTCAAATCTCAAAGTTCACAATTGTGAACTTGAATGTCATTATGCCAGGAAAACAACTATCCAAGTGAGTCAGTATTCTAGCTGAAAAAAAACCTACAGATTGGAGCATGCAGCTTTGCAAACACATGAAGGAGCTAGGAAGGTAGCATACCCAGAAAGGGCATGGAAAACTCTGTGCTTCCTCCCATACCTTGCCCTACGCAGCAATTCCATTTGGCTCTTCCTAATGTGTCCTTCAGAATGAATAGGAATTGAAGTTGAAATGTGTAGAGGCTTGAAGATAACATGATCACTGAGGTAGAAGAGCAGAAGTACAGGGCCCCATCCCTCCTGCCATCATTTAGCCATCACAGTTCCACAGGAGCCTACCTCTAAGCAAATGAAAAATTAACCCCTTACTGTCTATGTGAATTTGTCCGTTAAAGCCAAAAGCAATTCTATCTAATGGAATGGTTACTTTTAATTTCAAGGTGTTACAGAGAGAAATTAGGAGTACTCAATTAAAAAAACTTTATATACTGAAAATCTCTGTGATCATGTCAATAAAAGTATAGAGTGGGACAAGCCAGCATATACAGCTATGTTGCTCTGCCTGGGAAAACAGCATTCTAAAACTTCCTCCCACCCATTTCCTAAAATAGGAAAAAAGCCTCCCTCTTGTTGCTAATGGAGTCCAGAGCCATCACCCTACTCAGTTATTCATTTCTCAAAATGAATGGAGTAAGAATGAATGAATCAATAGAATAAGACCTTTTTTTAGGACAACAATCTTGTTAGGGTCCACATGCTGGAGCACCCCCTCAAAGATGCCACAAACCAATGTGAGTTTCACCCTTCTCCACAAAATCTGGTTGAGGAAATGGTAGTCACTGCTGGGATCCATTCTACTTGATTCCAAAAGCAGTCTTCAAATAGTCTTCTTAAGTATCCAAACACTTGAAAAGAAAAGAGATCTATGATTTTAAAAATACATTTTGGAGAATAAGGTTATTTTCCCTTTCCCCATACCTGGTAGGAACAACAAAAATAAAGTATGAGAGTAGTTAAATTTTATTCATCTTTTTAGAATGATAATGAGAAAAGGATTACTGCAAACACCAACTCTTATACATGGTAAACTAAAAATTGACTCCAGGCAAGGTAGGCTTGGCTTATTTGTCTATAAACTTTCCCTAGCTAGAGGCTTCTCTGGTGGCCTAGGGGTTGAGTCACAGCACTATCATAACCATGGACTGGGTTCGATCCCTGGCCAGGGAGCTAACCCACAAGGGGCAGCTCATGGCCATTGCTCCCCTCAGCAGTGTGTATCAGTGGATATGCCTGTTCCGATCCCCACTCTGTCTCTGGTGAATACTCTCACCCCCGCTCCTCTGGCCTGTGCTCCAGTTCTTATATGCATAAATACATAGATTAAAAAAATAGAAATAAATCTTTTAAAAAAACTTTCCTTAGTTAAATGGAACAAGCAGAACATGCAGAGACTTTTTAATGGCACATCTTTAGAACTTTTTAACATCAATATAAAAACTAAATAAGCCAATTAAAAATTTTAATATCATCAAAATACTTGCCAACACATGCTGCCACAAACGATTTACTCAGAAATGTCTGGGATCTAACCTCTTTTGGATTTAGCCTCTTCTAGATGAGTTAATATCTCCAGAATTTGACACTGCTACCAACCAAAGTCTAAGTGACTTAGAGTTATAGCATTACCAGGGCAGCTGCCATGTCATTGCAATGAACATTCCAACTTGTCCTGAGCACACCTAAAGGAATGGGCCAAGCAGGGAGGCGCAGCCTGACAAATCAAGCTGCAACATGCTATATACTATTTTTGGGAAATTCAACTGTTTTTTGCAAGGACATATGCACATTATTAAAAAAATGATAATGCAAAAATGTACAAAGTAAGGAAAAAACAACCCAATAATGATAACTACCATTTATAGTAGATGCTCATATTCTTTAGGGTAGTCATGTAATTTAAAAGAGGACTCCTTTTTTAAAAAGCACTCTTTAGAACAACCCTGTTTTTTTTTTTTTTTTTTAAGATTTATTTATTTATTTATACACGCACTGGGCACAGTCAGAAGCTCGGGAGGGTGAGAGAACTCACCAGAGTCAGAGCAGGGAGCAGAGCAGGCAGAAGGACCGAAGTACACTGCTGAGGGGAGCAGCGGGCGGCAGGAGAGGACTGCGTGCCATGTGGGACCCTCCTCCGGTGGTGGCCGGGGAGCAGCCAGGGATCGAACCAGCGCTGCAGAGGCTGCGGGCAGCTTCGCAAGCCAGCGCTCAAGCGCTGCGCCACCGGGGAGGCCCCAACCCTGTATTTCAATATCCTTGTATTTATAACCCCAGATAAATGTTCCTCTATAGTGGTTTAAATTTAAAAGTTGCTTGCTTGTGCCATATTAGGAATAGTCAACCAATGAATTTTGTAATTTATCTATAAAACATCGATGAAGTAACAGGCTTAATATAAAAGGAAAAAGGTTAGCAGTTAAATAGCATTTTTACACAGGAAAAAAATGCATTTATTTTGGTATTTTAAGATCTGTTATTATCTCTTGCTCACAACTACCATTATCTAGTTTACATTGTAGGAAATGAGGCTTAAAGATTTAAGACACCTGCTCAAAATCACACAGCTAGAAGATAACGGAACCAGCTTAACTTAAACCAGGCACCTAGCAAAAAAAGGTGTGTGGCCCAGTGCCAGACCAAGTGTTGTGCATCCAGAGAGAACATAAAGCAAGTCAATAGAGTGCCCGAGAAAATCATTTTTTGTTCAAGTTAATCCAACAGGCAAAAACTTTACAAAAACAAAAGAGGACAAAACTGGAAAAACCAGTCCTTTACAGAGGCAAAAAATTATAGTTCAATAAGATACATAAGCAATACAAGTTTGTGAAATGTTGTACAATAAAGACATTTTGGAAATGTTAAAATGAATCAGAAAAAAAATTGAACACAAAGCAAAGAAAGCTTAGATTGAGGACAGATCAAAAGGTAAGATTCAAGATTAGGAAGGAAAGAGCAAAGTCAGATCTAGAAAAGAGCTTCAAGGCAAACTCAAAAAAGGGACACTCAGGGCCTCCCTGGTGGTGCAAGGGGTTAAGTCTCCGCATTATGAAGCTATCTGCAGCACAAGTTTGATTCCCAGCCTGGGAGCTAACCCACATGCACATCAGACCTCTCCGGTCTCACCTGCTACTCCCCTCAGCAGTGTATTTCAGAAAATCCTCCTGTTCTGCTCCCCACTCTGTCTCTTAAATCCTCTCACTCCCTGCCTCTGGCCCACACTGCAGCTCTTGCATAAATAAAATAAAATCTTTTTTTTTCTTCCCCAAAAAGGGATACTCATATCGCTGACCTCAAGGTTTTTCTATCATACCCACATTCACAAGATAAAAGCAGCTCCTGAGGCTTCTAGACCGGCATATCCAGAATTTCACGCTCTGCATAGGAAAGCACATCACTAGGTCAAACAAGGGCAGGTCAATCACAAACACCACTAAGGGAGACTAGCGCCTGGGCCTCAGGCTTAGCGGTCAGAACCTTAGGTAAAAGCTAAAAATTAAATGGACTCGGGCGGCTTCCATCGCGCTTAGTTATAGGGGCCAGACTTTGGTTCTTCCACCTCGGAAAGCAGTTCCGTTCAAAGTAACCCTCGGCCGGCAGGGAGGGCATGTCGGGGCAGGTGAAGCCACAGGAGGAGCCCTGGCTGCCGGGGTGGAACAATCTAACAGGTGGCGTTAAACATTTCCAACGAGTGAAAAGCAGGCCGCAAAACAAAGTGCAAATTCCTCATTTTTAAGACAAAATAAACTTTGAATAAACCGCGGGTCCTACGCCAGGAATTCACACTCCTCGGCCGTTGGGGCTGGGTTTTTTTTTTTTTTTCCACCAAAGGAAGTTTGGGGAATCCTGTTCCAATTTTAGCCAAAAGGTGAAAAAAGGTGCGTTTTCCGGGCTTCGCTCTTTGAACTAAGAACTCTGGGGCGCCCCCAGCCCGCGGTGGCGGTTATCAAAATCCCCAAAGCAAACCAGAGAAAAGCGCGCGGAGCCCCCGACTCGCCGCGCCGCCGCCGGCCGGGCTGAGGCGAGGCCGCGAGCCCCGGGGCTTCCCGAGCGGCGCGCCGGCTCCCGAGCGCCCGCTGCGGCCCGGAGGAGCGAGTTCGACCAGCAAAGAGGCGGCGCCGTTCCCGGCAGGCAGCTCCCAGGGGACACACCCAAGGGTTCCCCCACTTATTTGTGTTTCTCTCTACCACCCGTTCACCTGGTGGGTGGGAGGCCCAGGGTCAAAGGTCTGTGAGGAAAGGGTCGGCCATGTTGCCGGCCGCGCGTTTTTTGGTGGTAAACAGCGTGTCGACGGCGTTGCCCTTTTAATTGCGCTCGCTGGCCCCGGAGGGTCGAGGACATCGCCCCTTTAAGTCCGGTGGCATCACGGTTCCGGGGGCGGGGCCTGTCTTTCGCAAGACCGTGCCAGCCCGGGGCTGATTCATTCGGGGGCTGGAGTTAGCAGCGGCGACGTTAGGTTCCACGTAGGGCGTTTCCTAGCTCCTGATTGGCTAATCGTGGGGCCGCCCACCCCCGCGCTCCGCCCCCGGGTTCGCTCTCCGGTCCGCAGTGGAAACAGTGCCCTCTCCCTTCTTGACCCCTGGTCCTCTCTCCCCTCCCTTCCTCCCTCCCTCCCGCCGCCGCGGTCGATTTTGGCGCTGCTGCTCCCGGAGGCGCTCCCGGCTCGGCGATGGGGTCTCGGGCCTCCACGTTGTTGAGGGACGAAGAGCTCGAGGAGATAAAGAAGGAGACTGGCTGTGAGTTGGGGTAGGGGGTGGGAGCGCGGCCGGGCGCCGCCGGTGGCCTCCGCAGCGAGCCAGGCTGTCGCTGAGGTCTGGAGCTGGGGCGCCCAGAGGTTTTGGGGGGTCCTGTGCGCATCCTGGGCAGTCCCTGTGCTGGAGCTTAGAGGTGAGGGACTGGAGGGCTATTCCGTGTGGGGCTTCCTTCCCTCAAAGGGGGGAGTCGTGACCACCCCTCAGGCAGGGACTCGGCTCTCTGGTCTTCCCCCCTCTCGGGAGTGCCTTTATTTCCCTTCCTCACACTAACCACAAAGTCAGGGGCTCTGGATGGCTGCTACAGAAAACATCCGTTCCTGTGACGTTTAAGGACTTAAAGCCACTGACAACTGTGGGAAATCACGACCACAACTGCAGCAAGAGCTTGTGGCTTTTACCACAAGTCTTGTAGTAGACTTTGGAAGGCATGGCTTGGTGATGGGAGGCCTTTCAAGAATCAGGACCCTTGAGGTCTGAGACTTTTTCATCCGGAACCTGTGGAGAAAAACCACGGAGACTCAGGCCACGATTTTTGCTTACATGGAGGATTCTTACTCTAATAGCAGATACACTGATTTATGCTATTCTGGTGTACTTTATGCAGCTTCTGTAGAAATTAGATGAGTTCCAAAAATCTCAGTGTGGATTTGTGCTAGGAGAGAATTTTTTTTAAGATTTTTTTAAAATTTATGCATACAAGAGTTGGGGTGTAGGCCAGAGTTGGGGAGGAGGGCTAAGAGTGTTCACCAGAGACTGAATGGGGAGCAGAACTGGCGATTGACTGAAGGACACTGCTGAGGGGAGCAGATAGCAAGGCAGGAGATGTCCCCTGGACCATGTGGGTTAGCTCCCTGGCCAGGGATGGAACTCATGCTGCAGTGGCTGCTGATAGCTTCACAGTGGTGAGACTTAACCCCTTGTGCCACCAGGGAGACCCTAGAAACGAATTTTTTTTTTATGGTTCAGCCTCATGCCCCTGAACAAAATGGGCAACATGGCTTTAGGAATGTAGAGGTTCTGCGAAATGCCATTATACACTGTCTAACCCTTGATAATGCATATGATATTTTCTCTCCTTATTAATCCATTGTGCCTCTTGTGTTTTAAATGAGTTATGTCAGCATTTGAGCTCTGTCTCTTTGTGATACCTAGCAGGTATCAGAATAGTGGCCCATATGCAGGTAATATTGAAAGGTGCTAGGGGAACTAAGAGTGATTCAGGCAGTGGTGGCCTGAGTTAAATCAAATGACTGTCCTGCACTTATGACAATGTCAACTTTTAGAATCTTCAAGTTAGAAGGGACATTAATCTGGTCCCACCTCTTGTCAGATTGGTTTACTGCTTTTAGCATCCCTAACTTACGGTGATTAAACCTCTTCATAAAGACTTTTAATGATGATGAGTTTACTATCTATTAATATAGTCCTTTTCCTGATTTTGCGTGAATAACAGAAAGTAGTTAGCTGTTTATAGTATGCAGTACTTGTTTGGCAACTTGACCTTCTGGTCGTTTTGTGATTTTTTTTCCTGACTCCTGAGAGTAGAAATATAGGCAGTTTGGATTCAGCAAGCTTTTTTTTAGATTTATTTTATGTATTTATGTATTTATTTATGCGTGTAAGAGCGCTTAGTCTAGCCCTGGGGAGATGAAGAGAGTGTGTATGAGAGGATTCACCAGAGACAGAGTGGGGAGCAGAACAGGCAGATCTACTGAAATACACTGCTGAGGGGAGTGTTGGGCAAGATGAGAGGTCTGCTGTGCCATGTGGGTCAACTCCCTTGCCAGGGATGGAACTCATGCTGAGTCGCTGCAGGTAGCTTTATAGTGCTGAGACTTAGCCCCTTCCACCACCAGGGAGGCCCTCAGCAAGGTTTTAATTACATTTTGATGCCATGGCCACATATATATTCATGATTAAAATAAAAATATCTCAATGAGGAAGTATACACCATAGTGAAGATGGGGAAATGCTCATTTTTGCCTCATGACAAAGGGAGCTGTAATCCTATTCTGGTGTATTTCCTTTGACCAATGTAAAAGGCTTGGGTTGCCATAGGATTCTGGGTTATATTATTGTGTGACTTGTGGCAAGCAGAACTAAGTACTCCTGGAGGAACTGTTTTCCTAGTTGCTGAAAAGTTACTATAAGCCTAAGGGAGATCCTCAACCCCAGCCAGTGCAAGTGTATATACTGAGCTAGAAAATCTAATGAAACAAAAACTTAATTGAATTTTTACGGCGTCTATATCCAGAAGTTTGCTAGATACTCAGAGCAGATGGTGACAGTACACCCACAGCCTGATCATGGAGATAAACCTACAAGAGTTAGGATTAACAGCATGATATAAGATAGCTAAAATTGTGTGGCATCTGCCCTAAGACTTCAAGACAGAATCCTTGTGGTCCAGCCTTGTGGAGGCCAGGAATTGGGCTTTGGTGCATGCATGGACCAATTTGAATGGAGAAAAAGGAGGGCATTTTGATTGGCTTCTATGAGCTATTTCCCCACAGCCTGCTACAGAGTCATTCTACCATCCTCAGAGAGTTGAGCCATCAGTTTATACAGTTAGTGCCCCTCAGCAGAGTTATGTTATTTTTAAAGGAGTTTTTTTTTAAAGTATTCATTTATTAAGAGTTTTTGCTCCTGGTGGAGTAAGGGGTTAAGTCGCTTCACTATGAATCTATCTGCAGCCACTGTATCAGGAATTCCATCCCGACCAGGGAGGTAACCCACATGGCACAGCAGACCTCTTCTGTCTTGCACACTGCTCCCCTCAGCAGTGTATTTCAGTAGATCTGCTTGTTCTGCTCCCCACTCTGTCTCTGGTGAATCCTCTCATCGTTGCCCCCCCCCTCCTCCAGCCTGCACCCCAGCTCTGGTATACATAAATAAATAAATCTTAAAAAAAAAGTTTGGGGAGCTATCTACAGAAACACTAAGAAAAAGTATTACTTTAACTGTTTCCTTCACCCGTGAAAAAATGTAGCATAATTGAGGAAAACTAACTTTATATTCAATATGAAAGCTTTGCATTGGACTTAGTGATTGTATTATTATTTTTTTTTTTTGCAGTTGATGTTTTATTGACTCCAGAGTCAGCAACTCATTCATTTTTCTAATATTCATTGTCTTTTTATATGCTAATGTATACAATTTTTTTCTATTTTATTTTTTATTGAGGTACCATTGGTTTACAACACTGTGTGAGTCAGCAGTATAGGATCACACCCTTTCGGGTGTTGTTACTATACTCATCAGACAGGCACCCTTAGTTCTCTGCTCTAGGAGAGCTCTCCCAGACCCTTTAATGATTATATATCATTTGTAAGTCTAAATCTATTGGAGTTCATATGTGATTAACTTAGCTGTTACTTGAAATGTCATCTCTAAGGGTTTGGAAAAAGTATTTCTAGGTAAAAATTATCTGTAAGCCTCCATTTTTATCATCTGCAGATGGGAATAATAGTACTTTATAGGATTCTTATGAAGCACTAAATGAGAAAAATTATGTAAACTACTTACAATAATGAGTAGTATATAATCAGTGCCAGATGTGTGTTAGCTATTATTATTGTGAACCATGGATAACAGTCATCTTATTGGGAAAATACATTTGCATGTGTTAAGTTATAAAACTGTCCCACTATATATAACTGGGCAGGTGACAGCATTTTATGCTCTTACTATTTTCAGTGGCATTGGATTAGAAATTGAGTACAGACGTTGTTTTTCCAGTACTGAGGAGATAAAACTTTTAAAAGAGTAGAACTACTGATGTTTCCTCTAATAGTTTAAAGAACATTGTCTAAAAACCCTTTGAAGGGGCAGAAAACATTTGCTGTATTGTCTTTGTACTACTGCTTTTCACATTTAAGCATGTCCATAAGTTAAAGCTCATTTGAGTAAATGTCTGTAGGGGAAAGGTCCTATGTGTCTTGGAAGTTTCTGTAATCTCTGCTCTTAGTTGACTTAGCATAGCATTAAGTTGAATTCTTTAAAACCTTTTATTTTTATTTTATTTTAAAGGTTTGCTTTTATTTATATATGGTTTTTATTTTAAAGATTTATTTTTATTTATATATGCATACACAACCCGGGGTATAGGCCAGAGGTGTAGGAGGGGAGAAGATTCACCAGAGACAGAGTGGGGAGCAGAACAGGCGGATCTACTGAAATGTACTGCTGAGGGGAGCAGCGGGCCAGACAGGAGAGGTCTGCTGTGCCATGTGTGTCAGCTCCCTAGCCCAGGATAGAACTTACACTGCAGTGGCTGGTGATAGCTTGATAGTGCTGAGACTTAACCCCTTGCACCACCAGGGAGGCCCTAAAACTTTTTTTTTTTTTTTTAATAAGAAGCACTTAATCTGTGAGAAATGATTCATGCCATTTGAGTAATAGTGAATGCAGATTTATTTGTTTTTAGTCTTTAGCTTCTGGTGTGTGTCATGTGGTATGGAGAGGGTGTTGAACAGGTTTGCAAAGTAAGTCTTACAGGCTGGTAAGATTTTGTTTGTTTGAAAGAGTGTAGTGATATTAGAACTAGTGTGGGGTTTTAGTGTTTGGTTTTTTTTTTTTTTTTTTTTTTGTGGACAGCATGTAAATGGAAATTCAACTTCAGGCTGCTACTGCCTCAAAATGTTGGATCCCCTTCATGGTCCTTACCTACCTGGCATGCCATAGTGCCTGAAGGTCCTGAAACTACTTGCCTTCTGGCTTCTAGTGAAATGGAAATGCACAGATAATGAGCACTTTTAACTGGTTTGTATTAAATGATTCAGAAAGCTCTTTTCCCTCCCAACTTTTTCTTTTAAAGATTTATTTATTTATGCATACAAGAACTGGGGTGTAAGCCAAAGGTGGGGGTAGGTGAAAGGATTCACCAGAGAGAGTGGGAAGCAAAACAGGCAGATCTACTTAAATACACTGCTGAGGGGAGCAGAGGGCAAGACAGGAGAGGTCTGCTGTGCCATGTGGGTTACTCCCTGGCCAGCGGGGGCTCGAACTCATGGAACTTAAACTGCTGTGACTGGCAATAGCCTGATAGCGCTGTCTTTAACCCCTGTGACATCAGGGAGGCCCTCTCCTAACTTTTTATGATGAAAATTTTCAAATATATAGAAAAGTTAAAATAGTGTAATGAACATCCATAACCCTCCACCTTAAATTCAACAGCTATTTTTTGCTATATTTGCTCTGTTCATATTTTTTTTTTATGAACTATTTGAAAGTTGCAGATGGCAAAACTCTTCACCCCTCAATACCGGTGCATGAATCCTGTGAACAGGGGTTTCTCTTACATAACCACAACGCTGTTACCATGCTAAGAAGGTAACAATAATTCTATAACATTATCTTCTATTTGGTCCATATTAAAATTTCCCTAATTATAAGGAGGTAATTTTTTTTTTAATGTCTTTTAAGTCTCTTAGTCTATAGTTTCACTAAAAGAGGCAAACTCTTGAAGTCATTTGGTTAGGAGAAGCAGGGGAAGTTTTGGGGTTGTAGAGTGTTTCAGGAGGTGCAGGCTTTATCTTTTATTTAGAGTTACCTTTGGTTACACTTGTATATTTTACCAGATTATCAATCTATTATTTACTATTAAGATTTAGGCTAAGGGCAAGGGCAAAATAAATTTTTTCTTACTGCCTTTTGGTTTTTATTCATCCCTCTGTAATTCCTCCTTGGGGCTTGACACTGCTCTGAAATGCCTTCCAACTCTGAGAATGACGTAGTAATGATAGGTATGTTTGTAGTTAAGATTAACAGGGCCTTTTAAGTAATATTGCGGTAATATAAAATAATTATTTGCCTGTCATTGGAGGAAAATATAGATTCATTCAAGACATGTCCATGTGCATGGCCTTTTCTGAGAGCAATTGTTAACTCCTGAGACTTCCTTTGGGCTACCAAGAATGGCGCAGGTTTGGGGAACCTGTCCTGCTAGTTTAGAACCTGGTGGAAACTGTTTGCTGGAACAGAGCTTCTGGTAACTTTCTGCTCCTTGAACTTGCTTTGAACTGTATGCTTTAGAATTTGTGATTGTAAGTTTAGCATCTAAATTGAAGGGTTTTTTTTTTTTTTTTTAAAGATTTTTAAAAACAAAGACTTGGTAACAGTATCATTACAATATTAGTTTTGAAATTTAGAAGGTGGATTGAGATATGACCATATTGAGTTGTGTTTTTAAAGTTGGTGTTTGGTTGTGCATTTCTCCACTGGTTTCCATATAGTCCAGTTAGCCCTGGAAAATGGTAGTTTTATGGTTGTTTTGTTGTAGAAATGATTTCTAGCCTTTTACCCAGGCAGGGGAAGAACAAGCGGTACTTCAGGAATGGTGAGGTCAGGAGAAGCTTTATTACTCATGCATGAGGTCCCAGACCTGGGTAGTCCCGTAAGGTCTGAGCACCAGTTTAAAGACCAAGGGTTCCTTTTATATATAGCTGTCTCCATATCTGTTACATTGATAGCTTCATTTTTCAGCAGGCACAACCATTTGCGGCAAAGTCCCCAGACAAGGGGGGCAAGGCAAGGGGGGACAGATGCAAGCATTCAGGGATGGCCTTGGAGAGACAGACCAGCTTGGCCGACTGCTGACCTTGTAGATAAGAGTGCTGAGGCCCTGGCCATGAATCTTGAAAGGGAAGGAGCATTAAGTAAGCAAACTTGTTGATTATGCCTGCGTTGGAGCAGTGCATCTGGGCTGGAAGATCTGCTGGAATTTTTATTATATTCTTTGGCTCAACAATGTATTTTCGCTTCAGTTTGACTATTTACATGTTTGTTTGTTATTTTTTGATATGTTGGCAAATCGTGCATGTAGGCAGCCATAAACTGGTCATTATTTCCTGAAGTAATTGGTGAAATGACATACCTGTACTTTTTTGCAGGACTTCAAAAATCATGCTATAAGAGGTTTCTGTGCCCAGTGTTTTCAGATGATGATATAGACTACAAAGATATCTGATGGCTCATTTTTCAAAGGAGTTAGACTGGATGATAGCAATTCTAAAATTGTTTAAATTGTTGGGGCCTCCTTGGTGGCCTAGGGATTAAGTCTCAGTGCTATCACGACAGCCAAGTTCCATCCCCGGCCAGAGAGCTAACCCACATATGTCGCAGCAGACCTCTCCTGTCTCGCCCGCTGCTCCCCTTAGCAGTAAATTTCAGTAGATCCACCTGTTCTGCTCCCCTCTCTGTTTCTGGTGAATCCTCTCACCCCCCTGTACCTCTAGCCTATACCCCAGTTCTTGTATGCATAAATAAATAAATAAATCTTTAAAAAATTGTTTAAGTTGATATATGTACTTATATATAGACCCAGGGAATTTTTACAAATATTTACAAGAAACTGTAATAGTTTGCCTTTGGCAAGGGAGACACTGGAAATTGGTAGAGTTTTCGTTGGGTACTCTTGTCTAGCTGCATTTTCAACCTGTACATAGATTATTTTCTCAAATTAAAAAAAAGTATTAGAAAATAAAAATTGAATACATTTCTTGTTGAGGAAAGTAATCTGAAGTATATAATATCTAAGTACTAAAAACTGATCCAGTAAACTAAATATGCAGTTTTTAAATGGATGCCAAAGAAATACAGAGAAATTATGAATTAACAAAAGGAAGATATTACAACTGTATGAAGTGTACAAATGACTGATAACAGATGGTATATGAAGAAATGAAAATGCTATTGAGATTATGAACAAATTTTGTTTTTTCAAAACATCTTTTGGGAAACTTAGTCAGTCTTTAACTGATTTATTTTTGTTAACCTAAAGATAACTGTAGTTCTCCAGCAGCCTTTGAGGCCCAGCCTTTGAGCCAGGGTAAACAGGTCAGGTTCCTGAAGAAATGCTGATTGTGGCTAACAGAGCCAATTAGGGCAGCAGGAATACTGTACCTTCAGGCTTACAGTTTAAGGGTGATGATGATAGTAGCTGACCTGCAGGACTTGCCGTGTGCAGAAACTTTCCCTTGGCCTCTCAGTTCACTCTACAATCCCGATTCACTCACCCTTTCTGGGAAGCCGCAGTGCTGTGAATGGGATTGGACTCTGCCAGCCTGATCCTCACAAGGCTGCACTCTTTACATCATGCTGTTCTCACCCTCCTGACTGCCAGAAAGGTCCACAGCTTCTTCCTCAGTGTCTGGACCACTGCTGGCTCTGGCCTGGCTGAGAGTGAGTCTTCATCCTCAGAATGAGAGCCTTGGAGCTTCTGCCCACCTTGAAGCACAGGTGCAGAGCAGAGCTGCTTTCCACACTGATGCTGAAGACTCCCAGCCACACCTCGCACCTCAGTGCTCACCCCAGTTCAGGGCCACTGGCTTCCAGCTTCTCCGCTGTGCCCCTGTTTACTTTATCCCACTGTTCCTAAGATTACAAGCAGATTTTTGTTTCATAAACTTTGGGGGGAGGGCAACTATCAGAACGCTTTGGGCCACCCCTTTAAATCCTTCAAGGTACAGCCTAGGACGAAGTCCATACTTGCTGCACCCTTTTTAGCTGTTGTCTTTTCTCCTTTGATAACTCATTTTTCCCCCTCCTGCCTCTTTTTGATGAGGAGACTGGGCTACTTCTCACAAGTTCCTTTTTGTATTTTCAAAGTTATTACCTCATTTTAATTGTCAACTTGTACCTAGGTTAATTCAAAATGAGAAGCAAAACAGCTTTCTTGTAGATGTCATCTGGTGATAACTTGACCGTGTTACGAACTGTCCAGTTTGCCTTCTTGCAGCCTGTTCCTCAGTAAAACTCAGTAGCCCTTATTCACAGAGGCAGTGGTCATCTTTTGTCTGACTGTGTGGTCAGTCATGAGAGAAATGGCAAAGCTGCTACTGCTTGGGACAGGACAAACCAGTTTTTGAAAATAGAATATTTGATGTGTCCCACCTTTAATTTAGTACCTATCCACTAGAGCCAGCCTAAAACATTAACCCGAATAATATGTATGTGATTTTAATCAAAGAATGCATTTTCATAACCTCTGAGTCAGCACTGAAAGGTGAAAGTTTCACAATTTCATCTTAAACTAAATTCTGCTTTGTTTTGTTAAATCTTAACCTCTAGACAATTAATTAAACCTAGACTTCACTCCTGAGAGTCCATTTTTATAACTCTCATTTAGTTTATTTTCTGACTCCTTTCATTCTTTAACTTTTAACCTTTCTGTTTTCACACTCTAGAGATGAGTCAAAGTTGAGACATCACCCCATTTTATGCACTTTGAAGTCTGATGCTAAACTGGCTTCTAAAGGGCTACATTCGGGTTCAGTTTGAGTGGAGTACTTCTCCAACTGGGGCTCATTTTGTGTTCTTCAGTTTCCCACAGTCAGATCACCCGCCTCTACAGCCGGTTCACCAGCCTGGACAAAGGAGAGAACGGGACTCTCAGGTAGGCAGTCCTTTCTTTATTTCCTGGCAATGTCTGAATAGCTGCCTTTATCCCGAGGGCAGACATGATAGTAATCCAGCGTGTGGAGAGCAGGGACCAATTTTTCCGCTGGTCTTTGAGCTCTCTTGATACACAAGGGAACTAAATAAGTAGAAGAATGGCCTTACATTTGCCATGAGGTGCTTGCTCTTTTAATCCAGCTTCCCTTAGTTTGAGTAAAAGGCCATTGTTCTGGTGCTGGGAACATACTTTTGAGAATTTCCTACATCCCTTTTCTAAACATATTGCTTTTATGAAGTTGACCCATAGCCGATGGGTCATCTTTCATTTCCCAGCCCAGTCCATCATCAATTTACATAAGTTAATGTTAGGTAAGATGTTCAATATTTTAGTATAAAACAGTGATTCTCTACAAAGGGTTATTTTGTCCTGTCTGAAGACATTTTTGATTGTCACAACTGGGGAATGCGACTGACGTGAAGGCCGGAGGTGGGCTGCTAACCAGCCTACAGCACACAAAACAGCCCTTCCCACCAACAAAGAATTGTTCTCTCCAAGAACTTAATAGTGTCAAAGTTGAGAAACTGGTCTAGAATAAGTACGTGATTTCAGAATATTATAATGCTTTATTGTATTATATTTGTGATTGTCTTATCATAGTCAAATGAATTATCTCCTTACCACCACCTCCCAACCTAAGTCTTAAGTAGCAGCCTTTTGTTACTTTTGTTCTTCAACTTTGATTGATTGGCATAGTATGAAGCAGCCTTTCTGGTGACTGGCAGAAAGCAACCGAGTACTTCCTTGAGAGGTTTCTAGCCATATGTATGATGTAGCATACAGAGGGAAGAAATATAATTGCTTACTCTATGTACATAATCCTCAAGTGGAAGAGCTAGAGAATGCTGCTAAATCCAAGGAACCGTGTTTGTTCAGGACAAAATCCGCCACCCCTGGAGGCTGGGATTAACCAAAACCACGCTGCACATTAGATAGGCAATGACTGTGGAATACCTCCCTGGTGCAACTCGGTGCTTTTTGTTGAGACAAAATACATATACAGAGTTTACCATTTTAATTAAGTGGCATTAAATATATTCACAACATTGTGCCACAATTACCATTTGGACTTATGTTGTAATTCTCTCTTGGAGTAGAATTATGGGTCCTATGGTAATCTTAATTTATTGAGGAACCACCAAACTTCTACAGGAGTTGTACCTTTTTACATTCCCACCAACACTATACAATAGTTCATTTTATTCTCCATCCTCACCAACACTTACCTGTCTTTTGATCCTTGCTGTCTTAGTGTGCGCGGTATCTCGTTGTGGTTTTGATTTGTGTTTCTCTTATTGCTAATTATGTTGAGCATCTTTTTTGAGCAGGTTGAATATTTATATATCTCTTTCAGAAATGTCTATTTAAGATCTTTGTCTATTTTTTAAAATTTTATTTTTAAATTGAGATGATAATTAACATATAACATTGTATTCACTTTAGGTTTGTCTATTTTTAAATTGGAATGTTTGTCTTTTTGTTCTTGAGAGTATCCTTGATACTAGACTCTTACCAGATGTATGATTTTGCAAATACTCCTTCCTTTTCTGTGGGTTATCCTTTCACTCTCTTTATAATGTTCTTTGAAGCACAAAATTTTTAAATTTGGTGAAGTCCAGTTTACCTTATTTTTTTAGTGTATTGAGCTTTTAAGTCATATCTAAGAATTCAAGGTCATGAAGATTTATGCCTGTGTTTTCTTCTAAGAGTTTTACAGTTTATGTTTAAGCTTTGATACATTTTTAGTTTCCTTTTATATATAGTCTGAAGTAAGAATCTAACTTTAATTTTTTGCATGTGGGTATTCAGCTGTCCCAGAACCTCTTGAAGAGACTCTGAATTTTGCTATTGAAGAATAACCATTTTCTTTATCTGGGTGCTGGTTAAAATCGTGGTGATGATTCATGCACATTACTTGTGATTTTTGCTCTTCTCTGTATGTTTGTTGTTTCTCTAAAAGTTTACCTTAAAAATAGCCTCATTTTGAGCATTGTCTTTGCTAGATAATACTTTTTCTCAAATAATGCCAGAATGAAAATTATTCCTGGATTTGAAGTCATGCAAGTTAAGTTGGCTACAGGGGACAGTGCAGACCAGTTAAACTCTGCAGTTACTACTGGGAATTACTAGTTGACTGTGTTGTTACATATCACTTTAAAAATGATGACGTGTTTTTAAAAAAATGTTACTTCGACCATGGTACATTTTAGATTCGTTCTGAATGGTGTGTTTTTAAAAAAATGTTACTTCGACCATGGTACATTTTAGATTTGTCTTGAATGGTTTTGTTACAGGGAACCACATTGTGCGCCAAACTGTTACAGGGCAACCCCAATATGATATGGGTTGCCTGACTGTGGGTCCTCACCTTTGTGCTTAAAAGGGACTTATAATGAGACTCAACTGTAGGCACACACAAAAAGGGTTAATAAAGGGTTTCTTTACAAAAGAAGGAGAAATGAAGAAATGAATAACTCAGGGAGAAAGAGAGGGAGATAAATTGGTGAATGTTTCCTACCAGTTCTGCTGAGCTGGAATCCCAGTAGCACACTGAGAGCCAGCGAAAAGCCAAGAGACCCCCCCACCCCCAAGGCCCATATGTCTGGTTATATACTAAACATGGCTGCTTAACTCTACCCTCAGTTCCCAGCAGTCCTCCTTTGTTGATGATGACATTATGGGATTTGTAGTTCTTGGTGTCTTGGAGATCTCTGGTCTGGAGTAGGGGTGAAGTCCATAAAACCTGCATTTGTGAAGTTCATTTAGGGCATCCTTTCCCCCAACAATTGTATTTTATCTAATTAAACACTAAGTACTTTTGTGGCTTTTTTTCTTGTTTGACTTTATCCAGGGAACAGATGATTTCAATATCCTGGACAAAGACTTGCTTTGCTTACAGTAATATCAGTCTTTTCAGAATGGAGTTTCTCTGATGAGAACCATGATGCCAATCTAGTTCTCATTTCTTAATAGATACTCTTTGTTTACTTCTTTGAAAACTTCAGATATCTACTTGATCTGAGATTTCACAAAGATGTACCTTTTTGTGGGCTTTTTTTTTTTTTTTTAAGATTTATTTATATATACAAGCACTGGGTACAGTTAGAAGCGCGGGAGGGTGAGAGAATTCACCAGGGCCAGAGCGGGGAGCAGAGCAGGCAGAAGGACGGAAGTACACTGCTGAGGGGAGCAGCAAGCAGCAGGAGAGGTCTGTGCGCCTTGTGGGACCCTCCTCCAGTGGCCGGGGAGCAGCCAGGGATTGAATCTGCGCTGCAGAGGCTGCGGGCAGCTTGGCAACTCAGCACTCAACCACTGCGCCACTGGGGAGGCCCTTTGTGGGCTATTTTTATTTATTCATTGCCCAGAATTGGGTAAACCATTTCAGTCTTTAGCTGGGAAGTTTTCTTCTGTTATTTCTTTGGTTATTTCCTTCTTCTTTCTCTCTTTTTTGAAGATTTATTTATTTATGCATATAAGAACTGGGGTACAGGTCAGAGTTGTGGGGAGTGAGAGGATTCACCAGAGACAGAATGGGGAGCAGAACAGGCAGATTGACTGAAATACACTGCTGAGGGGAGCAGCGGGTGAGTCAGGAGAGGTCCGCTGCACCATGTGGGTTGTTCCCTGGCTGGGGATCAAACTCATGCTGCAGTGGCTGCAGATAGCTTCATAGGTTGTGTCTTAATGCCTTGCGTCACCAGGGAGGCCCTACTCCTTCTCTTTTCTTTACTGATCTTCATGACATTTCTGTTGGCTGCCTGGCTATTAGGGCACTGTACTCAAATTTAATTTTATATTTCCTGGTCATTTGATTGTCTCCTTTGCTTTCTGAAAGGTATCTTTGAATTTATTTTTCAGTTCTTTTGATGTGTTTCTTTAGTCCATAATCATTTTTAATTTCCAAGAACCTTTCTTGTTCTCTGACCTCTGTTGTATCATTGTAAGTTATTTTTGTCTTATTAATGCAGAAATTACAAATGCTTGCTGTTGGTAATTAGCAAATGTCCATTGAGTTACTTATTAGAATCTTTCAGAAATTTCTTTTGTTCCCTGCATTATTATCTCTGTTCATCTTGATCCTGCTCTTTTTTTTTTTTTTTTTAGATTTATTTATTTATTTATACAAGCACTGGATACAGTCAGAAGCGTAGGAGGGTGAGAGAATTCACCAGAGTCAGAGCGGAGAGCAGAGCAGGCAGACTGACAAAATACACTGCTGAGGGGAGCAGCGGGTGGCAGGAGAGGTCTGCATGCCATGTGGGACCCTCACCCGGTGGCTGGGGATTGAACCAGCGCTGCAGAGGCTGTGGGCAGCTTCGCAACCCAGCGCTCAACCGCTGAGCCACCGGGGAGGCCCTTGATCCTGTTCTTTTTTAACTGGTGGTGTGCCCTTCTCCCTGCATTGTAACACTTTAAGTCTTGGTTATCCCTTTATATTTAGAAAAAGACTAGTTGGGATGCAATTGAAAGCTGGCATGGATTTGTGGTTATATTTTCTCTCTCCCTTTGTGGAAACCCTGACTTCAAGCCCTCTATAGAGTAAGCAAGGCAGTAAGTTGATAGACCTTACTTTAAGTGTATATAGTGAGAGGCAAGAGGACAAATTTACAATCCCCTCCCCCAGACAGAAGGACTGTGTTCCAGGGGGACCTGCCTCCCACACTTAACTTTAGGTCTTTTAACTAAGACCTGGCCATGAAGATCTTTCAGTTTCTTTCTGTAACGATTCTCTTTTTTAATCCTGTGGACACATGGTTTCATATTTTTGTGGTGGATTACAGTAGCAGCAGTCAGCTGGACTGTTCTTTAAAAAACTTATTTAATCAGGCCTCCCCCGTGGTGCAGTGGTTGAGTCCTGGGTTGTGAAGCTGACCGCAGCCTCTGTAGTGCCGGTTCCATCCCCGGCTGCTCCCCAGCCACCGGAGGAGGGTCCCACATGGCGTGCAGACCTCTCCTGCCGCCCGCTGCTCCCCTCAGCAGTGTACTTTGTCAGTCTTCCTGTTCTGTTCCCCCCTCTGGCTCTGTTGAATTCTCTTGCCCTCCCGCGCTTCTGACTGTACCCAGTGCTTGTATAAATGTATAAATAAATAAATAAATAAATCTTGGGGGGGGGGGACTTATTTAATCAATCTCACTGACTATTGTTGCCCTTACCAAGCAGCTGTGTATGTGCTGCTTTGCTGAGATTTTGCAGGGCAAATTGGCTCTCAGCTCTACTGTAGCACATGTGCATCTACCTTCAGATTTCCAGGATTTGTCAAATCCCTTATCTACTAGTATACTCCCACCATGGTTGTTTATATCATAGATGAAGTCCCATGGGTGCACTTTTGCTGACATTTCAGGCGGTCTTAGAGACTGAGAGAAGGTAAATGTGTATGTGTTCACCATCCTCAATCAAAAGTCAGGTACAACCTACCAAATAACCCAGTCTGGTCCTGGAACACTAAAACAGCTGACAAAGACTTTATATGGAAAAAAAACCCTATCATCAAAACAACAATATCGGACCTTCCTGGTGGCACAGTGGTTGAGCGCTGGGCTGTGAAGCTGCCCGCAGCCTCTGTAGCACCAGTTCGATCCCCGGCCGCTGGGGAGGGTCCCACATGGTGCGACAGACCTCTCCTGCTGCGCCCGCTGCTCCCCTCAGCAGTGTATTTCGTCAGTCTGCATGTTCTGTTCCCTGCTCTGGCTCTGGTGAATTCTCTCACCCTCCTGCGCTTCTGACTGTACCCAGTGCTTGTATAAATAAATAAATAAATCTTTTTTTAAAAAAAAAGACAACAATATCAAAATTGTCTTACCAATTACATTAAAAATATTAACTACAGGGCTTCCCTGGTGGCATGGCGGGTTGGGTGCTGCTCTGTGGGGCTGTCCATGGCCTCTGCAGCGCCAGTTCAATTCCCGGCTGGCCAGGGAGAGGCCCACATGGCATGGCGGACCTCTCCTGCCTCACCCGCTGCTCCCCTCAGCAGTGTCTTTGGTCTGTCTGCCTGTTCTGCTCCCCTCTCTCTCTGGTGGGTTCTCTCGCCCTCCGGTGCCTCTGGCCTGTACCCAGTTCTTGTGTAAATGGACAGATCTTTAAAATAGAAAAAAAATATTAACTGCATGCCTTAGATAATGGAAATTGTTATTTCCATGTTAATATAACTATATTTTAAGTATAAATAATTTCTCTATTATGAATCTTAAATATGGAGAATTGTTTTCATAATGGGATATGTGTTCCTATGGGTGTGTTCTAGTAACAGATTTTGATGTCCTCATTGTGTATGTCATCTGATCATGGACCCTCTATCCTTGAAAATCAAGCAGTTAACTGTGAAGCTGTATCTCTGCATAAGAAAAGAGACCTACACATTTTAGGTTTTTACAACTTTGTGGAATTAAAAAAGAATTCCTGAAGAATAAAGATTACTAAAAGATTTACAAATGAGGATCCATTTGATAGATGAGAATCCCTTGGTTAATACAGGCTCTGCTCCTAAAAATGGTAGTAACTTCTGGTTACTAAGTCTTTCAAACTGGATTTTCTTCAGAGTATCCCTCTGCCCATGAATAACTGGAAAACCAGTCTTCATTGGAATTTTCTTTGCCACGAAGAATGCCATTATACATGATTCCATTCTCAGACTTGCCTTCTCCCAGTAATAATGTCTTTTCTTAAAAAAAAACAAAAAATAAAAATCAGCTTCCAATTTGAGTAATATTTCTCTACGTATACTAGTAGGTAGAATATAATGTTGGTGTTTTTTTTTTTTTTTTTTTTTTTATGAGTACCCACAAGTCTACATTTCTAACAAGTCTTACACTCGTGGTATGCATGCCACTTGAAATATTTATTTTTGTCTGTTAGTTTTGTGTTGGAGTACAAATTTGAGCAGCTAAGTTCAAGACATATTGCTCAGATTATCTCCATTCTATGATGGAACAATTAATAAACTGTTAACTGTTTTAACAATTCATCAACTATTTTATACTTTAAGAATAGAGTTTACATTGGGCCTCCCCGGTGGCGCAGCGGTTGAGCGCTGGGTTGCAAAGCTGCCGGCGACCTCTGCGGCGCCGGTTCAATCCCCGGCTGCTCCCCGGCCACCGAAGGAGGGTCCCACATGGCGCGCAGACCTCTCCTGCCGCCCGCTGCTCCCCTCAGCAGTGTACTTCGGTCTTTCTGCCTGCTCTGCTCCCCGCTCTGGCTCTGGTGAATTCTCTCACCCTCCCTCGCTTCTGACTGTACCCAGTGCATGTATAAACAAAACGAACGAACAAACAAACAAATAAAAAAAAAAAAAAAAGTTCAAAAAAAAAAAAAAGAATAGTTTACAAGTTTACAAAGGACAGGAGGTAGGCCCCTGTTGACATTGGAAATCTAAGTCTTGATCCTTTATTGGAGGATCAAGACTAAAGGAGTTGGGGCCTCCTCGGTGGCGCAGCGGTTGAGCACTGGCAGCCTCTGCAACGCCGGTTTGATCCCCAGCCACCGGGCGAGGGTCCCACATGGCACACAGACCTCTCCTGCCGCCTGCTGCTCCCCTCAGCAGTTTATTTCGTCAGTCTGCCTGTTCTGTTCCCCGCTCTGGCTCTGGTGAATTCTCTCACCCTCCCACTCTTCTGACTGTACCCAGTGCTAGTATAAATAAATAAATAAATCTTTAAAAAAAAAAAAAAAAAAAAAAGACTAAAGGAGTTAAGGTTAGGTCATGCCCTCAACTGGTGTTTAAACTGTGCCTTTTCTCAACTAAAATTACTTAAGCTTGTTAGACATTAAACTGAGGTATGTGGCCATGCAATTCAAATCAGTTTTAATCTTCATTTGAAAGGGAGTAGCTATTGTTTCTTAAGCTCTGTCAAACAAGGGAAGCTATGTTTTGTTGATAATGTGGACTTTGTATCATAGAACAAAATATATAATAAGGGTTTAGTACATGTTTGTTGAATTAAATAATCAGTATGTCAGTAATTTCCTTTAAAAGTTTAATAATCATATATTAACCAAGTCAGTTAATTTATGAATGACCTCTCTGTTTCATTCATTGATATAAAAATCATCACACTAAGAGATCAAGGAAGATTAGAATCCAGAATTATTATTCTAGAACTTTGTGCTCATTTTCCTAGATTAATTTCTATCTGTGTCAACACTGGATGTGGTTGAGGGGAATTTATTGAATTAATGTAAGTGTTAAATTAAGGGCACAGAGTATTGAAGGCTTCTGAATAAAATAGAAAATTTAGTATGATAGATGGGATGAGGTAGAGAAATAAGTTTTTTCTCTTCAGTTAATAAAACTTCTTAAAGGCTGGAATCAGATCTTTTCAAGTTAATGTTTCTTTAAAAATATTTTTTTACTTTTTATCTGGAAATTTTTTCACACTTACAGGAAAGTTACAAGAATATGTAGAACTTTCATATTCCTGATAATCCAGATTCACTAGTTAACATTTTGCCACATACTTCAGTGTGTATTTCCTATAACAAGGACATTCTCATTTCAAAATCAAGAAATCTACCATTTTGATACAGTAATATATATATAATATTCCATGTTCTAGATGACTCATATTCCATTTTTATCTATTGGCTCAATAATTTCCATCATAGGAATTTTTTTCTGTTCTAGGATCATTAATTGAGTTCACTTATATGTCTCATTAGTTCCTCTTGCTTGATCTGTAACACCCCTTTGCCCTCCTTTGTCCTTCATGACATTGATATTTTGAAGATTACAGACAGATGTATGTTATAGATATATATGTTCTTGGCACAGAATATCAACCAAAGAAGTTTACTTACTGAGTACTATTTATGGAGAGCATCTTTCAAAAAGTTTAATATGGAAAGAATGGGTTTTTTAGAAAAGAACATGTAAAATCCATAAGAGTTGGATTTCAATGGTAGTTCTGCACTTACTTACTTTGTAGCACTGGGCATGTTACTTTATCTCACTGACTCAATTTCCTCAGCTCTGAAAGGGTGTAGATAAAATGTTGGCATGAAGAAATGAGATAATGTATATAAACAGTTAGATTGGCACATGATGTGTATATACAGTGAATGGAACATTATTCACTTCAACATAATCTCCAAGTTATGAGAGAATGACTGCTCTTACATGACTAAGGGTTAAATACTCTAGCTCTAGTCTATAAAAGACAATGGAAAACAAGTCAAAGTTAGAGCAAGGAAATGTGAAAATCAGTTAGTTGTCACATTTTATTCTTTTTTGGACATAAGTATTACCTAAGAATTCCCTGTATTTCATAGATGCTGTATATCCTTCTGCCAAGGGTATGAAGGCCCCTCTGAAATTTTGCTTTCATATTCAAGCTTTGTGGAATTAGGTATTTGGCAGTTGCTGTTCACTTACCAAACTTAATAACTAAATACAAAATGGTAATGTTCAAGGAATCATTTACAGGGACAGCTTAGTATTTGCTTGTCAGTTAGTTTATTGACGTAAACTGTGTGCTGAATTCACTGGAATGTGACATAGTCAAACCCAAGTTGGTGCAAGAAACACTTGGCAGCTATTAAAATGCTATTCTTTGTAGTTGCTTGGTATGATTTGCCATAGTAGTAAATTCCAGGAAGAATTATTCTTGCGGGCTTATACCCTTGCATGACTGAAGAAGTTCACGCTAATCGCCAATGGTCTCTACTTCTCGGCAGCCGGGAAGATTTCCAGCGGATTCCAGAACTAGCTATCAACCCGTTGGGGGACCGGATCATCAATGCCTTCTTTCCAGAGGGGTGAGTTGTTACAGTTGTTTGGCATCCTTCTGAGGCTGATGTGGAATCTTGATATTGATTAGGTCATCTCAAACCACAATCCCACTAATTATATTGGGCATCTCTAACTTAGTTACATCTAGAATATCTCTTCTGTTCTCCCCCTCACCCTCTATTTTAAGTTTCAAATAGGATTATGAACTCATCTTCAATATTCTATCTTTAATTTTGTTTATCCTCAATGCAAATCTAAACTTTTAAAAATCTTTTGACAATAATTTCAAATTTACAATGAAATTACAAAAATTAAAAATTGTACAAAGGACACTTTTTAAATCTTTTACTGACATGGATTTGTCATCATATTATTAGTATTTTGCCTCATTTGCTTGTGCCACCTCTTTGTCCTACCCAATAGAAATATAATTTAAGACACATTCACAATTAGAAATTTCCTGGTAGACATTTAAAAAGTAAAAATAAACAAGTCAAATTAACTTTGGCAGTATATACTGTTTTTCATAACAAGTCTTTGAAATCCAGTGTGTAATTTACGCTTACAGCCTATGTCAAAAACTGTAATAATATAAATATTCCAGTTTATTGAAAAATGGGTGACAAAATCGTGTAAGTTTAAGGCGTGCAGCATAGTGATTTTTTAAATTTTTTTTATGATTTTATCGTGATTACCATGATAAGGTTAATTAGCAAATCCATCACTTCACGTAGATAACATTTTGTGTGAGCGTGGTGACAACTTTCATTTTTCTTCAGATAACATTGGTTTACAAGACTGTGGGGTGATCCAGAGGCATAGGATCACATCTCCTCAGATACATGTCATTACATCACACCCACCACCAAGACACTCAGAGTCAATCATGTAGTTAGAACTGTTAAAATCTACTCTCGGTTGAATATACAGTTCAGTATTGCTAGCTATAGTCACCATGCTGTCACAGAAGTTACATCTCCAGAACTTACTGCATTATTTTCTTTATTGTAATAAATTATTCATTATTCAATTTTAATATTTCATCCAATAATCTCCTTGCTGGCACTGACCCACACCCCCCCCCCCACCCCCAACCTGGTCCAAAACAGAACCCAGTCTAGGTGGGTTATCCTGCCTCTTTAGCCTCCTTAATCAGGAACATTTTTATAGCCTATATTTTCCTAGTATGCCATTGACTAAAGATACAGTTCACTCCACAACATACATTTCTTCAAATAGATTTGAATTTGTCTAATATAAAACTGAACTTTTAATAAGCTTCACTACCTAATACACTGCCTTCACAGCACTGAGTAAATATTTGTTGATTTGGTAAGGTACCTTTTCCTGAATAAAAGTAATCTTGTTTAAATAATCTCTTTAACCATCTCTTCCTGGTTCCTTGTGACTTAGCTCTATAACCCAAAGAATTTTTTTTTTTTAAGATTTATTTGTTTATACATACAAGAACTGGGGTACAGACCAGAGGTGCAGGGGCTGAGAGGATTCACCAGAGACAGAGTGTGGAACAGAACAGGCAGACTGACTAAAATACACTGCTGAGGGGAGCAGTGGGCGGGACAGGAGAGGTCTGTGGATAACCCATGTGGGTTAGCTCCCTGGCCAAGGATCGAACTCATGCTTACAGAGGCTGTGGATAGCTTCACAGTGCTGTGTTTAACCCCTTGTGCCACCAGGGAGGCTCAATCCAAATAATTTTTAAGAAGCTAAGTATGCTTTGAAAAGTATGGTTGCCAGCATGGCAGACCTATGCTATCGTGCCCACTGCTCCCCTTGGCAGTATATTTCTGTCATCTGCCTCTCCTGCTCCCTGCTCTGTCTCTGGTAAATTCTCTCACCCTCCGCACCTCTGGCCTGTACCCCAGCTCTTGTATAAAAATAAATGAATCTTTAAAATAAATAAATAAAAAGTATGGTTCCCAGATCTTAAAAATGAGATCAAGTGTCAGTGAGGACATTATCATATAAAATATCTGGAGAGGAAATTTTAGAATTCTGAATTGAGAGTAAAGGAATTTACAAAGGTGAGAAATTGAGCCCTCAGTAATTTGAGTGGCAGAGGGGAAAGACAAGCAGTTTATTTTTTTCATTTTTTTAAAGATTTATTTATTTATTTATACAAGCACTGGGTACAGTCAGAAGCGCGGGAGGGTGAGAGAATTCACCAGAGCCAGAGCGGGGAGCAGAGCAGGCAGAAGGACCGAAGTACACTGCTGAGGGGAGCAGCGGGCGGCAGGAGAGGTCTGCGCGCCATGTGGGACCCTCCTCCAGTGGCCAGGGAGCAGCCGGGGATCGAACCGGCCCTGCAGAGGCTGCGGGCAGCTTTGCAACCCAGTGCTGAACTGCTGCGCCACGGGGGAGGCCCAAGACAAGCAATTTAACTGAAGATAGGAGGAATCAGATTGAAATCTGCTCTCTTCAGATTCATGTTAACCATGAGTAATCTACCTTTCCTCATTTACCCTTTTATCCCCATCAACTGCCCTATTTATTTCAAGTGTAGTTTTTGTGCTGAATTCTTCCGTGTTTTTTTTCCCCACTTCCTCTTTTAGCCCCTGCAGAGCGTTGAACTCTATCCAGAGAAAACTTTCACAGCTATGTGGCATATCCAAACCTTTTGCAATGAAATGTAAACCAAGGAGAGTCATTTTGCCAACTTTTTTTCAGAATTCCATATTCACCATTGATTACTTGAAGGGGCAGCTGTGGAAAGCTGTCTTTTTTTTTTTTTTTTTAAAGATTTATTTATTGATTGATTGATTGATTGATTGATTTATACATACATACATACAAGCACTGGGTACAGTCAGAAGCGCGGGAGGGTGAGAGAATTCACCAGAGCCAGAGCGGGGAGCAGAGCAGGCAGAAGGACGGAAGTACACTGCTGAGGGGAGCAGCGGGCGGCAGGAGAGGTCTGCGCGCCATGTGGGACCCTCCTCCAGTGGCCAGGGAGCAGCCGGGGATCGAACCGGCCCTGCAGAGGCTGCGGGCAGCTTCGCAACCCAGCGCTCAACCGCTGCGCCACCAGGGAGGCCCTGGAAAGCTGTCTTATAAGACCAGATCACCTTTGTTGTGACTACAGTATCATCCTACCCACTGGTTTGTTGCTGAGGACAATGGGCAGGTATACCTGAGGAAGCCAAACCTTCACTTGGGCTGTGGAGCTTAGCTCTTTGCAAGACGCACCTCTGCTTCATGCTCTAATCAGATAGAGATATTTGACTTCTAGGTTTTTGTTTCTTCTCAGGTGGGATTATTTTTCAAGGAATGAGATTTGAAAGTGGAACATTGATATTTAGTTCCCTTTTATTCAGTCATTTATGTATGTACTCATTAAACTATTTGTTCTGGCATGTGACTCAAATTTCATTCTACATTACTTGACTTCTAGATCTTACTCACATTTTTGCCCAGACTCATCTATCAGAGTATAGCTTCCTTGAAGAACTAAAGGTTATTCTTTTGAGTACAGTGGGCTTATGAGCAACTTTTGAACTCTGCCTTTACAAAGTCTCTAGTCTGTGTATTTACCTGGCACCCAATATGCCATATCTATCTACTGGGGCACACACAGACTGGGATTAATTTTTCCGTAGCTACAAGAACCAGGTAACCTCTTGTTTCCATGTCACGTGGGACATTCCTTTTTAATGTTAAAGAACATTCTTCATTTAAATTTTGAAAATTTTTTCTTACAGGGTTACTGATTAGCCTGTGAAATAATAAACAGATTTTCTTTAATTTAAGTTTAAACATAAAGAGCTCCTTTAAAACATTATAATGAGACTCCCTGGTGGTACAGGGGTTAAATTCTCAATACTATGAAGCTATTGGCAGCCACTGCAGCATGAGTTGGATCCCCAGCTAGGGAGCTAACTCATAGGCACAGCAGACATCTCCTGTCTCACCTGCTGCTCCCCTCCACAGTGTATTTTTAAATATTTTATTTATTTATTTATTTATTTATGCATATAAGATCTGGAATGTAGGCCAGAGGTGCGGGGTATGAGAGGATTCACTAGAGACAGAGTGGGGAGCAAAGCAGGCAGACCTACTGAAATACACTGCTGAGGGGAGCAGCAGGCGAGGCAGGAGAGGTTTACTGCACCTTGAGGGTTAGCTCCCTGGCCAGGGATCAAACTCATGTTGCAGTGGCTGCCCATAGCTTCATAGTGCTGACACTTAACCCATTGCACCACCAGGGAGGCTCCAATAAAAATAAATTTAAAAAAATAAAATAGGGCCTCCCTGGTGGCGCAAAGGGTTAAAGCACCGCACTATGAAGCAGTTCACAGCCTCTGCAGCACGAGTTTGATCCCTGGCTGGCCAGGGAGCAACCCACAAGGCACAGCAGACCTCTCCTGTCTCTCCCGCTGCTCCCTTCAGCAGTGTGTTTTGGTCGGTCTGCCTGTTCTATTTCCCACTCTGTCTCTGGTGGGTCCTTTCACCCCTGCTTCTCTGTCCTGTACCCCAGCTCTTGTATGCATAAATAAATAAATCTTAAAAAAAAATAAAATAAAATATGATCATGAAAAGTGAGGCTAAAACAAAGTATCCAGTTATAAGAGGATAAAAGATGTAGCCATAATATAGGCACACTATTAATACTCAGATATTTAAAATATCTCAGTGTTTATGTTGATTGGAGACATACTTAAAAAGTTTTTTTTTTTTTTAGGGGCCTCCCCTGGTGGTGCAGCGGTTGAGCGCTGGGTTGCAAGGCTGTCCACAGCCTCTGCAGCGCCAGTTTGATCCCCAGCCACCGGCAAGGGTCCCACAAAAAAAAAAAGGTTTTTTTAAGGCAAGATAAAAAATTAGATATGCAGTGTATTCAAGTTATCTTCAAAGCACAGAAACATTACATAGAAAATATATTAACCTTGGTTGTAGTTGATCGATAGAACCAGGAGTGGTATTTTTCTTTATATTTCTATCCAAAGAAAAAAATGTATTTATAGCATTTATCTCTAAGTAAACTTTATTTTAAAAGCAGCTCTCCTGTCTCGCCTGCTGCTCCCCTCAGCTGCGTGTTTCGTCAATCTGCCTGTTCTGTTCCCCGCTGTGCCTCTGGTGAATCCTCTTGCCCTCCCACGCATCTGGCCAGTACCCTTGTTCTTGTATAAATAAAAATAAATCTTTAAAAAAAAAAAGGGCCTCCCCTGGTGGCGCAGTGGTTGAGCACTGGGATGCAAAGCTGCCCGCAGCCTCTGCAGCGCCAGTTCAATCCCTGGCTGCCGGCGAGGGTCCCACATGGCGCAATAGACCTCTCCTGCTGCTCCTGCTGCTCCCCTCAGCAGTGTATTTCATCAGTCTGCCTGTTCTGTTCCCTGATCTGACTCTGGTGATTTCTCTCACCCTCCCTCGCTTCTGACTGTACCCAGTGCTTGTATAAATAAATAAATAAATCTTTTAAAAAAGGGGGGGGGCAGCTTTTACCTAATTTGCCTTAACTTGAAGATATCACTAGGTACACATTGGGTGAGGTCATTGGGTTGAAATTACTAGCTTGCTCCTCACTGCAGAGTCTTAAAGCAGTGAGTTCAAATTCTGACTTACCTAATTATGGAGCCCTGGTTCTACTGGAAATCCTCTTTGGAAAAGAGATTTAAGTAAAATTGGTAGATAATTTTAATACTGAGTATCCTGTTACTTCTCCAAGTCTGGTTATTCATTGATAAAGTGGGAATAATAATACCTCATGAGGGTGGGGTGAGGCTTAAATGAAGATATTTTATTAGCTATAGAGAACCACACATATGGAAAGAGACATTAAATGGACTTTCAGGCCACTGTAGCTGAAGCTATTGCCAGTGTAATGTTGACTTCACAAGAAACCGTCATCTTGGCTGACATGGTGTTCTGTTGTATTTCCCAATCAGAGAGGACCAGGTAAATTTCCGTGGATTCATGAGAACTTTGGCTCATTTCCGACCTATTGAGGATAACGAAAAGACCAAAGATGTGAATGGACCAGAACCACTCAACAGCCGAAGCAACAAACTTCACTGTAAGGACTCGAACTACTTACTTTTCATTTTTTACAAATCATTTATTTACTCAATGTATTGGACAAACAATTATAAGAACATAATGGCTAAGAGTTCAGACTCTAGAACAAACCAGGCTGGGTTTGGAGTTCACTGCCACCATTTTTGGCCATGTGACTTTGGATAAGTAAGCTAAAAATCTTTGGGCCTCAATTTCTTCTTCTGTAAAGTGGGATATTAAGGGGGTCCACAGCAGGGTTTGAGATATAAGTTCATATATGTCAAGTGCTTCTACTGGTGTTTATCATTGTTTTAGCTGCTAAGATGTTATCCAGAGCTATAGAGACTATTGTCCCCATGCCTCTGGCCTCCTTTACTTGCATACTTGTTAGCTTTCCCTCTGCCCTTGTTGGTTCATGTATGATATTGGCAAATCTCTTACAACACTTTGTTCAACACAAGTTGAAATGAAAATTGAAATTGTGGGTGGCTTTGCCAGTGAGGGACACTGATACTGGGAACAAGTGTAGGCCTACACATGACTTTTTTTTTTTTTTTAAAGATTTATTATTTATTTATTTATTTATACACTCACTGGGTACAGTCAGAAGAGCGGGAGGGTGAGAGGATTCACCAGAGCCAGGGCAGGGAACAGAAGAGGCAGACTGACGAAATACACTGCTGAGGGGAACAGCGGGCAGCAGGAGAGGCCTGCGCGCCATGTAGCACCCTCACACCAGCAGCCAGGGATCGAACCTGTGCCACAGAGGCTGCGGGCAGCTTCGCAACCCAGTGATCAACCGCTGCGCCACTGGGGAGGCCCCCTACACATTTTGTCAGAATAAGTCTCTGGAATTTCAGTGAGCAGAGAGAACACTTTGCATAAATTGGCCTTGTAAGAAAGTACTGTATTCCTTTTGACAGAGAGACAGACTTTCATTGAGGTATGGGTCGCGTTCAGTTTTCTATAGAATTTCATTATGCACTACAGCAGGAAAATCCTGTTATTGATGGAGTAAATCTCCATCAAAGCTCAAAGACCAAAGTTTGAGGGATCCAAAAGGGATCAAACAGTTGATGAAGGGCCTCCCCAGGGGCCTAGTGGTTAAGTCTCAGTGCTATCACTGCTATAGCCTGAGTTCAATCCCTGGCCAGGGAGCTAACCCACATATGGCACAGCAGACCACTCCTGTCTCCCCTGCTGCTCCCCTTAGCAGTGTATTTCAGTAAATACACCTGTTCTCTCCCCACTCTATCTCTGTTGAATTCCCTCCCACCTACTCCCACCCCCACTCTAAGCATCCCAGTTCATCTACGCCAAAAAAAAAAAAAAAAATTACATTTAAAAAATGAGAAAGATTTTTGAGACTGTTACTGCCTCGTAAACAAAACAGAGCCTCCTTCGTGGCTCAGGGTTTAAAGACCGCACTATCATGCTATCGCCAGCCACTGCAGCATGAGTTCGAGCCCCAGCCAGCCAGGGGTCAACCCACATGCCGCAGCAGACCTCTCCTGCCTCGCTTGCTGCTCCTCTCAGCAGTGTATTTCAGTAGATCTGCCTTTTCTGCTCCCCACTCTCTGGTGAATCCTCCCACCACCCCCTAAACCTCTCCCTTATACCCCAGTTCTTGTATGCATAAATAAATAAATCTTAAAAAAAATAAAAATAAAGTTAACAAAACTGGGGAAAAAAGGTCTTTTTGATGTTGAAACAAATGCGGATAATATATAGAATATAATGCTAAAGTTACGTATATTTCAAAGAATGTTTCATGAAATTGAAATGAATTTTTTGTTTGTGGCCTTTGGGCCACCTCCCGAGATCTCCCTGCTATAGGAGTATGAATTTACTCCTCTCTTGGTGTTTAAGGTAAGAAGTTTGGGAAGCACTGAAACATGTATTATTATGTAGGATAGGGAAGATTTTTGAACTAAAGTACTGAATATTGCTCTTTTTATTTTTTTTTTTTAAAGATTTATTTATTTGTTCATACAAGAGCTGGTGTACAGGCCAGAGATGCGGGGGGTGAGATGATTCACCAGAGACAGAGTGGGGAATAGAACAGGAAGATTGACCAAAGTACACTGCTGAGGGGAACAATGGTTGAGTCAGGAGAGGTTTGCTACACCATGTGGGTTGCTCCCTGGCCTGCTGGGGATCAAACTCGTGCTGCAGAGGCTGCGGATAGCTTCATAGTGCAGTGCTTAACCCCTTGCACCACCAGGGAGGCCCTGTATGACTTTTTTTTAATCCATAATTTTTTTTTTTTATCTAAAATTTTATCTTTTTTTACAGCGATAATAGACAGTCTAAGGTTTCTATTGTAGTTTCTTTTAAAAAGATACTCAACACATTGTGAGAATAGAATCTTTCTAGGTATTTTATTCCCCCCCCTCTATCTTTTAGAATTATCCTGCCATGCTTACTTTAGCAAGAGGTTTTTTTTTCAATGACTGAATTTTGAGTCTTTCAAAAGCAGTCAGTCTGATTTTCATAGAAACAACAATATTTTCTTTACATATAGGTTTCATTTTTTTATTAAATTACATAGTTTTATTAAAATTACAAATAGCACAGGATGAATAGCTAGGACAATTGACACACCTAACTCTTAGGTAAGCGTCTAACTCAACCGGTCGAGTGGATGCTTAGGAGTAGCCCGTTAGCTCCAAGTATACAGTGGGCAGCATATCAATTGGAATGATTTGCAGAGCTGGGAGAGACATCCAGAAATCCAGTGAGTTGGTTAAAGAGATGACAGAGACAGTCTATGCTTTATGAAGCTGCTTTTCTGGTCCAGGATAACAAGCGACTTCAGTCATCAGAACTAACAGAAATCTGTTACCTGAATTTCCTCTACATGAATTCTATTTTTTTCAAATCATGGACTCCCTTGGCAATTGTCAGGTGAATCTATCCATTCACATCGAAATGTCTTTGAATTCATAAAATAAAGTACATAGGAGTATAAAAGAAACCAATTATATTGAATACAATCAAAAGATATTTGAACAACTCTAAAATAGTAATATAAATACTTCTTTATCATATGTTAAATAATGGGCTATAATATCAAGTCAAAGAACTTTTATAATTTTGAACTCATCATGATCACAAATGATCAGTTGAGATATTATCAGCAACTATAATATGAAATAAAAAAGTTTGATTTCTGTTGAGTACAGCATAGGTAAGTACAGGTATCACTGCTGTGGTTTGTTGCCAACATTCATAAATGAAAGAAATGTCAAATTTCTATAGAGATTGGAAGGAAAAGATAAGCTTTTTTTTTTTTTTCCTTCAAATTTTTGGTGTGTTTTTTTTTTGTATGTGTACATACAAGAACTGCGGTATAGGCCAGAGGTATGGGGGGTTCACCAGAGATACATTAGGGAGCAGAACAGGCTGATTGACTAAAATATACTGCTAAGGGGAGCAGCGGGCAATCAGGAGAGGTCTGCTGCGCAATGTGGGTTAGCTCCCTGGCAGGGGATAGAATTCAGGCCATAGGGCCGATAGTGCTGAGACTTAACCCCTAGGTCACCAGGGAGACCCTACACTATTTTTTCTTTCTTCTTTCTACTGTGGACCCTGTGTTAAGAATCAGTGTTCTATGAGATGCCCTTTTTATTTTTTCCTTGAATAGGCAATTACTTTTCTAAGCCAGCTGTATCCATATGTGAGGATCTTTTTTTAAGAATTCATTCTTCTGTTGAGCTGAAATATCTCCATGATCTTCATTGAATAAATTCTTTTCTACATGACAGAGTTACATACATCTGGAGATAAATCTCTAAACCATAGACTATCTTTCTTCCTGACTTTATGCCCATTTATTGTTTCTGGGGGGATAGGGAGATTTTTAATGGGTAAAGAGTTTCAGATTTGCAACATGAAAAGGTTCTGGAGATCTGTTTCACAACAATGGGTTTACTTACACTACTGAACTGAACACTTAAAAATATTAAGACGTTAAATTTTATGTGTATTTTGCCACAGAAATAAAGAAAAAAAAGAAAAAGTCTTTGGTAAGGTGAATCGAATCCCTTAGGGGATTACCCCCCAATATTATAGATCTTTCAATCAGCAAGTAGTTAATAATAAGAAAAAATATTTACCTCTTTAAACTCTGTATTCCTATGATTTGATCCAGATTTTTTTGTTTTTTGTTTTACATTTTAAAAGGACAGGTTTATTAGGTAAAGGAGAAAAAGAGAGGCACCTGCATAGTCAGTCACAGGTGGGCAAGAGAGCTACACTTGATCCAGATATTTTGTAACACAGCTGCAGAGTCCTTTCTTTGTAATTCATTTCCTTTTACAAAGTGCTATGTTCTCTGCATCAATTCAAATGGAACCAATGGAAAATTTTCTAAATACTGTTAGTGGCTTTGGTGGTTACTTGATATATCAGTTAGGGTACCTTCAGCTCACATGGCTGGCTTCAAACGTAAGGAAATGTATTCTCTCAAAATGCAGGTCAGGTGAGGCAAGCTTCAGGATTGATAGTGTGGTCAAAGGTATAGGTTCCATAGCAATGTAAAAGTTCTTAACTGTGCACTTTGAAGAATTAAAGGGGCCTTCCTGGTGGCGCAGCGGGTTAGGACGCAGCCTGTGAAGCTGTCCGCTGCATCTGCAGCATGAGTTTGATTCCCGGCCAGGGAGCAACCCACGTGGCTCAGTGGACCTTTCCTGACTCACCCACTGTTCCCCATCGATCTGCCTGTTCTGTTCCCTTCTCTGTCTCTGGTGAATCTTCTCACCCTCCCCCCACACCTCTGGCCTGTACCCCAGCTCTTGTATGCATAAATAAATAAGTCTTTAAAAAAAGAGTTAAAATGCTAAATTTTGTGTTTTGTATATATTACCCCATTTTTAAAAAAAGAAGAAGCAATGATTGAAAGATAAAGAAATGTTTGAGAAAATACTATATGCCAGACACTATTTCAGGTCCAGGATACAATGATGCATAAATCAGATAAGGTCTTTGTTCTCACAAAGTTAGTGACATACTAAGGTTCGCCAACTATTTGGAGCAAGATAAATAAGATTTATGGTCATGGCAAATAAATAAACTTATGGTCATGGCAAATTCTGTGAAGAAAACGAATTGTGATGAGAAAGTGATAGAGGATGTCACTACTTTTGAGTGGTTAGTGAAAGCCTCTCTGAGGAGTTGAAATTTGAGCTGAGAGGAAACCTACCAGATAAAGAATAGAAGAGAACTCTAGGCAGAGGGAATAACTGGTGCATAGGCCCTTGGGCAGATTTGAGTACTTGGTGTTTTCAGAAAACAAAGAAGTATTGTCTGGAAAGGAAAGAGTGGTAAGTGGTACGAGTAGGTAGCGAGGTGATGGCAGGTAGCTGACACTGAGTTCCTACTGTGTGCCAGGCACTGTTTGAAGTTTCTTCCTTGGGATAAGTTAGTCAGTCCTCTTTGCCCTGTGACTGTGAGTGAGGGATATTCTGTTATTTTCACTTTCCAACTCTCGGGCACCTGAGACACTGAGAGGGTAAGGACTTTGCTCATGTTCATGGAGCTAGAAGTCGGCAGAGCCTGCACCTTTCCACTGTCCCCGATTGCTCTGACATCAACATGAGGGGCTTAGGAGAGATCACACCAACCAGAGATGCACATCGGGAGTCATGAGCATTAGATTTATTTATGGCCATTGAACTGGAGGTGCCAGGATGGGAGTCAAAGGAACAGAAGATGCAAAACCTTAGTGGCATAGCTGAATGATTCAAAGTTTCAAAACCACGCTAAACTCAGATATAATTACAAGGCAGTTATTCCCTCAGTGCCTATAAAATCATCCAGTGTTATCACACTAACCACTTAGTAACCCATCAGCAACATGACACAGACGTTGCTCTTCTGAATTCTCTTATATACCCTAGTGTGTAAAAAACTTAGATGTTATCAAAGAGAGAAAAAGACTTGTTAAGGCCAGGAGACCATCCAGTTCTTGTTAATTTTATTAGAAATTTAGCTTGAATTTGCCAAAGTGGCCATTTTCCTAGAACAATACTTTGCAGAGTCAGTAGTTTGGTGAATGTGCATGATAGGATTGATGGGTGGGCTGAGAGGACCTAACTTACAGAATCATTTAAAAGGTTTGGGCAAGAATAAGGATATTTAGCTTTCTTTTTTAGTAAAATTTTCTGATTTGTCCAGAGAGGTGTCACATTTCATTAAAGCTAAGAAGTCATCAATTTTGAGATACATTTCAATTTCTGAAATGTTATAATGTTTTATAATGGTAAGTAATGGCAATTACTCTTTCAAAAAAAAAAAAAAACACTATTCTGTCCAATGTCCTTTATGTATTTAATTCCTTGAGAAGAGGCTAAATTTTTTTTTAAAGATTTATTCATCCAAGGCCTCCCCGGTGGCGCAGTGGTTGAGCGCTGGGTTGCGAAGCTGCCTGTGGCCTCTGCGGCGCCGGTTTGATCCCTGGCTGCACCCCTGCCATCAGAGGAGGGTCCCACATGGTGTGCAGACCTCTCCTGCCGCCCGCTGCTCCCCTCAGCAGTGTACTTCAGTCCTTCTGCCTGCTCTGGCTCTGGTGAATTCTCTCACCCTCCTGCGCTTCTGACTGTACCCAGTGCATGTATAAACAAAACAAACAAACAAACAAATAAATAAAAACATGCCTCTATAAAAAAAAAAAAAGATTTATTCATCTATACAAGCACTGGGGTTCAGGCCAGAGGCATGGGAGGGTGAGAGAATTCACCAGATTCAGAGTGGGGAGCAGAACAGGCAGAAGGACCGCAAGACACTGCTGATGGGAGCAGCGGGCGAGACAGGAGAGGTCTGCTGCACCATATGGGAATCTCTCTGGCTGGCCGGGAATTGAATTGGTGCTGCAGGGGCTGCGGACAGCTTTACAGCACTGTGCTCAACCCGCTGCACCATTGGGGAGGCCCGAGGCTAAACATTTTACTTTGCACTATTGAATTTTCATTAACTTCTTGTTTTTCCTTAATAGTTGCTTTTCGACTATATGATTTGGATAAAGATGACAAGATCTCCCGTGATGAGCTGTTACAGGTACGTTGGAGAGTTCCCATGTATGTAGATAACCTTTGTGGACAGGAGTTGTTTTTTTCTTCAGGAAGCATTTATTTAATACCTGCTGTGTCTATAGTCTTCTTGTATATATAAGGTAGAACAAATCACCTGGGGAAATTGTGGTTTGTTTTTTTTTTATGTTACTAGTGTTGATGTGTAGATGCAAATCATTTCATCTTTTTTTCTTTTCATAAAATCCTGTAATTTAGTTTTTACAAATTTATTTCACAAAATTGGGGAAGCATGTAAATGAATCAGGGAAAGGAAGTCTGTGAACAGCTGAGCTAGAGAGCTTTTACTCCTGTGGAAAAGCTTAGTTCTTAACTTTGAAGACAAAGGGAGCTGACTATAGTGATGGGGGGCCTCCCTGGTGGCGCAAGGGGTTAAGCACAGCACTGTGAAGCTATCTGTAGCCTCTGCAGCATCAGCTCAATCCCCAGCCAGCCAGGGAGCTACCCACCTAGCACAGCAGACCTCTCCTGTCTCCCCCGCTGCTCCCCTCAGCAGTGTATTTCAGTTAGTCTGCCTGTTCTCTTCCCCACTCTGTGTCTGGTGAATCCCTTCACCCCCCACACCTCTGGCCTATACCCCAGTTCTTGTATGCGTAAATAAATAAATCTTTAAAAAAAAAACTTAAGTGAAAGGAGGTATCACAAAAGCACCCTGTCCCCCCCATTTCATAATGGCTTAGTCTCATGGTGTAGAATTGCTTATTTTGCTTGAGGAAACAATTCTCAAAGTATATTCACACCCTAAAGATGTTAGTAGAATTAGAGCAAGTGGTTTCTTTGTTATATTTGAGACACGTGGTGAAATGGGGTTAAATTCTCTTTATTGTAGTTCTCACAGCCTTCTTTCAATGTGTTTATTATTTCTCTGGAAAGGGAGCTTTAGTATTTAACCTTCCAACAACCTTTATTTCTTCATTACACTTTAGGAATAGTTAGGTTAATGTTCCATCTTAGGCAACTGGGATTTCAGAAAACCCCTACCAAACTGCATTAAACTAATAATGAACTAGTTTTTCTCGAGCAACAAGAAATCTAGGGATAGATTGTCGAGGTTAGTACAGTGCCCACATGATGTCTAGGAACCAGGCTTCTTTATTCCATAGCACATAAGACTTTCACTTCCTGGTCTCAGGATGGCTGCTGTGCCATTGGGCATCAAAGCTACCTCCTGGTCAGGAAGAATGGAGAAGTGCAAAAAGGAAAGAACTCTTCCAAGTGATACTGTGCCTTCCTATCCAGAAAGTTCTTGCTTGCCAGAGAGTTCTGTTCACATCGTCATGTGGGATGACTTAGATTAGAAGATAAGGGTCTCAGTTTGCTGCCTGTTATGTGTGAGGATATCCAAGGGAAAGAGGGTGGGGTGGCTTTATCTTTCATTGAAGGGAAATACCCCTAAGCCCTGGCTCTTGGTCCTGCAGGTGCTACGCATGATGGTTGGAGTGAATATCTCTGATGAACAGCTGGGCAGCATTGCAGATAGGACCATCCAGGAGGCCGATCAGGATGGAGATAGCGCCATATCTTTCACAGAATTTGTTAAGGTCAGTCTGTCACCTCTTGGTTTGAAAAAATTTAATTGTGCTATATGGGAGGAAGGGAGAAATGAACATTCAGATTAGTATTTAGGACAGTATCTCCTATTGTGACCTTTATAACTATAATTGGGTTTTTTCCCCAGGTTTTGGAGAAGGTGGACGTAGAACAGAAAATGAGCATCCGATTTCTTCACTGAAGGACTGAGACCAAACTTCCTTGCTTTCTAGTATTTAAGAACTGGAACTTGAGAGTCCTCCCATCCACCAGCCCCACCTCCATCCCATCAGTCCCCTTCTCCCAAAGTACTATTGCTGTTGCATGACAACCCCAAATATGTTCGTCACCACAAACCTGCCTTTGGTGTATAAACAGGGCATTACAGAATGGTACATCCGGTCTACTTCTGTCTGCTATCACTCGTCAGTTATCTCCCCCGTGCTGCTGCTGAATGCCACATGTCCGTGTAGGCTGAGAAAATGAGCGAGGGAATCATGCCAAGAATCAGCCAGCAAAGCTTTCACTGGGTGTAGACTGTAGCCAGGCTGCCTTCCCTCCAGCTTGGCTTCAGCATGCTCCTTCCTCCTTTTTAATGTGTCCCTTGATTTCTGCTTCTACTTCTCTGTCATCCAATGTTGCAATCACATTGTTTTTCATTCTCCCTGATTTTTATTAAGCTTCAATTCCTTCTGTTTACTTGGCACCCCACTTATGCTTGTTAAGTGTATTCCTGACTTGACAGGATAGCTTGGTGGTCTGGCAGTTTTCATCTACCTTTCCTCTTGAATGGGTCTGTGAGAGATTGCATCTCTAGGAGCTTTTCGGTAACCAAGACTTTTCTCAGAAGAATGTGACCATCTCTTGGTCCCCTGCACTCTGCTTGGTAATCAAAGGACTGTTGGTTAGAGATGTTTGGTAAAGGTGGTGACCTTGACGAGAGGTGTAGAGCCTAGTCTTCAGGTGGCTTGCCCAGGTCACTCTACCTCTGGCCTCTGATTCTAAACATATGTACCTACATGATGGATCTTCTTAGTGCAGTGTTGATTCTTCAGAAAATAGCCATATGCCTGCAGGTTTGGTTAGTTCTGGGACACTGTCACCACCAGAATGGCTGCTGTGACAGGATGTTTGGGGACTTGCTCATGGCTTTTTGAACAAGGTAGCTGGGCACCGTGAAAGCCTCGTGTGTTCCCACCTCTGCAGCATGATTTATGCCTCAGTGTTATGTGCCCTGGAATGTTTTTTCACTTCACATTTCCAAGTAGTGGAAACACATTAGTGTTACGGAAGTGCCTAACTTATCCCAGTCCAGGAGATTTAAAGATTGTCCTCAGTGTCTTGAAGTTTGCACAAAATTCTCTATGGATTTCACACTCGGCAAACGTTAATGCTGGAAGCTATAGTCAGCTCTTCACAGAGGTCCAAAGCATTGAATGTATCATATCATTAGCAGCCTGCTTACATTGACTTACCAACTCCACTCCTAGACTACTGCTGATCCCTTAGAAACAGGGAAACTGGCACCGGTGGCACAACCTGAGGTGATATCATAGGCCTTAGTATGAGCCATAGCAACTTCTCTGCCTAAGTCAGCTTATACAGGCTCTTCGAATCAGGCTGTTTCCATCCTAATGTCTATTTTTATGAGTCTGTTCGTCCTTATATCTGCCCCTGGATGGCTTTCTCTGACTCATTGCTTGCTTGCTTGTTTCCTTGCTTTGGAAGACTGTCCAAGATGTGTATACATAATACTTTAGGAAGGGAGTTGCTGGGGGAAAGAAAAATTCCAAGCTTGGGAAGAGTAGGAAATAGAGGAGTAGCCAGGCTGGATGATGGAAGTCCACATGGCTGAGGAATTCTTGATGAAGTATCGTTCTGACTTTGTGATAAAGTGATGTATTATAAGAATTGTATAAAAAAGAAGAATGGTCTGACACTGATCTGTTAGAAAGATACTTCAGAGGCTCCTTGACTTGCGTATTTAAAGGTCCTAAGATTATGGCTTTTTCCTCCTTTTGGCTGTGTAGCAAACTGTTTTAATCCACAGTTGTGCCTTATTGTTCCATTAAAATTGTATTCTTTGACCCATCAATAAATACTTGTGGTTAAAATAAATAACTTGCTTGACTTTGTCCATGTGTTTTATAAGAGTTTTAGTAACTCAGGGCCTCCCCAGTGGCGCAGCAGTTGAGCACTGGATTGCGAAGCTGCCCGCAGCCTCTGCAGCGCTGGTTCAATCCCGGCTGCTCCATGGCCACCAGAGGAGGGTCCCACATGGCGCGCAGACCTCTCCTGCCGCCCGCTGCTCCCCTCAGCAGTGTACCTCAGTCTGCCTGCTCTGCTCCCTGCTCTGGCTCTGGTGAATTCTCTCACCCTCCCGCGCTTCTGACTGTACCCAGTGCTTATATAAATAAATAAAAATAAATCTTAAAAAAAAAATAGTCTTAAAAAAAAAGATTTAAAAAAAAAAAGTTTTAGTAACTCAACCCCCTTCATCATGTTTGAAATCACAGTGTCTCCCTTACAGATATATGTCTGTGCTATCAAATGGGTCTTCTGTGCTGCTGCCTGGACACAGGAGGTGGAGGCATTCATCTCGGGGCCAGCACTGTCAGCCTTAGCCACTTGACTCCAGGTAGGATTCCATTTCTCTCCATGATTCCTGATTTCCTGTAATATAGAAAAGGCCTACCAATGGGGAATCTCTCACCTATTAAGTTGTCCACATCCTCATGAATATACAACCTCAGTGACACATTGTACCCAGCTATTATTACATACCTTTCCATATCTTCTCATTTTTAATATTCTTACATCATTGTTCATTTTTGTATAGTAATTGGTTTCTCTCCTCAGGTATAGGCCCCACAGTTCTCTCATAACCCTATCACCTGTGGACCCATCACCATAGTCCCTTGTGTTCTTCTCTCCCTGTTTGACCCCCTCACTCCCTTTCGCTTGCTGTATGCTGTGGATACACATCTGTGGTCAGCTCATATCTTCTACCTTTAGTGAGTGTTAAGTCTATATAGGGTACAAGTAGTTCTTATTTTAAGGTTTATTGGCACAACACAGGACTCAAAGCAGTAATCAATGAAATCAGTCTTATAAATCTATCCCCTACCCCTACACCATTTCTTGTATCCCCTTGTCCCTGTCCCTCCCCGCTCCTTAATGTCTGAGCCCTCAGGATATTTGTTAATGTCCACTAGATTGTGAAAATTCTTTTATATTATCAAATTGTCTGCTATGTAAATGTGTCCAGTATTTGGTTTATCATTCTGACTGACTTTGCTGCACATTATTCTCTCAAATCCCCTCCACTTTGTTGAAAATAGCTGCCTTTCATCCTTTCTTATGGCTCTCTACTCCATGTGGTGTACATACCACATCTTACTGATTCAGTAAGTCTGTCGATGGACATTTAGGCTGCATCCATGCCCTAGCTATTGTAAATAGTGCTGCTGTGAATGTTTTGGAACATGAGGGATCTTTTGTTGATGGTTTCATATTCTATGGATCAGTCTTAAAAATTTTAACATTTACCCTCTTCACATTTCTCTTGTCTCAAAAGTCCATTCAAAATAACCTGCATGGTGTTTCAGCTTTGCTTTATCTGGAGTCTAATGTTAGGATTTGGAGAAAGTATAAGATCAGTGTAGTGGCCATGCAGTTATTTTGGTGGAATCTATGCCATGCTCATAGGTTTACCAGTCTCTGAAGAAAATAAGAATACTGTAAAATTATAGAAATGTTGCATTTAAATACAGTTTGCCAGTTTTACTACCCTTGCTCTTTTTTCATCTATCCATGCATTATATATTTGAACATAAATGAATCATGAGATTATGTCAACTTTCAAAAATTTTATTTCCTTGTATTTGTCATTCCTAGTTTACAATAATGGTTACATAATAGTTTACCAACTTGATGTAGTATTTATGCATTACCCTGTTTGCTTATTTCCAATTTTTTTCTTTCCTGTTTTCCTAATCAGTTCTCTCTTCTTGCTCATCCTATTTTTTTTTATTACTTTTTATTTGAACCCACTATGCTGTGAGTTAATCTCAATTCTCAGCAAAGAAGTTTGATTTTCATACTGAGAAAAGAGAGAAAGAGGATGAGAGCAATATACTGGGCATTCTTGTAACTTTCTGTTGCTCTGTGCTAAAACTTACCAGCGTTCTAATCCATCCTTTCCCCTTTGTTCTCACTGTGTGATAATGAGCTCCTCCTGTTCAAGACTCACCCTCCCTGTTATGTTTTGGGTCTCATCCACTATTACCTCCTTAGGATCTAATTAATAATCATTCTACATTATTTTGCTTTTCAATGGTGTTAAAAAAAAATTCATCCAAATAAATTTAGAGATCTAATTGGCTTTAGTAAATCATGAATCAGGCAGCACCCCATCTAGCAAGTAGAAAAGCTTTGCCTTACTGTTTCCTGTTTTATCCATTTGAAAATAATGACACAATGAATACCTTTCAACATATAACTCTTTGTTTACAGAAGTGGGATTGCAAGGTCCAAGTTTGATCATATACTTATATCTGCAATCAAATTATTCTTCTTTACCCTGAGTGTTCTTTTTAGAGTATTCTTAATGGCCATTGATTTTTTTCAAATTGATTTTAGAGTCATGTCAGGCTTTGTATTTATTTTTTTATTTTAAATTTTTTTAAAAGATTTATTTATTTATGCAAGAACTGGGGTACATGCTAGATGTTCTGGAGGGCAAGAGGATTTACCAGAGACAGAGCGGGGAACAGAACGGGCAGACTGACAAAATACACTGCTGAGGGGAGCAGCCGCTGCGACAGGAGAGGTCTGCCATGCCATGTGGGACCCTTGCCTGCAGGCCGGGATCAAACCTCACTGCAGAGTCTGCGTACAGCTTCACAGCATGGCGTTCAACCGCCTGGGCCAGCAGGGGAGGCCCAGTCTTTGTATTTAAAGGTGACTTGTATACCTGAGTTGATTGGAATGTAGAGCAAGCATTTACTGCAGACACACCCCTGAGAGGACTATCTTTACAAACTGGATTTCTTATGCTACAAATCAGATATTTTCCCTGCTCCCCATATATTGAGAGAATAGTTACTTAGAAGGAAGTCATCATCAGTGAACTGAAATTTTCCAAATTCACATTACTTTGAGCTTTGAGTCAAGCCATTCTAACTAAAAATGGCTGATATTTGCTAACAAGAGCTTTTAAACATCTAGTTTAGTGGAAACTCCAATTTAGAGATTTTCTTTTTCTTTTTCTCTATACCAAGCAGTGATGGAAGATTTACCTGGTAAATTTGTGAAGTACTGAGGCTATTCCTTAACAGCTCTGGGAGGATTCAGAGAATAGTGAAGAGCCTCATTCCTTTTAGAATGGAGTAAATAACTGACCTGATATGTTTATTTGAGTTATAAGCCAATCAAGGACTTGGTTTTGAGATGCCAAAACTGAGTTGAGTTGCCAAAACTCTTAGTTACCTTCTATATATTCTTTAGCCTTCTAAACACTGGATTCTGATCTTTCCTTAAAATTAGCAAGTCTCTTTATTTGGAGACATGGTCCTGACACTTCCTACCACCATTTGTAGTCCCATTGAGAACTAAACCAGATGGGTGAATTTTTATATTCAATACCTGAATGTGTCTGAAGAAAAGAAAAATTAATCAAAGAAGAAATGTGGGCCTACAATAGATATCAAGCATCATTAGCCAGAGTTTCAATGTTTTATTCACAGGAAAATCTCTTATTTGTAGAACACCATACACATATTATTTCTTTAGAAACAATCCTAACCAGTTGGATGATTTGGTCATTCAACCCATAACCAATTGGAAGTAGTTCTATTAATGGGGACACTGCAAAGCTTATGCTGACAACCCATAGGGCAATGACAAATGAGGAGACCATTTTAAGAAAAATAAATAACCCACTAGACAAACCAGAGTAGACTAAATAATCTTAAGCAGGTCATTACCTCTGAAGCCATCACAATGTGGGTTTATAGTAAACACCTAAAGCCATCAAGAAAAATTGCTGCTGTTAAAAAGTTTAGGCTCCATCCCTGGTGGCGCAGCTGGTTGACTGCAGCGCTATGAAGCTGTCCCGTAGCCTCTGCAGCATGGGTTCGATTCCCAGCTGGCCATGGAGATACCGACATGGCACGGCAGACCTCTCCTATCTCACCAGCTGCTCCCCTCAGCAATGACTGAGTTTTGGCAACTCAACTCAGAGTTTTGGCATCTCAAAACCAAGTCCTTGATTGGCTTATAACTCAAATAAACATATCAGGTCAGTTATTTACTCCATTCTAAAAGGAATGATCCTCTTCACTATTCTCTGACTCCTCCCAGAGGTGCTTTTGGTCCGTCTCTCTATTCTGCTCCCTGCTCTGTCTCTAGTGAATCCTCTTACCCTCCTGCGCCTTTGGCCTGTACCCCAGCTCTTGTATAAATAAATAAATAAATCTTTAAAAAAAAGTTTAGGCTTCAGTACAATGGAAGTACACATAGGTAAAACAACTTTAATAAGAGAAAATAATAACAATGTTATTGCATAATGCAGCCTGCACTTGGATCTGTGTGACTCAATACCTGTGTCCTGGTTGAACTCGGTGATTTCCTTTGTAGTTTTATACAGATGTCACATCTTTTTCCTTATTGCTTTGGAAAAAGAAATGGTAGTGACATAACTTTAGAGGATTTTATGTGCAAACAATTTTATGGGCTATGGAGAAAAGTATTCTCCACAACAACGAATTTCTTGAGTTTAGGGATTGTCTTTTCTCTACCAACAGTGGAATAGAAAATTTCTGCCTCCTATTAAAATATCTTTTGCAGGATGTCAGTTGGGGAAAATGGCCATGAAAACTTTATTTTATGAAATATTTTCTCAGAACCAACTCAATTTCTGAATGAAAACTTTGAATTTTAGCAGAATGAGTGCATGTGCTAATCTATAAATGCATTTTGTGCTGCCTCTTCCTGATAGATGTAGTGCCAGAATGACACACCAGGTATAGCATACAAACTATTTGAACAGATAACTGCATTCTGTGAACTCCTCAGTTGTGCTGTGAAATTAAACAATTTTAGTAACTGTAATCACAGAAATATCATAGATATTGGGACATGGTTAGAGAACAAAAAGAGACAAACTAGCAAGATTTGCAAAAAGGAAAAGGGCAGATTACAGAAATGGCCCATTGTTATGACAGGAACTTTGTTGCCGCTTTGCGACGGGAACGTGATGAGGGACACAGCAGTCATGGAGCAGGTTTGCAAGGCAAGACTCTGCTACTAGAGCAGAAGTTCTTGTGCCATTTATTGAAATCATACAGGCTAATAAAAGCTGATCGTGCGACAATGGCATAAGGAATAAGGTCTGGAGGGTGAGATAGGAATGGAGGACAAAGTTTTACGAGGGACGGCGAAGGGAACATCGTGACCATACATCGAGACATTTGCGTCAGCAAAGTATGTTATCACAGGCAGTTATCCCAAGAACACCATGGAGATAGTCACATAATCAGGTCAACAGCGGCCTCGGTGTCCCTGATACGGCCTCTACGCCATAGGTAGCCTCATGACCTGGGCTATACTCCATAGGTAGTCAAGGAATGTTCTGATCTGATTTGCAGATAGCGAATAGGTCACAGTTGCCCATGAGTGGCCAGCTAAGTAGCCAGCTCATAGGGACCCACAGTTCACTCATCAGTTTGACCTTTTTTTCTAAGCAGAATTTTAAAATGGGTCTCTAAATGATTTGTGAGTCAGAAAAGAATTTGACGATCACTAAGGTACTGTTGTATGTGGCAGAGAATTAAGCCTTCCAGACTCCTCTCCTCTCCTTTTACTTATTACACAGGCTTATTAAATTAGTATGTCAGGGCCTCCCCTGGTGGCGCAGCGGTTGAGCGCTGGGCTGCAAAGCTGCCCGCAGCCTCTGCAGCGCCGGTTCCATCCCCGGTCAACAGCAAGGGTCCCACATGGCGAGCAGACCTCTCCTGCCGCCCGCTGCTCCCCTCAGCAGTGTACTTTGGTCCTTCTGCCTGTTCTGCTCCCCGCTCTGGCTCTGGTAAATTCTCTCACCCTCCTGCGCTTTTGACTGTACCCAGTGCTTGTATAAATAAATAAATAAATCTTAAAATAAATAAATAAATATGTCAGATCAATGAGAAAGGTAAAGCATTGTTGATTTCAGAAAAGCATTTAACTGAGCCTCCCATAGGAGTCATACTGTTTAAATGGAGAAAATTGGGTTGTGTTTGAAGATGGCAGTTCAATAAACATGCCAAAAGCCTAAAAGATCAATGTCAGCAGTCTTGAAAAAGGAACAAAAGTGGAGGAATTACACATCCCAATTTCAAAAGCTACAGTAGTGAAGACACTGATACTGATAATAATAGACTATAAAGCAATGAACTAGAATTGTGAGTCCAAAAATAAACTCATATTTATGGTCAATTATATTTGACAAGGTTGCCAAAATAATCCAGTGAGGGCAACAATAGTCTCCAGGTATCACAACTAAGGCAATTGGAAACCCTCATAATAAAAGAATTATATTGACCCCACACTTCACCTTCTGAATTGTACAACTTACTGAGAAATTCCAAAGTGGGTCTGTAGGGAAGCAAAATTCTGCCACCCCTGATATATTTTTGGCAAAAAGTTGATTTCATGGGCGCAGTTTCTGAAGACAGTGTGTAAAGTCTCCATTCATTTAGATCTTCCTTCATTTTAATAAACATGTTTTGTAGTTTTCAGTATATAAATCTTATACTTCTTTCATTAAATTTTTTCCTAAGTATTTCATTCTTGAATGAATGGCATTATTGACTTAATTTTTTATATTAGTACCCAGAAATAGTTGATTTTTGTATCTGAAGCCCTACTAAACATTTAAGTTCTAGTAGTTCAATTTTTGCTTTTTGTGTGTGCATATCCTTACAATTTTCTACAAAGGATTATGTCATCTTCAAATAAGGCAGTTTTATTTCTTCCAATCTAGATGCCTTTTGCCTGCCTTTTGGCACTGCCAACAACCTCCAGATTATTACCCATCACTTCCTCCAGATACTCAACACCCTCCAGAGATACTCAACACCCTCCAGATGTTGAATACAAATGGTGGGAGCCTGCGTCATTGTCCCTCTCCAATCTTAAAGGCCAAATATGAAGTCTCAATGTTAGGTATGATATGAACTATAGGTTTTCCTGTAGATGCTCCTTTATCAGGAGCTTCTGTAAAAATAAAATTCCTCTACCTCATCGAAGACTAATGAAACTGGAGCTCCGAGACATGCAACTATAAGATTCAGTACTCCTAGGGAGTGGACCAGATGACAGCCTTATGGTGTTAGGAAACACTGAGTTTCCCTAATAGTCTACTCCTGGTCTTTTGTCACACCCCACAAGAGGAACCCCAGTTACCCTCCATGCTGAATAGAGGCTCTCAGAGCCCTGCAGATGGATGTAGGAAACAACAAAACTGTCAGAAGGGCCCATAAAGAAAAGTGACGATCCTGCTTTCATGTATTGACCAGAGTTGTAAACAGCAATCCAACATTTGGGTCCTTTAAGTTGAAATGGGTCAGGAAGGAAAAAAAAAAAGAGAAACTGAAGTGATTAAATTGCCAAGGATTTAAACCCAGATGAGAAGACCTGGGATCTGAGATGAAATTATTAGTATAGTTCAATCTAACGCTGACTTTAAATAGTCATGCAGTCATGCAGCCTAACCTGGATCATTTTGCTAGGATGTGACAGTTTCTAGTGGAAATTGATGGGGTTCTGATGAGAAATTGGGGTTTGGTGAGTGGGGTCCTTGGTTTTACTTCTGAGAAAAGTTTCAGCAGAGTTTCCCTTTCAGTGACAGGCGAGTTTGCCAAGGAGACAAAGACGTTTGGTTATGTAACAGGGTGGTCCCCAGGAAAGGGGGAGGTTCCCTGCCCCACCCAAGGGAGGGTGGAGCTGAGCAGGAAGAGGAGAAGCTGAGGAAGAGACTGAGGAAGGAAGAAGCAGGATGGAGCCAGGAGACCTGGAGGAGGCGCATGGAGCCTAGAGACACGTAAAGAAACTGCGCTTGTCTTTTGGTCGTGGACTGGGTGACACAGATGTGGGTGAGACCCGTGGGGAGGTGACCATGGCAGCTTTTATCTTGATGTTGATTTTGCTCTTTTCCTTCCGGGCTTGTCTGGTTGTTTGTGACCCTTTTCTGTGGGTCCCCACTGGAAGATGCTTTAGACTTGTGGCAGGCTTTGGGGCCTTGCTCTGGGCCAATCCCATATGGATGGACTTTTACCCACGAGGGGACGGGTAACTTTGGGTGCTTCATTTAGAAACTAGACTCTGCCTTACCTGTATTGTTTCCTAGTTTTATTAAAGATCCTTCCCATTAAAGTCTCATATGTTTTGTGTTGATGCGGCGGATGGCAGAACCCATTTAGAATGGGCAGGTTTGCGGGGCTTGGGCTGCCCCTCTCCCTGTCCTATAACAGTTATATCTGAAAAGGCAGGTTCATTAGAAAAAAAGAAGACACACAGACACAAGTGGGCAGAAGGAGTTTTTCTGATATAGTGATCCTTTTTGGAGGAGGTGTTCATTCCTTTATGAAATTGTTATCTATTAAATGAACCACTTCTAGCTTGTGATTGGGTTAATTTGTAAGGACTGGTGATTCTCCGTAATGACCCTCAATCTCCATATCCCCACCTGTGGTCTGTGCCTACAGATATTTTCTATAGCAGTCCTTTGTATTAACCAATTCTCATATCTCCCCTTGGGGCTTAGGGATTTTTCACTCATATAGCTGGTTAATGATACTGATCACTTCTACCCCAATTCCAGTTTCTGGTCTTGTGATGCCTCCTTCCCCAACTCTCTACCCTAAGCCTCCACCAGAAATAATTATACACTCCTAACAAATAAATGACACAAGCAGTTTTCCCCATTACCTCAACCCTAGGACCCAATGCGACAAAATAGGGATCAAAAAGCGGGCTTAGCCCCTTGATTGACCTACATTTCCACCAACGTACAACGGAAGGCGAGTGCGCTTGCGCAAGCGGCTGTCCAATCAGTGCTCAGCAAGAGCGGCGGGGCGGGGCTTGTGGGAGCAGCGGCCGCAGGGTTGGCAGACTGGGGAAAGCACAAGATGGCGGAGTGAGGCGCGCGGGGCTGGGCCGGCCTCTGGGCCGGGGGCAAATAGGCCCCTGGACGGTTGGTTGCCTCTGTAGGTCGGAACAAGGTAAGGGGAGAAAGCCTGTGCCTGGGGGGTGAGCAGGAGGTGGTGCAGTCCAACCCGGGCCGCAGGCGGGAGTGCAAGGACCCTACCCAGCAGCTCGGCTGGGCTCGGCTTCCTGCCCTGCCCCAGGGCGGCCACACCATCTTCCGGGGTGTGTCGAACCCGCTTGGTCACCACAGCCTTGGCAGTGCCCTGCCTCAGGCGGCCGTTGTGCTTTCTGCTTGCTTGCGGGTGTTTGCAAGCAAACGGACGGGGGGTGGGGTGGAGTGGGGGGGGGTGTGTGCGCGCGCGCGTGCACACACATACCTGGAGCAGTGGCGTCAGTCCTCGGCTTGTTTTGGGCACAATATCTTCGTTTATGGACTTAAATTCCTCTCCTCCCGGCTTCGTGCCAACGGTTTTGCCTGAGTTTCTGGTATCAGTTCAAGCCTGCTGCAGCTTGAGTGTTTTGTGTCCTTGGCCCGTTGACCTTGAGATTTGGTGTACCCAGTTCTCTGCAGGCATTTGAGTTGAAGTATGTGTATTGTGCACGTTCTCTTGTTGCCTTTACTTACCTTTCGTTCTCACTCCCACCTTTCAAACTTTAACCCTTTGCACTCCGCTGTCCCCTCTCAGGGGACATCGGAATTCTAGCATATCACTCGGATGTCCCCTCTCAGGGGACATTGCAATTTATTAGTGATTACGGGGAATTGAGGTTATTTCAACGCAACTTTTTGAGACATGCATGTTTCCCCGAAGTTTTATCTTGAAATGGTACAAGAAATTAAATCAAAATATCGTAAAATGGTTCGGAGTGCAAAGGGTTAAAGATCTGAGTTAGCAGCTTTGTCCTTGTGCGTCCTGATAATTGCCCCAGTGGCGCATTCATTTCGGCCGAGACTAGGTCTCAGTAGATTCCACCGTTGTTTTTCAGAACTAAGAGTCAGTGTACAACTTTTGGTTGCTTATTTCTTTTTTTTTTTTTTTTTAAAGATTTATTTATTTATTTATACAAGCACTGGGTACAGTCAGAAGTGCGGGAGGGTGAGAGAATTCACCAGAGCCAGAGCGGGGAGCAGAACAGGCAGACTGACGAAGCACACTGCTGAGGGGAGCAGCGGGCGGCAGGAGAGGTCTGCGCGCCATGTGGGACCCTCCTCCGGTGGCCCGGGAGCAGCCGGGGATCGAACTGGCACTGCAGAGGCTGCGAGCAGCTTCGCAACCCAGCGCTCAACTGCTGCGCCACCGGGGAGGCCCTGGTTGCTTATTTCTATAACGAATGGGAAATAGTTTTGAGAAACAATATTAGAATGTAATTGTGTAACATGGTGGGGTTGCAGAGTATAATATTGTCAGGCGTTTGTATTGGGGTCTTGTCTAACTTTCCTGGATACTGTCTTTGCAGTTAGGATTGTTGTAACCCCTCGTTCACGCATTCATTTTAATTCTGTGGGAAAGGTACCTCTTACTAGGTTTCTGAATTGATGAAGTTTGTTTAAAACTGTCTGTAGAGGCGGGAAGGCCACAGAGCAGGTTTTCTATGTCTGAGTAGACCAGGGTAAAGGAGTCCTGGAGCCCACGGTGGCTTTCTCAGGTTTTTGTTGAGCTTTTACATGTAGTGCATGAACCAGGTACTCAACAGGGCACAGGAGGCCTCCAAACCGGGGGCTTCTCTGGCCTTCTTTCTCCCCTTCTCCCTCCTGCCTCTCTCGCTTCTGCTTCTCCTGGTGACTATCTCAGTACTGAGCCGTGGCCACACAAGTAAACAACACAACTTTTAACAGTGTAACAAATGCAGGTGCCCCATCAGACAAGGCAATCCTAATGGCAGGAGGGCAGAAAAGCCTGAAAACCATATACTCTACACTGTCACATTAGTTAGGTCCAGTTCCAGTGACACCTTGTAAGTGAATGTTGTGATACCCACTTTGCCTGCCCTGGATTTAGCAGCGCTGAAAATACCAGGAAAGAACTTCTAAATCAGATCTTTCTGTTGCTTTTGTCAGTTTTTTCATTTCATGTAGAAGAAAGAAGATAATGGGGGAGAAAAAAGGAAGAGAACTTTCCTTTCTCCCTACTTTACAGAGGGGAGTGGTTATCTACACTAAAGCAAAAATCTTTTGTGGGGAGAAGATAGCTTCCTCAAGATTCTCAAAGTGGACAGTGTTCCATAAAGACTTAAAGGATTCTGACATCTTTATAAAACCAGTGCCAGTGTAGAGAGAGTGTAACATCTTTCTATCATTTTTTCTGAATAGTTTGTGATAGTGATTTTTTTTTTTTTAAATAGCTTGGTGTGTTTGAATGAGTTTGCACAAGAATGCTTTGAGCACTAGTGAGGGCTGTATCCTTACTGTAACATGCTTTTTTATTTTTCCTTCTCACAGGGTGAATATTTTCCTTGAGGTTTAGGTGCTTTTATATTCATCTCAAAAAGAAAACAAAAATTCTGAACTCAGGATTTGACAAGTGAGTAATAGTGACTAATCCTTCCAAATACTGTTTAAGCAGCTTGAAAATAGCTACATAGAAGTGGAATAATAAACCATTAGCTTTAATAGATATGAACATCAGAAGTGACTAAATTGTTGATATTTAAGCTAATCATTTTTATTTTCAACAAAAGCAACATTTAAGTAAAAAAAAATATTTGCCCAAACCAGTGCTTTTTATTGGAGAAAGAAAAAAGACACAAGTTTAATGAGGTTGACGATCAACTGGATAAAATATAAATTTAAAATATAAATTTTAAAATATAAATTTTACCCAGTGAGTTTTAGAATATATGCATTTACATTTATAGATAAATATTGATATTTTGATATTTTCATCCTTAATTTCTAACATTTTTCAGTAAACCCTTAATATCCCTATGTATGAGTCTGGTTAGTGTCAAGTGTTGGTATCTTCTGAATTTAATAAAAATGTAAAGTGGGTTCTGTTCTTAAAGAACAAGACGGTGATACCTGCTTTAGTAATTTACAATAATTTTCAAAATAGGTAGGTTGCTGTATGGGATTCCTAGAACTGCCAGAAAGTGTCCAAACTGGGTGACTTAGAACAACTGAAATTTATTGTCTAATAGTTTTGGAGATGAGACAACCCAAATCAAGGTGTTGTCAGGGCCGTGCTCCCTCTGAGGACACTATGGGAAGGATCAGCCTTTCTGCTAAATATTGGTAGTTCCTTGGTTTATGGCATCATACCTATGGTCATCACGTGACATTCTTCTTGTGTGTCTCTGTTCTAATTTCTCCCTTTTATGAGGACACCGGTCAGATTAGATTAGGGGCCACTCAAATCCAGTATGGTTTCATCTTAGCCAATTACATTTGCAATGATCGTATTTTCAGATAAGGTTACATTTTGAGGTACCAGGGGTTAAGACAAGGAGAGGACACAGTTCAGTCCCTTAACACCAATTTAATCGTATATTTTGATTGTATTATGTGGAAATCATTCAGTGTGCAACTGCTTTAAGGATTAAACTCTTGCCTGCCGCTTAGATAAGGTAGTAGTCAAAATCAGAGAGACAGAAAGTATAATGTTGGTTGCCAGGGCCTGTTGGGGGGGAAGTCAAATTATTGTTTAATGGGTACAGTTTCAGGTTTTTTTTTTTTTTCTTTTTTGAAGATTTATTTATGCATACAAGAACTGGGGCGTAGGCCAGAGGTGCGGAGAGTAAGAGGATTCACCAGAGACAAAGTAGGGAACAGAACAGGCAGATTGGCTGAAATATACTGCTGAGGGGAGCAGGGCGAGAGAGCGGAGAGGTCTGCCATGTGGGTCAGCTCCCGCTGGGATTGAACTGGTGCTGCAGTGGCTGCTGATAGCTTGACAGCACTGTGTCTTTAACCCCTGCACCACCAGGGAGGCCCCTACACCCCATTTCTTACATGTATAAATCAATCAATCAACCAATCAACTCTTTTTTTTTTTTTTTTTTTTTTTTAAAGAACCTGGATAGATTATTTTAAGAAAAGGTGCTCCTCGGGGCCTCCCTGGTGGCGCAAGGGGTTAAGACACAACCTATGAAGCTGCCCATTAGCCACTGAGGCACAAGTTTGATCCCTGGCCAGGGAGGTGACCCACATGGCGCAGCAGACCTCTCCTGACTCACCTGCTGCTCCCCTCAGCAGTGTATTTCATTCAGTCTGTCTGTTCTGCTCCCCACTCTGTCTCTGGTAAATCTTCTCACCCCCTGCACCTCTGGCCTGTACCCCAGTTCTTGTATAAATAAAAAAAATAAAAAATCTTTTAAAAAAAGAAAGAAAGAAAAGGTTCTCCTCTCAAAGTTGCTTTGGTGCTTGTTTGGTTTATGTAGAATTCTTTCAGCATATTTACTTCTGGAAAGAGCTAGCTTATATCTGTCCCTCTCAACATTACTGCCAATTATCTTGCCAGTAGAATTGAATTGCAGAACAGTTTAGTGGTTGGTACAAGCTTTCAATTAGCCGGAGTGAGTTTATATAATAAAACGGCCCACAGGGTTCTAAAGGCCATCTGTGGACTTAATGTATTTTTTCCTCTTATTTCCAACTGCTGCTTTTACAACTAATGCTCATTCTTCAGTTCTCTCCCTCCTGATTTGATTCTAAATTAATTTATATTTGCCTTCTCTATATTTTAAATCAGAACTGTCTTTATGTTCAATCCAGAAAAGATTATTCAGATTCAGTTTAAGGTTGAAATATTATTTTGGGGCCTCCTTGGTAGCACAATGGGTTAAGATGCAACCTATGAAGCTGTCCGACAGCCACTGCAGCAGAAGTTCAGTCGCCAGCCAGGAAGCAGCCCACATGACAAGGCAGACCTCTTCTGTCTCGCCCGCTGCTCCCCTCAGCAGTGTATTTTGGTCAGTCTGTCTGTTCTGTTCCCCAATCTGTCTCTGATGGGTCCTCTCACCTCCCACATATCTGGCCTGTACCCCAGCTCTTTATGCATAAATAAATAAATCTTTAAAAAAAAGATTTTAATCATTTTAAAGTATAGTTGCATTAAGTATATTTACATTGCTGTGTACCCATTACCAGAACAGAAACTTGGTACCTACTATCAGTAACTCTTACCCACTCTTTCTCGGCCCCTAATCACCTTTCTTCTACTTTCTGTCTTATGAATTTGGTACCTCATGTAAGTGGAATTAGATATGTGCCCTTTTGCATCTGATAGACTTTTTTTTTTTTTAAAGATTTATTTATTTATTTATTTGTTTGTTTATTTATACAAGCACTGGGTACAGTCAGAAGCGTGGCAGGATGAGAGAATTCACCAGTCAGAGTTGAGAGCAGAGCAGGGAGACTGAAAGTACACTGCTGAGGGGAGCAGAGGGCGGCAGGAGAGGTCTGTGCGCCATGTGGGACCCTCGCCCAGCAGCCAGGGATCGAACCGGCGCTGCAGAGGCTACAGGCAGCTTCGCAACCCAGCTCTCAACTGCTGCGTCACCGAGGAAGCCCTGCATCTGATATACTCTTGCAAATATTTGCATTTTAACAGGTGTTCTGTTCAGTAGTAATGAACTGCTCATATTTTTACATGCTGGTATTTGGTGATCATGGGTACATGTTATTTTTTTTTAAATTTTTTATGGTTACTTTTGGTCATAAGTAATTGAAGGTAATTCAGAGTAAGATGATATATATGATTTGCAGTATTGTGTGTTTAGACATGGAATTTAGAGTACACAATACTATTTTTAAATACTTGGTTTATAGAATCATTTCATGGCTGTAAATATTTGAAGTACATTAATTTGTGTACATAAGAGGAAATTGATGTGTAATTCTCTATGTAATAAAAATTTTGTGTTGGGCTTCCCCGGTGGCGCAGCGGTTGAGTGTTGGGTTGTGAAGCTGCCCGCATCCTCTGCTGCGCCGGTTCAATCCCTGGCTGCTCCTCGGCCACCGGAGGAGGGTCCCACATGGCGCGCAGATCTCTCCTGCCGCCCGCTGCACCCCTCAGCAGTGTACTTCTCAGTCTGCCTGCTCTGCTCCCCGCTCTGGCTCTGGTGAATTCTCTCACTCTGCCGCGCTTCTGACTGTACCCACTTTCCCTGTTCTTAAAATGTGGATCTCTCTTCTCTACATTTTACCTCCATGATTTGGAATGGAAAATGCTGTTTTTCTTTTTGTATAAATAAATAAACAAATAAATCTTTAAAAAAAGAAATTTGTGTAAATTTAACTTTTTTGTATCATGCTTTTTTTTCCTTTACCCTTTCTGCTTTTCTGACAACAATACTAAATTTGTTGTTCTAATTGGACATTTTCTGTTCTTTTTAATTCTTTTTTTTTTTTTTTTTTTTTGCATAGGAGAACTGGTTTGTAGGCCAGCTGTACAGGAAGTGAGACGATTCAGCAGAGACAGAGTAAGGAGCAGAGCAGGTGGATCTGCTGAAATACATTGCTAAGGGAAGCAGTGGATGAGACAGGAGAGGTCTGCTGTGTCATATGTGGGTTATCTCTATGGCTGGGGATTGAACTCAGGCTGTAGCAGTGAGAACACTGAGACTTAAGCCCTGTGCCACCAGGGAGGGCCTTGGACATTTGCTTTTAGACTATATATAAAACACAAAATATTTTCAAAAATATTTTCTCTGTGTTTTTAATTATTATCTTTTAAAGTAAGCTTATGAAGACAAATACTTGTCTTAATCTTCTTGTTTTTATTTTGTATTTCCAGGTATTTCTATGTTGTCTTCAGGAGTGGTGGTCCTGCTTCTTTTATCTGGCCACTTTCTCTGTTCTTAAAATGTGGATCTCTCTTCTCTACATTTTACCTCCATGATTTGGAATGGAAAATGCTGCTTTTCTTTTTGTTGCAATGCTCAGATGCAACACAGAAACCCCCTAGGATACAGTGATTCTGCCAACTTCTTCAGGAAAAAAGAAACAACTGACAAGTCTTCTGCTTCTTGTTAAACTGGAAAGAAATTGTTTTGCAAGCTGCAGGCTGATGTTAAATTTGAAGCAGGTGCTGAGATGATGGTATTTGTGAACTTTTTACATTTTGTTCCAAACAAGAAGACTAAATAAGCAGCAAGTATGGATGACATCAGGGTTTTGTTTTGCTTTAATGTCTTCCAGTTTCAGCCACTATCATGATAAGCACAGCAAATTCCTAATGTGTTCTAATTTAAAATGAAAGCGATACTAAAAATTACATTTATATGTAAACACGGTTCATCCTGTGACATAGATTTAATGTATAAGAACAACTTCCAATTCTGCAATAAAACCTTTGATGTGATAAAGAAGCATAAAGACAAGATAATTTCATATGTGAGTGAATCACAGTAACTATAAATATAAGTTTTTACAGGTAGAAATCCACATTTTTGGATGAGGAGAGAATTTCTCTTGGAGAAGGAAGCTGTTCTTGATTTCTTTCTCGGAAGTCTTTGGACATTTGTTACTTTTTAAATTTTTTTTTTTTCTTTCTTTTAAGAGAGGACTACATTGTACATATGCTAACCCTATGAATACATGTGGGGATTTAGTGAGAGGTTGGTAAAAGAAAACAAAACAGATTTGAACCCAGTGATGGAACCCCACTCAACTCCGCAGGATGCGAGACTACTATATTTCAAATTACTTCATTCTTTTTTGTGGAGTCCTACATAGAACTTGAGACTTGGTTTTCCACTTGCTGAGACTAGAAGAAAAGTGGCATATTGGTTTTCCTGTTAAGAAGATGTGATGAATCCTATGATGTGGCCTGTCTTCAACTTGGGACATTGGAGGAGTGTGGGAAAATGAGTTAATGCCTTTCTTCTAAGAAAAAGCAAAAATGCCTACTGAATTTCCATCTGACTTATGGCATTTTATATTCTATAGCTCCAGTTTTTGTAAAATCATCAGTAACTTTTTTTCTTTGACCCAAGATGGGTTTTTGAATGTTTGATTTATTTTTAAGGCAATAGGTGTAATGTTAGGTTGAAAGGGTGGAATTAGGTAACTTTCCCCAGTTGGAACTGAGCTTTTTCATTCAATGTTGCAATGTTGCCCAATGTTGTGCCCAACATTGCCCAGCTGCAGTGTTGCCCAAACTTGTGATTGGGTCATTATAGACTGAGAAGAAATTCAGAGTCTTTAAAACTTTAAACAAACAAAAGAAGTTCAAGTAAGGAACATGAACTGCCTTACCTTAAAACTTACTCCATATGAACAGGCTAGTGTAAAACTACCCTTGCTTCCACATCAACAGAGGTCCAGTGTATAAAGCGTCAGGTCTTTACATAGGAAGAATGAAATCTTTATGTCTTTGTGAGTAGAAAAGGAATTTAAATTTCTTAGCTGAAATTTAGAAAAGTCTTTGATCATCTCTGTGATTTAGGGAATGTTTGCCCAAGACCATGCATGCTTTTATGCTGAAAATTTAGGTCATATTTACCAATATTTGACAAGTATACAACCAAAGGAAAAGTTGATCACTCTTAAATGATTAGTCAAATTGGCTGACTTGAATTGGCATAAGAAAGCTTTTTAGTAAAATAATTACTGAATGTAGATAAAATATAGTTTCCTTTGAGGGCAGTTATTGAATGGTAAAGCTCAGTGAAAGGAACTTTGGATAAAGATAATTTAAGCTTTTCTCTAAGTGACTTCCCATCCACTTCCTGATGTTTTCAGTATTTTGGAGTTGTTCAAGACAATGGAGCCTATATACATGAGTTCCCATTGGTGTGTTGAAAATATATCATGCCTGAATTTGTATTTCTCAAGTTACCTAGTTTCCCCATGTTCTTTTGGCAACTCTTTGGGTAGGATCACTTGGCAGGGGAATAGGGTACCTATACCGTCAGCACCAGTGAAACCAGGTCTCACCCTCTTAACTGAATATGTATGAGACTGCTCTATATTTTTCTCTATATTTCTCTAGTTGCTCTAAATTTTTCATTTCACTTCTAGGAGAACTGCTGTTTACTGCTCTCTTTCAAATTATTATTGCATTTTCCATGGCTATCACCAGAGGACATTAAACAACATGGGTATATTCCAATTGTATTTGCCCAATGTTTGCTTACTATATCTACATACTTTCCTGGGGTCGATTTTGTTCCCCTAGATTACAAAAGCTATCACTTTGGCCAGGACTATGCCTCAATCTGTAGCTGTGTCTGCTTCCATTATTTTTGCTCATCCATGTCAGCTGGCAGTTTTTCTTTTAAAAAGTTAAACAAAAACGGGGTATGTGCAATAGAAATATATATATATGTATATTTTAATACTTGTGGACAAATGTTACAAGTTGTTTAAGAACAACAAAATCACCAATGTCTTCCATTTTGAGATGTGTATAGTTTTGTAAGCATTAGTGCTTGGTAGCATATTGTAGTGCCATGTTAGGGATTAGTGCATGAACCTAGTAAAAATTTAAACTTCAGGATGAATTATTGATAATAATCAGTGGTGTAAAAAGAGTGGAAAATCTAGACCTTTTTTTCATAAATATCTAAATCCATTATATTCTCCCTGGGGGAAGATTAAGGCCAAAAAGACTCATTTATGAATAGAAATGTGGGGTCACAATGTAAAATACTGTTTTGAGGATATGTAATCTTTCCATGAGGTCGCTGAATACCAGTTGGCTTTGTCTTGTGAAATCTCAAAACAAGACCCCGTATGATTCTGCTTTGCTCTTAGTTTTAGGTAAGATTGTTCTTACGTTACTCACATTGTATGTCCTCTAGGCTTATTATTTTCCACTTTTGCATCAAGAAATTATGTTTTGCATGTCTTACTGAGATGCTATGTTAATTGCTTAAGTCAGTCTTTCTTAATCTGTAGATCATTTAGGTTTCCTACCGCAGCATGCTACATGTTCATGGAAGAACACTGCTCAGTAGTTTAGTGTCCTAGGTTAGCTTGTCATGGGCTCTTCCTTACAAATATGCAGAATTGTATATTGATGGGATTCCAGACCTTGTTAATGAGATTGGAAACACAGCTGATGGCATCTACCTAGGTTGCCATGTAATAACTAGTTCTTTTGCTTGGGTATAGTAAGCCACCTCAGACAGCTTTCACTTTTTTCTATTTTCCTTGTAGAAATAAAAGTTGTTTTGTTCTGAAAGTATAAGATAGCTTTATATAGAAAAGAAACTCCTACCTCTAAAAGCTGCCTTGAGAAACTGGAAATGGCAGTTTTCTGAGGTGATTTTTAGATCTCAGTACCAGAGTTCAGGATTTATTGACGATTCTACAGTTAGCATGACAGGAAATGCAAAACTATTTTAATATGTATGTGCAGAGGCAAGTTTAAACAAACAGACTCTTGGACAGCAGATCTCCAGGGACCCAGGTTTAGGTTCTCACAGTCTATTTAAAGTAGTTGTACTCTTAGCTCAAGTAGTTTAGTGCCTGGAAGAATCCATTTCTGAAAAGCATTTGAACATTTTTAAAAATACCTCTGAAAAGGTAATGAATACAAAATAGCACAGTATATAGAAAAGGATATTTTCTTTTGCAAAAAAAAAAAAAAAAAAGCCATAAAATGAACCAATACTTTTCAAGAGGTAGAATTTTAGTAGCAATAACAATTTTGTATGTGTAATAAACTGCATTAGCAAGGTTGTACAGTAGAGTATTACTACTTGAGTTTGTGGGGCTCTGTGATCAACACAGTCTCACAAAAGGAAAAAGATGTTCTGGGTAAAGAGCATATAAAAGATACTTTTAAAGCTATGAATGTATATGGGAATATCATTGTGTGAGAAATTCCAACTTTTGGTAAGTAAAAGGATAAAGCCCTTGTTTCCTAAAGCAGAGGGTTAGAGCCTTTGAACTAAACTTTTCTAGTGCTTCAACATGTACTCCTACTGATGTAAGCCCACTGAAGCCATGGTATGGGGGTTTTGCTTATGTTTCTTTTAGCAACAGGCATTTATAGAACAATATAATTTTTGTTTTGTTGTCTCATCTTCATTAATTTCCTGAGTGCATTTTTTTCAAAGGGAGAAGTTAGTTGTGTGTGTATAATTAGGATTTTTCCCAGAACTTAAATAGCTGGCTTTTTCTCAAGCCTGTGACTGGTTCGGTTAGGGGAATTATGATTTAAAGATGTAAAGCAAAGGATTGAAAGAGATAATATCCAAATGTAGTCTGTTGGTTTTGTTCATTTCTTTCTAATCTTGTCTAACAGATGCGCCAAGGTCTGTGGCCTGTGAGTGCTTACTTTAATGAGAAATTTGATCTGTAGAATCACACAGCTCACATCAGGATATAATAGTGGAATGAGGATGACTTCTTATTCCCTTTTACCTCATGCTAATCTTGGCCATTTAGCACCTTGAAGATCTCTAAAAAAAAGATTATTAGGTCTATGATCCCTTGCTTTCCCAGCCGGGGGTGGAGAGGTGGGGGGATTGGAAGATGAGTGGATCTAAGGAGATGGTGCTTCTTCAATTTTTCTGATATGGCAACTCCAAATGATAGAAAGGCTGTAATAATTGATTATATAGCTCTTCTAAATGTCCTGTGCCAGAGGTTGGTATTGGAGACATTGGAATAACCAAGCAATATTCAACATCTGCACAATCAGGAGGACACCGCCACTTACGGTGATTCAAAAGTTTGGTTACTTGGAACAATGAAAGATTGACTTTAACAGCCACGTTCATAGTTCTAAATGCTAAAATGTGCTACAAGTGTTTGTTGTCTCAAAGTGTGCGATTAATTACTCCTCAGTGTTGTGGTCTCATGTTTACTCTTTGTGTACCTGTGATATGCAAAATATGAAGAGACCCTTGGCCTCCAGGAGTTTACATTCTCATGGTGCTGCTGATGCAAGCAAATTGCTTCTAGTTTATTCAGAACATTGCTTGGCTATAGATTATACCATATTTGGAAGGATCCCTTGGCCAACAGTTTTCAAAAGCAGAGGGCTATGATACATTTCAGGGCATTGACTTTGAGTTTACATTGTATTAGTTCTGCTGTTCATAAACTCCTCCCAAGGGAGCTGTGCAGTTAATGCTCATTAATATGAATCAGAAATTCTGCCTAAGAGTGTCTTCACCACCCCTAAACCACCTATGTTGTTCTATGCTATAGCTGTCAGTAAATGGCCAGGAAAACTTAAATGCTCCAAAAGACTGTACATCTCTCAGTTCTTTCTTTTCCCAGAGTTTTTACATCATCCTCTATCCAAAGGACCGGGATTTGCAATTAAGCCTTTTGTCACTCAATAGTGGTCCTAAATCTTAACCTTTTTTGCGTGTGATTTTTGTACCTCTATTCTGATGCAGCATTGTGATAGATGTGGAACACTTGCCTGCAATCGCTTAACACACATTTTTGGTTGAAATTTTGCATGTATCATTATTTCCTTTAACTCCTCTGAATCTAGAGATTTAATCTGCATGTTTATTAAAACTGGGTCTGGTTCAAAATACAAGCAATAGCGGCAGGCCTATAACTCTGATCTTACTAATATCCTAATGCATGATTGAAAATGTCCAGTGTAATGTGGTTACTAGTAATTATACATATGCATTTATTAATAATGAAGCAATAGAGACTTATACCAATAGCTTGAATTTATTGTTTGAATTTTTTTGTAATTAAAGATGATCTTCCATTGAAAATGGGAGCTTAAAGATAAACAGGGGCAACCAAAAGACATTCAAATTATCAGGATTAGAGCATTATAATGCTCACCCTCTAATCTCTTGCCTGTTTCCATTAGTCCCCAAGCATGTTTAAAAACAAAAGGCGGGCCTCCCCTGGTGGCGGTTGCAAGGCTGCCTGCAGCCTCTGCAGTGCCAGTTCAATTCCCCAGCCACTGGCGAGGGTCCCACAAAAAAAAATAAAATAAAATAAAATAAAAACAAAAGGCACAAACTAAGCATGTTGAATTAATAAATAAGCTGCTATGGCTCTAAAAATCAGAAAGGTGCAGAGTTTCAAAAATGGTGGGAAAGTAGGGAATACCATTGTGGGTATGTAAAATCATAAGGGGTTTATGTGATGTTTCATGCGGCCTAAGTTTAGATCTCTTAAAACGGTTATCTTGGAAGTAAATTGAGGTGATACGCATATTTCAAATGTTCACCAGGATTTTCAGATAGTTAGGCAACTGTTGTGGATGGGCCTGTTATCTAGCAGTCATGATTGATCCCTGCAACAAAGGAGACTGGTCCATTTTGTGGAAATAGTCTTGAAAATAGACACATCAGTGATTTGGTTTTATTTTTAATTATACTATTACATTAAAGGTTATATTTGTGGTCTCTTTTAGCAACAGTTTATTATTGATATTTTGGTTAGACTGTGTAACTTGTTACCAAAAGCTATTGCTACCCCCTAAACAGTAACAGGTTTTCCCATTTTAGGGGAAAAAGAAAAACCTTGCCTTTTGTTTTTTTATTTGATTAAAATATCAGTTTGTTGGGGTAGCTTAAAAAAAATTTTTTTTAGAAGATTCTTGATTGAATTAACACCAGTAAATAGTCCTGACAAATAATGTACAAATGGAATTCATTGTCTGAATGACATCTACATAGAAGAAAATTCAGGATTAAACTGATTTCATGTAAATGTTTCCAGAGTTTTTATTCTATGACTGATAAGTCTTTTTCCCCCCAATTAATCTCATTTTCTTTGTTGTGGGATTTTACCCCCAACACCTTTGGAAATGGTCAAGTGGAATAGAAACTTTCTGGGGGTTTGGGAAGTGAAACAGACTTCACTGCAGAGTTTGGCACCCACTCAAATACAGAAAGTGAGATGCATCCCATTTGCAGATTTTCTCTTTGCCACGTATTTTATCTGTCAGCCAATGACACCAGTAAGATTTAAGGAGAGTCATAAACGCTCTTCTCTATCATTCTACTAAGGCATAGAAAAATACTAATATTGGAAAAGCAAACATTTCTTCAGGAACGCATCCGCACTTAGATAAAAGTTACTAACAGCTTTCAAAAAGTCATGCGTGGCTTGAAGATGGCCATTTTTCTCCCACAGTAAGGGTATCCCTGGAATATATTCTCATCAGCCTTTAAAAATAATAGTGGTTTTTGTGCTCACCCTAAAGCAACCCACCACTTGTAATGAAGAAAATATTAATGTTCACTTAGTTTTACTTACTCTCCTGTAAGTACAGGAGTCCCTCACTGTTCTTGCTGTTCGGTATCCTCCACTGCACCACTGATAATGTTAAAAAATTTTTCACTGAATGTTTAAAGTATAAAAGGCAGCTTGCTCTTTAATCTATGCATCTTGGAATTTTAGAAGTTTTATTCTTTGTTGTAAAAGGGAACAACTTTATGAGATGGAAACTCTGCACCTGTGTGTGTGTATGTGTGTGTATTTTGGCAATAAAGCAGCATGGGCTGAGGATGCACTGAAATGTCACTGTGTGTTGTTTGTTATGCAGAATGGGCAATTTCTAATGTAGTAAATTGTGGAACTGGGAAAAGGGCTATGTCCTGAATTACGTTGACCCCAGAGGTTGGGGGTAAAAAAAACAGCCCCCAGGTTTCTTGAAACAGTTGTGGCAGTTGCTGGTATGTACTGTCCTGGAAAACAGGCAGCCACTGGAGAGAGAGGCATCCCATTTAAACAGTCCATTCTTCAGTTCTTTTTTTGGGGTCAACATTATGCTAGGCCTAGGAACAAATGTGTAGTTTCTGATAAAGCTCTAGTGAGCAAAATACAACAATGATACAAATATTGCAGGGAATATTTAAATGTTGACCTAACCAAAGAGGTTCTAACACTAAAGACATCCTTCTTGATTCAGGGGAAAGAAAAGGAGCTTTTTCAAGTTTGAGAAAGTAGATGTTAACAAAATTCTTTCGAATTGGCTGTTGTCAGATGGATAGAAACAAAAACCGGTTTTGTCATGAGTAGTAATAGTTCCTTTGGTTTATAATACTTCATTTAACAAATGTTTACTGATACTGGGCTAGATGCTGAGGTCACAAAAACATGGTTTCTGCTGTTCATGGAGGACCTCAAAAGTTTATAATGTGTGTACCTTCAGTATTCAATTCTATTGTTAGTTTTAAAGATTTATTTATTTTATACAAGCACTGGGTACATTCAGAAGTGTGGGAGGGTGAGAGAATTCACCAGAGCCTGAGCGGGGAGCAGAGCAGGCAGACTGAGAGGTACACTGCTGAGGGGAGCAGCGGGCGTCAGGAGAGGTCTGCGCGCCATGCGGGACCCTCCTCCAGTGGCCGGGGATCCAACCGGCGCTGCAGAGGCTGCGGGCAGCTTGGCAACTCAGCGCTCAACCGCTGCGCCACCAGGGAGGCCCCAATTCTATTGTTTTTATAGCCACATGGAGTTTTGAAAAAAACCTGTATCCAGTGCTAAATGGTATCAAATTATTGTAAAGTGTCCTTAGAATCTATTAATCTCAGCCAGTCTATCAGTGATGTTAGTCTTTCAAAGAAGATTTTATACCACCTAAACTTGTTAAACATATACAGAAAGCATAATATAAAACTAAGTGCACATGCCCTTTGACTCTGTCCCATTTGAAGAATCATTTCTATAGAAAACCAGTGCAGCTATGCAAAGGACCTCTTTTTTTTTAATTTTTATAGAAAATTTTATTCAACTTACAACATTTTCCAGCAAAAAGGCAATATACAGAAAGAGTCGGTGTACACTGCAGCTACAGCAACAACACAAGATCCGGGGAACGATGAAAACTAAGTGTGAGCTGCTGATTCTATTTCACACTACTCAAACTGGACACACAGCTGGTGTCAGCGCCAAAGTAAAGGGGACAAGGCTGGACGGAAAGAAAACTGCACACGATGAAGAGCAACATCAGTGAGTCACTTGCCGATTCACCCAACAGAAAGTCACCTCCTCCCAGCGGTAAATTGTTCATGTTCATTCATTAAATATACAATTTCCATTTCTTTTTTTTTTTTCCTTTTAACTTTTTTACAAAGTCACCAGCGTACTGGCCACTAGCAAGCATGCCCTCTTTGCTAAAGGCTCTCCTATGTTTTTGTTCCATCGTCAGGGAGTATTTATAATGTTTTCACCTGCCCTGTGTGAGCTGCGAGCCGGGGTACACCTCCTCTGCACTGACAGTGTCCCCACTTAGTGCACAGGCCCCGGCGGCTGTCAGGACCGTGGTCAGCACGTCCGCTCTGCAAACCGGCTGCAGGCAGTGGTGGCTGGCGGCAGGAGAGCCAGGCAGCTGAGGACCGAGGAAGGGGCGACAGGACATGCAGTGAAGAAAGAGTGCTATGTATTAGGTTGTGAGTTTCCGTTTTGCCTTTACAGATGCACAGAAGGTCATTGAAAGTATAACTGAGGGAAATACGTCAGAGGAGGCTCTCTTTTAAGAATGGCTAAACTATGATCTATTTACATAATTGAGCTATATGCAGGTGTTAAATAATTTAAAGGTTGGCTTGCAGTTGTGTACATTTATTTTACAAAAAAGTTGCAGAATGTGAAAAATAGCGGTATTACTTCATGTCTATACATATCCACATCCACAAATAATTTTATTTAGTAAGCACTTACACTGTGTGCTAAGCACAGCTCTCATTTAATCCTATTGGCTTTTAATCCCTATTTTCAGTAAAGTTTTAAGTAAACCAGGTTCATGACTAGGAATTATCCAGGCCACAATTTGAAATCACATCATTTGGCCAGAAAGCCTGCTCACTCCCTGTCATGCCTCTCAAAAATGGGAAGAGAAGTGAGCTTTTACCCTTTATTTTGTCACACCTCTATTTTTTTCTAGAGTGAGCATATAACTTGTATTAAAAAAAAAAAAAAATTACTTTGTGTTTAATTTTCTATTGAAAGTCTTAACCAAAATGGCAAATCCAATGACTGAGAAAAATAGTTACATTAGAAAAGTGGTTTAATTTAAAGGGAATATATTGAGGAAGGCATACCTACACATAATAAAAAACCAAGGATGACTCAAGGCAAGATTAACATTACGTCCCATTCTTTAGGAGTAGAAGATAGTTTTTCTGGCACTCTGTTGCCAGAAGACTTCACCCTTGCTTACAGAACAAGTAAAACAAATTAGAATTTTCTCCAGTTTAAAACGTGCTTAAAGGAAATTATCCTATAAGCAGTATTAAGTGGAAAGAATCTGATAAAAATACATGCTAGCTGCACCTCAACCAAATTAACTTCTCTATACACTTTTGTGTGGCTTAAGTCATCTTTTTATTGCTACAATCAAGGATAGTGCTAAAGCCTCTACTACCCATTTAAAGGACAACTATAATGAGGTCTAAAAATAAAAATTTGATCCTGTCAGGCCCCCTTAAAATTCTTCAAAATCTTCCCACCATTCTTGGGATTAAAACACCTTTCAGGAGGCCAGTTAGGTATTTGAACCCTCTGGTTTCTGGTCCCTTTGGAACTGACAGGCCACCTTTTAAGGGTCTCAAAGGATCTCTGTACATGTTCCCCCCATTACCTCCTACTCATCTCTCAGACCGCTGCTGAAATTTCACTTTCTTAGAAAGACCTTGCCTGACCTCCAGGCCAAGTCCATTAACTGCTACATGTGCTTATAACTACATTCTTTTTCTTCAAAACCCTTACTACAATCATGTCTTTATTTGGTTACTTGAATGTCCATCTCTATGAGCTCTGTAAGGACAGAGTGGCTGTATTGCTTAATTTCTATCCCTAGCATCTAGTATAATACCTTATATTTATTAATAATATGTTGTTACTGAGCCAAAGTGCTACATAAAACTAAGAGAAAAGCATTTTGCTGAATGTTTGGTGTTTTATAATTCTTTTCATCATTCCCCTAACATTCAGTTTACAACTAAAAAGAGAAAGATAAATTGTATATTATCCAGTCAACTTATTGAATATTATCTGTAGAATATGTATTTTCCCATATTTTCTCAGTATTCACAAATACTCCATATAGGAGTAATGGTAGTCAGTATTAAATACTTCATTTTCAGACGAATGCATCTTTTGATCAGAGCACCACTGGGACTTTGACTCTTAATCCCTAAATTTGCAATCAATGATGCTTTCAGAATTATGAAATTGCTAAATTAGCTGAAGTTCTTAAGGTAAGTAGCTATGAAACCAAGACAGAAGGGTGCTTAGTGTCTTATCTCGTAGAAACAGCTTCACAGATAGTTTGAAAGATCAGCCTAAAGATAAACAAAATACAATGTCTTTCCCATTTTTGAAGGTGATCTTGAGGTCTGACCAAACAGCACCTGTTGCTGAAGAGAGCAACATGGCCTAGCCCTCATACTCAAGCTTTGGTTGTGCATCAGTTTTGTGGCTTAGACTGGTCAGGAGTCACTTCCTTCAGAATCTTCATCAGTGAATTTAGGCGAGTGTGTGTTAACATTATCTTCTCTTTTAGCTAGGAAGAGAAATTTGTAGATATTCTTAGTCCACTGAGAATCTTAACTGTCAATTTGTTGGTTCTAGAAACCACTTCAAATTTAAATGGGTGATTGGGAGCTGGCAATGTCTCAAAACATTTCATAAATATACTTGTTCAATTTCTGAGGGAAATTTAAACAAACCTAGAGCACAATAACGTCCTCAGATCTAGGGCCTCCCTGGTAGCACAAGGGATTAAGACTCAGCACTGTGAGCCTATTGGCAGTCACTGCAGCACAAGTTCCATCCCCAGCCAGGATGCTGACCCACATGGCACAGCAGACCTCTCCTGTCTTGCCCGCTGCTCCCCTCAGCAGTGTATTTCAATAGCTCTGACTGTTCTGCTCCCCACTCTGTCTCTGGTGAATCCTCTCATCCCTTGCAACTCTGGCCTGTACCCCAGTTCTTGAATGCATAAATAAATCCTTTTTTTTAAAGTACAGTGTTTCACAGTCTAATCCAATCAAATTCCAACCCTTCTGCTGGGGAGATGTAAGGTACATACTCTTTGTTGTGATTCTAGGAGGGCTTTTCCTTTCTTTTTTTTTTTTAAAGCTATTTTCCTGATTCTTCTGGTAAGTTTCTAACTAGATTATAGTTTAGGTTATTGTTCTCACAGAACTACCTGTTTCTTAATTGCTTACCACTAAAATCCCCATTGTTTGGATCAGTAGCCTTAGACATAACCATTCCCACAGTTTCATATAAAGTAAGGCCCCGTGGAAGAGCATCATGCTCTAGTTTTACAACTTGTCTCTTAACCTGGCCAAAAGTTTTACACCACTGTTCCCAAGTCAGGGTGTAAGGATGACGTCTCTCAGAATGACACCACTACTTCACAATCAGGGTTGGTGGGCAAAGATATAGGTTCTGGACTTTTCCAGGGAGCAGAGCAGGCAGAAGGACCGAAGTATACTGCTGAGGGGAGCAGCGGGCAGCAGGAGAGGTCTGCGCGCCATTTGGGACCCTCCTCCGGTGGCCGGGGAGCAGCCGGGGAGCAGCCGGGGATTGAACCGGCGCTGCAGAAGCCCCGGGCAGCTTCGCAACCCAGCGCTCAACCACTGTGCCACTGGGGAGGCCCAACAAATACATCTTAATTTGCTTTATACCTTAAGGAAAATCTACGCAGATATAAGACAGTAGTTTTCCTTAGAATTTTCTTCAGCTATGGCTGTTTTGATGGGCAGGAAAAGCCACAGAACTCCTCTGGCTATCATTCTAGAAGTTTCCACTCATGCCAATTCTTTCTCTCTCTGTCTCTTTTGTTTGTTTGTTTGTTTATTGAGGAAAAGGAAATAGGAAAGAGAGACACCTGCACAGATACATGCAGGCAGTGAGGTACATTTTTGACAGAGGTAGCCTTTAAAAAGTGATATCTGCATTGAGACAGGTGGGCAGGAGAGTTGTCCATGCCAATATTTTTAGTCACAATACTTACTGACCCCCCTCATCCACTTAGTTGCTTAAAGTAAATGCTGACAAACTAAGGACCACAGAATAGCCTGCTGCCGATTTTTTTTTTAAAGATTTATTTATTCATTTACACAAGAACTGGGGTACAGACCAGATGCGCAGGAGGGTGAGAGGATTCACCAGAGACAAAGCGGGGAACAGAACAGGCAGACTGACAAAATACACTGCTGAGGGGAGCAGCGAGCAAGACAGGAGAGTCTGCTCGCCATGTGGGTTGCTCCGAGGCCAGCAGGGATCGAACCGGTGCTGCAGAGACTGTGGACAGCTTCACAGCGCTGCACTCAACTGCCTGCACCACCAGGGGAGGCCCTGCCAATTTTTATTGCAAAATAGCTGCAACCATTTGTTTACATGCTGTTTAAGGCTGACTTTGCAATAGCACACTTGAGCAGTCAAAAATATACAGGCCACAAAACAAAGTATTTGTCATCTAGTCCTTTACCTGAAAAATTGACCAACTTCTGGTTAGGACATGGTTTCCTGAGCTTAGTTACCCCACAACAACTACCTCAATGTTCATTTGTCCTAACAGCTACTTAAACTTTGAAAAATAAATGTCATTGCTTACTAAATGTCTAGTTAGCAAGGAATAAACTATTAAAACTAATTTAAAAAAACTAATAAAAAGAAAAGCAACAGTAACTTATAAGGTTGTTCTTGTTAAGGTAAAGTTATAACCAAATTTCCAAATTTGTTAGTCTGCAGACTACTAAAAGAAAATTGCCTTCTTCAGTTCAAATAATCAACCACTAATAAAACCCATGTAAAAAAGAAGAATTCTTCTAGAGGCTTCCCTGATGGCGCAAGGAGTTAAGATGCAACCTATGAAGCTATCCACAGCCACTGCAGCACAAGTTTGACCCCGACCAAGGAGCTACCCATATAGTACAGCAGACCTCTCCTGTCTCGCCCGCTGCTCCCCTCAGCAGTGTATTTCAGTAGATCTGCCTGTTCTGTTCCCCACTCTGTCTCTGGTGAATCCTATCACCCCTCAACACCTCTGGCCTGTATCCCAGTTCTTGTATGTATATATAAATAAAATAAAATTCTTATTTATTACTCTTTCTTCTGAGACATCTAAGCTTAAGGTATATGCAAATATAATAGCACTCTGAAAGATGATGTTGTCCATTCCCAGCACTGAGGAGAGGATAGGAACACAGGTGCTAATAGCTTTCTGCCTCCTCCTGAACTAGACCTCACAAAATGGTTTGAATTAAAAAAAAAAAAAAATTTTTAAAATGGTTTGAATATTTTTGTTACAAATTTAATATGGAATACCTAATAAGTATACAGAATTATTGGTATCATTTCTTTGTCCCCTTGTGCACTGGCATAAATTATCTAGAGTAGTCTATGTTAAAGGAAACATACAATCATCATGAAGTTTTACCTCTGCAATCTTTCCTGGTAGAGATTCGTTGTAAATATCCATCTCAGATGCATTTACTATGGCTTTTGTTTTTAAGAGATAGCTAGATAGAAAATACAGAGAAAATATTAACACAATACCCAAAAGGGTCTACTACAACAATATTTTGCAACAGTTTACCTTCTAGAAGTTTCCACAGTAAAACAATATATTCTCAATTGTTTCATGGTGTGATTATAAAACATCTATAGTGGGGCCTCCCTGGTGGCGGAGGGGTTAAAGACACAGCACTGTGAATCTATCACCAGCCACTGCAGCATGAGTTCAATCCCCAGATGGCCAGGGAGCAACCCACATGGTGCAACAGACCTCTCCTGTCTTGCTCGCTGCTCCCCTCAGCAGTGTATTTTAGTAGATTCGCCTGTTCTGCTCTCCCTTCTCTCTGGTGAATCCTCTCACCACCTGTACCTCTGATCTACACCCCACTTCTTGTATGCATAAATAAAAAAATCTTTAAAAAAATAAAATAAAAATAAAAACATCTAAAGTGGTCAGATTATGAGAGTATATTTAGGTTCCCTGCCATATTTTTTGTAAGAGACTGCGCCTGGCTTTACATCTTTGGTACATTCTGCCTTTTCTGAAAAATATTTTAAAATTAATTTGGTAAAGAATATCTAAGTCTACTCACCACACCATTTTGTCACTGGAAAGGCAGAAGTGACCTCTCAAAGCAGCCAAAGTAGCATGGGTAGAATACAGATGGAAACCAATAGGAATCCCACAGGAACTACAGAATAAAAGGTTGTAAGTGCTGGGAGGGAAAACAGAACACTGGTAAGAAAGAAAATCAAATAACAAACATAAAATAACCAGTATCTGAAAATATTCCTAAAATACTAAGAATCGCCCTGAAAAAATGTCACATTTAAAGAAAAGTTGACTCAGATGTTAATATAATTACAGCTTAGATTAGATATACTAATGGATATACCCACAAAAACAATCACAGATGTACAACTGTCAATTCAATAGAGAAAAGCAATTTAAACATCTGAAAAGCAGAAAAAAGTTAGCTAATCAGATTAACATTTAAACCTACATTACACCATATAAATTAGCTACCATTAAATAAATCAATGTCCAGCTGAAGACGTATAATCAAATTGACAGGGGTTTACTAAACAATTTATTACTAGAAACTCAAATCAGGGTATGATTTGCAGATATATCAACACAACTGACTTAAAGTACCCATAAAAAATGCAAAGAAGAAAAGAGGAATCCTAGTATCCTAGCAAGCCATCTATTTTCTTTCCCTTTATCCTCCGAAAGATTATAAGATTAGGAATCAAAAAATGTTGATTTTAGTTCTCATTATACCATGTGAGTAAATGACCATATCTGCTGGTATATAGTAAGGCATATCCAAATATTACAAGAAAATATTTTAAGAAAAATCAACTCTATTTCATCATGTATGTATTGAAAGCATTTTAAAGCAATTTGATAAGTAGTTTAGTAAAAATAACATTATGCAGTAAAGTTCTATTAGTAGAGTCAAAAAATCACACAAGTGAAAAACACTCATGTCTATGGATTGTACAAAAGATCAAGCAAAAAAATATACTAAATTTATTGGTAATGAAGTCCTATACCATACCAGTAGTTCTGTACTTTTGAAATATGATAAACATAAAGCAAGCCATGAAATAAAATTGTAATGATTTGAACTAATTCCTACATAGGAATTAATTATATCAGTCAAAGCACAGTACCTATAGATAAAAGTCTCATAGAAACTAATATACAACACAGAGCAAAATGAAAAGCAATTCCAAAATTATGTTTATGCAATATAAGTATTTCATTGAATATTAGTACACAAGGAAAATTCTAAAGAATTCTAATAGTGAGGGCCTCCCCGGTGGCGCAGCGGTTGAGCATTGGGTTGCGAAGCTACCCGCGGCCTCTGCAGTGCCGGTTCGATACCCGGCTGCTCCCCGGCCACCACCGGAGGAGGGTCCCACATGGCGCGCAGACCTCTCCTGCCGCCCGCTGCTCCCCTCAGCAGTGTACTTCGGTCCTTCTGCCTGTTCTGCTCCCCGCTCTGGCTCTGGTGAATTCTCTCACCCTCCCGCGCTTCTGACTGTACCCAGTGCATGTATAAACAAACAAACAAACAAACTAAATAAATAAAAACATGCCTCTATTAAAAAAAAAAAAAAAGAATTCTAATAGTGAAATTCAAGAGGCAGAGTATTGCCTCTGTAGCTTTCAAACCATAGGTTATGAATTAAAAAAAAAATTAAAATCCTGTACTTTGACCATTTGTGTGGTATATGGCCCCTTATTTTTGTTAAGAAACAGTGCATTAGACAGAAACTCCCTAACTATCCTTGCTAAACTGTTATGGGTTGTCTTGCTCTACCAGTAGAGGTTAGAATCATGTAAGTTGCTGGGTCTTCCATTATCACATCGAACCATAGACATTGCTGGATTTGGGGGAAGGAAAATACTTCCAAAATACCAACAAATATAGCTTCTTCTTAGTTTTTTTATCTGTAAAATGAGATCAAGTAGATGATAAGATCCTTCACTGATAATATTCTATGAATCTAGAAGGCATCAGGATACAAAAACAATAAATGGTTAGATCATTTATTTTCCTGAATTTACCTTATAATCATGGGGGAGCGGGGAGAGGTGAGAGATAGGAGAAAGTGGTGAAGAGCTTAGACGAAACTAAATTGTCACAATATTGGTAATTGTTGAAACTGAGTGAAGGGTAATTGGAGGTTATTAGTGTTCTACTTTGGGGAATATTTAACTTTTTCCATAATAAAACATTTAAAAGAGTCAATCTGTGAATACTACTGAATACCTAGCTTAGCTTATCCCAAAATGTATCAATAGTTTCCCAATAATATACTTTCCTTGGAATTGAGTTGTGTCTTTAAAAGTTCCTATCTGATAAAGATTCACTAAATACAGATTAAATTATATGATTTCAAGTATTTATTTCAAAATAATATGGGGGGAGGAGGAAAGTGGGTATATTTGTAGATGAAAAAAAAGATTTCCCTAAGTCAACAACTGTCCTAGTTGAGTGAAAGACGTACAGGGGCTTGTGATATTCTTCTCTCCTCTTGCGCTTGAAATATGCCATAACAATTTCAAGAGAATGTAATTTACATGATATTACATATAAGCAAAATTCCATTCAAGTAAATATTCTGTTCCTGCACAGTAAAAGTTCTAAGTAACAAAGCTATCTCTATCAATAAGTGGTAATAATGCTTTTTGAATGCTTTTTGTTACAACTGTAACAATTTCCACCAGTAATAGAATAGAATGTAGGTGCAAGAAGTTGAATATATCTTAACTCTAATCTAAAATATCAGAACTCTAACTCATCCTAATTTTAGGATATTTAAATGTGGGGGAAAAAGTGAATCTTAGAATTGAATATGGTAGGTAGATATCAGTTTTATTCACGTTTTATAAAAGGAGGTAAAATTCTAATTGTAAAACCCAAAATCTCCTCACTCAAAAATGTGCACCCCTTTATGAGCTACATCAGTAATTATCCTGTTAATCCATTCTCTAACCCTGTCTAAGTACCGAACATACTTGCTCTTAAAAAAAGATTATCAGGGACTCCCTGATGGCACAAGGGGTTAAGCACAGCACTATGAAGCTATCTGCAGCACGAGTTCGATCCCAGGCCATCCAGGGAGCTACCCACATGGCACAACCACCTCTCCTGACTCGCCTGCTGCTCCCCTCAGCAGTGTATGTCAGTCAGTTTGCTGTTCTGTTCCCCACTCTCTGGTGAATCCTCTCACCCCCTGCACCTCTGGCCTGTACCCCAGTTCTTGTATGCATAAATAAGTCTTAAAAAAAAAAAAACACCCGAATATCAGAGTATCTTGAGCTGTGCCATTTCATAATCCTCTGCACAAGTCCCAAGGCTCTCTTTATTCCAAAAATACACAAACATATAGAACTTCCCTCCAGCATTTATAAATCATCAAAATCTGTACTGAGCAATAGGAACATATGAGCAACTTACTTTTAAACTTTCTATTTGTCTTGTTTAAAAATATATAAAAACAGTAAAATTAGTTTTAATATATTTTAAACTATCCAATATAACAAAAATTTCATTTTAACATGTAGTCAATATTTTGAAATTAATTTTTTTGTACTAAGTCTTTAAAATCATGTGTACATTTTACACTCACAACATGCATAGTTGAAGAGCTACAAGTGGCTTGTCAACAACACAGGTCTAGAAGCATTGTCCTCCTCTCTAAGATTTTTTTTAAAAAAGATTTATTCATTGGGCCTCCCTGGTGGCCCAGCAGTTGAGCGCTGGGTTGCGAGGCTGCCCGCGGCCTCTGCAGCGCCGGTTCAATCCCCGGCTGCTCCCCGGACACCGGAGGAGGGGCCCACATGGCATGCGGGCCTCTCCTGCCGCCCGCTGCTCCCCTCAGCAGTGTACTTCGGTCCTTCTGCCTGCTCTGCTCCCTGCTCTGGCTCTGGTGAATTCTCTCGCCCTCCCGCACTTCTGACTGTACCCAGTGCTTGTGTAAGTAAGTAAGTAAGAAGTAAGTAAGTAAATAAATAAATAAATAAATAAATAGAGTTCTCCTAAAAAAAAAAAAAAAAAAAGATTTATTCATTTATGCATATAAGAACTGGGGTGTAAGCCAGAGGTGTGGAGACGGGGGGGGGGGGGGGGGGGTGAGAGGATTCACCAGAGAGTGGGGAGCAGAACAGGTAGATCCACTGAAACACACTGCTGAGAGGAGCAGCTGGCAACGGCCGAGGCAAGAGAGGTCTGCTGAGCCAGGTGGGTAGATCCCTGGCCAGCTGGGGATCGAACTGGTGCTGCAGTGGCTGGCGATAACTTGATAGGGCTGTTTTTCACCCATGTGCCACCGTGCGGGCCCCCCTCTAAGAAGATTATTTAGAGAGCTTCTGCCTTTGGCCCCAAATGCAATTCCAAGCTGCCACCACCCTTTCTTCTGTGCTCCCTTGGGTTGGGAAGAGGACGTACTGCAAGGGTAGGGAATGAATGCCTTTCAGGTGAGAAAGAGGAGCTGCAGAACTGTTCCTGATTACCGAGTAACTAAAAATTCCTATACTTTATTTAACCTAAAAATTGAACCAAACTGGGGTCAGAATGAATTGTCTTGCTGTTAATGTCAACAGTCAAATTGAGGAGCCTTGTAACATTGAATTCATTTAGTACTTTGTTGTCACCTGTAAATGAGTACAGGCAAGATGCAAAGTTATCAAACAGTTTTCAAGCATGTAACACTCAACTTGTGGTTTTCCCCAGTTTCCTGAGTCACAGCTGAATTAGTCCTGCCATAGTTTATTACACATTCCAGGTTAAACAGAAATTGAACAGTCCTACTTATCTCAAAGTGATTCCTACTTACTATAACTTTTATAAACTTTTGGTTTATAGGGATATATTGATTTATATCCCTATAAACCAAAAGGTAATTTTCTCCTTCTTCTAAAGACATATTTTTCTTAGCCTCACTTGCACAAGCCACTAGGGATACAGGGCTCTCAGAAATACCTTAAAACCTACACACAAACAACAATTTCCCATTTTATTAACACATTGAGTTAAACATAAGGTTAAAGGAGCATCCTTCAAACACATCGTCTGGATGGAATGCACCCTTTTTTCTCACACGAGATAGGAACACACTGATTTTGTTAGGAGGAAAGGATGTCCTGAGCTAATCCCATACAGGCTTTGTGGACCCCACCCCCACTCCAGACCAAAGCCATCAGGACACTGGGAGAGACAAATCCCATCACCACCAAAGGGAAGGTTGCTGGGACCTGAGGGTGGAGTTAAGCAGCCAGGTTTGGTATAAAGCCAGACATGTGGGCCTTGGGGGATTTGGGGGGGGGTGGAGGGAGCTTTTTGGCTTCACGGCTCCTGGCTCGCGCTCAGTGTGCTCAGGGTTTCCAGGTCGCTGGAAAGGGTAGGATGCATTTAAGACTTTATCTCCCTATTTTCTCCCTGAGTTGTGCATTTCCTCATTTCCCCTTCCCTTGTAAGTAAACCTTTTATTAACCTTTTGTGGTGCCAGCAGAGGAGTATTAATAAGTCCCTTTTAAGCGCGCGGGTGAAGACCCACAGCCAGGCAACCCGTTTTATATCGGGGCTGCCCTGTAACAATTTCTCCTCTTGCATGTTGGTTCCACGCTCCTAAGTCTCACAAGTCAGGAACTAGTGATAACAGGACATTCTCAGGGACTTCTCATTACGTACCTGCCTTTGAGCAAGCCTTCAATGCCAACTAGAAAGGGAGCTTCCAAAACCACATTACTTGTGACCCCTAGGAAGACAAACATGGGTCAGAATAAGTACCTGTGAGGCCTTGAAAGGGAAAACCCACCCTCTCCAGAGGCTCCTTATGCAACAGGGTGGTCCCCAGGAAAGGGGGAGGTTCCCTGCCCCACCCAAGGGAGGGTGGAGCTGAGCAGGAAGAGGAGAAACTGCAGGAGACTGAGGAAGGAAGGAGGATGAAGCCAGAAGGAGACCTGGAGGAGGCGCGTGGAGCCTAGAGACACGTGAAGAAACTGCGCTTGTCTTTTGGTCGTGGACTGGGTGACACAGATGTGGGTGAGACCCGTGAGGAGGTGACAATGGCAGCTTTTATCTTGATGTTGATTTTGCTCTTTTCCTTCCGGGCTTGTCCGGTTGTTTGTGACCCTTTTCTGTGGGTCCCCACTGGAAGATGCTTTAGACTTGTGGCAGGCTTTGGGGCCTTGTTCTGGGCCAATCCCATTTGGATGGACTTTTACCCACGAGGGGACGGGTAACTCTGGATGCTTCATTTAGAAACTAGACTCTTTGCCTTACCTGTATTGTTTCCTAGTTTTATTAAAGTTCCTTCCCATTAAAGTCTCCTATGTTTTGTGTTGATGCGGCGGATGGCAGAACCCATGTAGAATAGGCAGGTTTGTGGGGTTTGGGCTGCCCCTCTCCCTGTCCTATAACACTTACAGACAAAAAATTCAAGAAAAGTCCACAGCTCTACCACAGGGGTTCGTTCCCTTCCAAACCTCCACCCCGTTTCCGTCCCCAGCAGGCTCTCAGCTACCCTCGCGGAGAAAACCACACTCACTGGAGAAGATCACAGCCCCGAGGGCCCGCGACAGGTCCCAGGCAAGGTGCACCGAGTCGGCCACCACGGCGCGGCACCGGGAGCACTGGAACACCGCGCACCTCTCGGGCTGCAGCCACGAAGGCAAGCGCGGTCTGGACGCTGGCTCCGCCGCCCCCAACGCTGCAGGGCCGAGCGGCGAGGACCCGTTCACCACCTGAGTGTCCCACTCCATAGACGTCGTAAGAGAAGGTTCGTCAGTCGCCGGCTGAGCGCCATCACAAAGGTCACCCCGCGCCAGCTTTGCAGAGAGCGTGCGAGGCCGCAGGGACCTGGCCGCCATCTTGCCGTAGCCCGCGCTTGTTTCCAAATGCCCCAGGCCCCGCCCCAAACACGGCTCCTGGATCCTCATTGGTCAGGGCTGGGAAGAACGTGCTTTTGACGCTTGAGGGGATCCGTCTTCTTATTGGTCAACACAGGGCAAAACCCCGCCTTCGAGCCATTTTTTACCCAATGGGGAGTAGCAGTCGCGATTCAAACTGTCTATAAAACTCGGTTTGGTCAACGATTCTGGTAGCGCCAGTTTTGAACGGTGCTGCGGAGGTTGGGGGTTTGTCCTCGGCGCGGCCGCCTGGACAGCAGGACGCCATGCCCGTCCCCTCCCTGAAGGAACTGGACTCCTTCAAGTACAGTGACCTGCAGAACCTGGCTAAAAGCCTCGGGCTCCGGGCTAACCTCAGGGTAAGGCGCGTCGCGCAGGCCGCGGGCGGGCGCGTGGGTGAGCGCGGCGGGGAGCCCCGGGCCGGGGGTCCCGCGGGGACGCGAGGGTCCCGCTTCCTGCAGCATGGAAGGGGGTGTTGTTTTGCCTTAAGTGGAGGTTGGCTTTTCTGGGGGAACTCCTAGGTCTCAGCTCCAAAAAGGTTTCTTTGGATTCGTGTTTTTGGAAGTCAGGAAACGCCGGCCCCGCCGGCTGAGGGAATGTCTGGCGCCCGTTCAGTGTTAACATTCCAGGAAATAATTGCCTTGGCTTCTGGAAAACTCCTAATAGTAACCTATGTACACTGTAATAGAGTCGAAATCTTGAAGGTTTATTGGGGACCTGGAGAAAAGGATGGCTTCTAGGGCACCACGCCAAGAGAGGATTTTTTTATGACTCAGCCCTGCTCTCAGTAGGATCGTTCATTGGTGAGCACTGCCACTGTGGTGGGTGGCAGGTTTATGTTTCAGAATGTAGCCTTTATTCTGAGGCTGCAAAAAGATGGGGCGAAATGTGGGGATTCAATTTGGGGTTCTGTGATAGATTCCAGTGGAAGCTTGCCACATAATACTAAAGTGTATCTTGAGATTTGTTCTGCAATCTGTGGTGCTGACACGGTTTTATGCTTAAATCGGCCATCACAATTGGTTTTATTTTATTTTTAAATATTTTTTTTTAAAGATTTATTTATGTATACAAGAGCTGGGGTACAGGCCAGAGATGGGGGGGCGGGTGGGAGGATTCACCAGAGACAGAGCAGGGAACAGAACAGGCGGATCTACTGAAGTACCCCGCTGAGGGGAGCAGTGGGTGAGACAGGAGAGGTCTGCCTCACCATGTGGGTTGCTCCCTGGCCAGCTGGGGATGGAACTGGTGCTGCAGAGGCCGAGGATTTCTTTATAGTGCAGTGCTTAACCCCTTGGGCCACCAGGGAGGCCCCCACAAATGGTTTTAAATGGTTTAAACAAAATAATTGATGTCAAGGTACCTGTTGGGGAATCAACTGAATGATAAAGGAGTGTTTTTAGATTAAAAAAAGAAAAGGATTGTCTTTAGAGATATTTCTGAAATGTAATATTTACTACTGCCTTAATACTTCACAAGCAAAGCCTTTTTTAAAATTCCGTCCACTTTGTAAGTGCTTAAAGCACTAAAGACAGTACATTTAGGAGATACTAAATATTCAAAACTATTATTTACAAACATTCCCTGGAAGTACTAGATTAATGCACCAGAAGGTCTCCATAGTTTGTTTGGCAAGAGGTTTATTACTGCAGAGGCTTCCCCCAGAGTTAGGGCTCTGGCTAACATTAAAGCCCCACAACCACCTGAATCTCTGAAGAGCTATTGCAAGTTACAAATATATCTTTTTCTGAAAGTCCCACTTATCATTATCTGTTGAGGCACCTGAGCTGGGATAACCAATTAATCACCTTCATTCATAGAGGTGGAGTAGTATTGCATTTCTTGTCAGTGCAAACCTCATTATCTTCTAGCACACGATAATGGGCTTATAGTGGATAATATTTGTTGAGAAGTACTGTTTGTTGAATCTCTATTATAACCAACCATAAAAAGACATTTTTGAGATGATAGAGAAAATTAAACGTGGAGTAGGTATAGTGGGTATTGATTTTGTTGGGTATAATAATGGTACTGTGATGATGCTTTTTCCCCTTAACTCCCTGTCTCTCACTAATACATGCTAAGTACCTACAGGTGAAATATTACGATGTCTGCTATTTGCTGTAAAATACGGCAGGAAAAGAGGAGAACTGGATGAAGGAAGAACGATGAAGTGTTAATCATTGTTGAAACTGGATGATAGATATATGGGAGTTTATTACATTTTTCTCTCTACTTTTGTATGCATTTCAAATTTTCCATAATTAATATGGCTTAAATTATTTACAGTTGATATAGCTCAATAGCTTATTGTGATAATTGTCTTTTGAAATTACAAGTACATATCAAAAAAATAAAAATGAAGTAAATTGCTCTAAGAAATTATCAAGATTTGGGCCTCCCTGGTGGCGCAAGGGGTAGAGCACCTCACTATGAGGCAGTCCGCAGCCTCTGCAGCACCAGTTTGATCCCCGGCTGGCCAGGGAGCAGCCCAAGCCCACATGGCTAGGCAGACCTCTCATGTCTCTCCTGCTGGTCCCCTCAGCAGTGTATTTTGTCAGTCTGCCTGTTCTGTTTCCCACTCTGTCTCTGGTGAATCCTCTCATCCCCCTGTATCTCTGGCCTGTACCCCAGCTCTTGTATTTAAAAAAAAAAAAAAAACTTAAAAAAAAAAAAAGAGAGAAATGATCAAGATTTGATCTATTTTTAAAAATGTAACCAAGGGCCTCCTCTGGTGGCGCAGCCGTTAAGCGCTGGGCTGTGAAGCTGCCCGCAGCCTCTGTAGCACCAGTTCGATCCCCGGCCACCGGGCAAGGGTCCCACATGGCGCGCAGACCTCTCCTGCCACACCTGCTGCTCCCCTCAGCAGTGTACTTCGGTCCTTCTGCCTGTTCTGCTCCCCGCTCTGGCTCTGGTGAATCCTCTCACCCTCCCGCACTTCTGACTGTACCCAGTGCTTGTATAAATAAATAAATAAATCTTAAAAAAATAAAATAAAAATGTAACCATGTAAGGTTTAAATAAATTCCTTAATAGGATAATATTCAAAACATCATTAGAAGATTAGCTCATTCTTTTGAGACACTACTCCTAAAAGTAAATGACAAAATGAAGGAGACAATTAATAATATGTTATGAACACAAGTCCTTTCTCACTTATGCCCTCACACTTTTTTTGCAGGCTTAATTCACACATACTGAGACTATTTCCACTTTTTACAACATCCTTCTCTCAGCTGGCAAATCTCCAAACCTGATTGACTCTAGCTATGTGCTTAAATTCATACCTAAACTTAACCAGCTAACCCTGGCCGAACAAACCTAACTTAATTTAAATTTCTGACCATAAATCTTAAAATGAGCATTTGGTTCCTCTACACTTGCTTGGTACTCATTTACTTTCCCATTTTTGAAGGCAATTATTTCATATCGTCTCACTTCAAATTATCTCCCTTCTGAGAATTACCTCATCTTCCCACCAACAACTCTCCAGCCAGGCTGCACCTGTCACTGAGTACTCTGCCTGTTATAGTAAAACCTGTGCCTAAGGGCAACCATACCATTTGTACAAGGGATCCTGTTCCCTCCTCTAGGGCTTTCACTCCTGCAATTAGCTTCTCTCGAATCACTTTCTCCTACTCTGTTGACTTATGGTCCTGATGCATGCAGTCAAGTGTTATTATTACCCATCTTTAAAAAAATAAACCAAACCTGGGCCTCCCTGGTGGCGCAAGGGATTAAGATGCAACCTATGAAGCTCTCCGTAGCCAATGCAGCACGAGTTTAATCCCCAGCCAGGGAGCTACCTAGATGGCGTAGCAGACCTCTCCTGTCTCGCCCGCTGCTGTCTCGCCCCTCAGCAGTGTATTTCAGTCAACCCACCTGTTCTGCTCCCCACTCTGTCTCTGGTGAATCCTCTCATCCCTCACGCCTCTGGCCTGTACCCCAGTTGTTGAATGCATAAATAAATAAATCTTTTAAAAAATAATCAACCTTCTCACCTATGCCCTTCATCTCATGCCGATTTCTCTATTCTTTCCCATGGATACGGTTCTGCATCTTAACAAAACTGTGGCCCATCTCTATCCTCACCTGCCTGACAGCAGCATTTGGCATGACTGAACACTCCCTTCTGTATATACCACTTCCTTTGACTTCTTTGGTATTTCATTTTCTCTTCCCTTTGTTAGTAATTCCTTCTAGTCTCCTTTGCTGGTTTTTCTTTGGCCAAATCTCTCAAAGTGAGTGTCTCAGAATATTCTCCTGCACCTTCTTTTCTCTAACAATGCTTTTTCCCTTGCTGATCTTATCTACTCCCATCACATTAAATGCATATCTGCAGTGGGACCTTCCCCCTGAGCTGCTGACTCATGCATTTAAATGCATCTTCAACAGTACATTCAGTTCAAAACAATTAAGATCTCTTCCCATTCTCAGTGGTTCAGACCTACTTTAGACCACCCTCGATTCCTGCTTTCATAGCCCATGCCCATCCATCCTTGTCACCTCTTCCTCCCAAATACAGATGAAATCTGACCTGACACCATTTGCCAATGCTGTAAACCTAGACACAGCCCCTCAGCTTTCATAGCCCATGCCCATCCATCCTTGTCACCTCTTCCTCCCAAATACAGATGAAATCTGACCTGACACCATTTGCCAATGCTGTAAACCTAGACACAGCCCCTCAGCTTTCAGCCATTGCCTCGGGGTGTCTACCTGTCTTCCTGCTTTGCTCTTGGTCTCACAATAGTCTTTTCTTGGTAGTTAGTGGTATTTGAAACTTAGAATATATCACTTTTCTGCTTAGGCCCTCCAGGACTAAAATAAAAACCTTAAATATAATCCAAACTCCTCTAGATATAACATGAGAAAATTTGATTTGATCCTTGTTTGGAAGGATTTTTTTTTTTTTTTTAGAAGAAAAAGAACGACAGCTAAAATTGGAAACAAGGAAATTTGAGTATGATCTCCATATAGGATATTGGGGAACTACCTTTCCTACATATGATAATGCATTTGAGGTTATGTAGGAAAATATTCCCCCCTTGCATTTCTGGAGATGTGGCTGTTGTATTTAGTGGTCAAGTATCATCATGATGCCTGGAACTTATTTTCAAGTAGTTATGCAAGAAATGTATATTAATAGAGCAAATATGAGACAGTATTAATGATTATTCAATCTAAGTAGAGAATATAAGAGTGCTTATTAAACTGTTTCTCCTTTACTATAGACTTGGCTTTTTTTTCTTTTTTTCTTTTTTTTTTTTTTTTAAAGGGAAGAAATTTTATTTTTCCACAGTTCCAGTCACAATTTCTATCTATTTAGGGCACAAAGGAGGCCCTAAAGATACATTTTTTGGGGGGGATTTATTTACTTATGCATACAAGAACTGGGGTACAGGCCAAAGGTGCGGGGGTGAGAGGACTCACCGGAGACAAAGTGGGGAACAGGACAGGCAGACTGACCAAAGTACACTGCTGAGGGGAGCAGTGGGCAAGTCAGGAGAGGTCTGCTGCACCATGTGGGTAGCTCCCTGGCCAGCCGGGGATCGAACTCGTGCTACAGAGGCTGTAGACTGCTTCATAGTGCTGTGCCTAACCCCTTGCACCACCAGGGAGGCCCTAGACTTGACATTTTTTATCGTAAAAAGTTAGGAGGAAAATATCCATATTCCTTCCATGGCCTATTTGATCAAGCTTCTGGTCACCGCTGATCTCCCTGCCCTCCACTCACCCTAGGTGTTCACCATGCTCAGTGGTGAAACAAACAACACTGACTTGTTACTGTCCTTCAATTCACTAAGTCCTCTCAGGGCCTCTGGACTTGCTTTCCCCCTGTCTGGAATGCTCTTCTCTCACCTCTTCACCCGCTCCTTCCCAAGCCCCAGCCCCCAGTTTTGTTTTTGCTTCATTGTGCCTGATGTCGGGTCATTTCTTTTAGCTAATTCGGTGATAGACTATTTCCCCACTAGTCCATCCCTAGTCTCCGGAGGGCAAAGACCTGTCTCTTGTTCCCAACTCTCTCTCCAGTGCCTGGAACAATGCCCAACACATTACATGCTTGTTAGAAATGCATGAAGGTGCTGAGACTAACATCTGTACTTGTGGGTCAGCTCTCTTGGGCATTGCTCGGGCTCACTCGACCTACTAGACATCTTCATTTGGCTCTGCCACAGGTATCTCATTTCATCATTGCCGTGTGTTTGAGTGAAATTTTCTTTTTCTTTTTTTTATGGTTTTTATTTTTATTTTTTTAAAGATTTATTTATTTATTTATACGAGCACTGGGTACAGTCAGAAGCGGGAGAGGGTGAGAGAATTCACCAGAGCCAGAGCGGGGAACAGAACAGACAGAACAACAAAATACACTGCTGAGGGGAGCAGCGGGCATGGCAGGAGAGGTCTGTGCGCCATGTGGGACCCTCGCCGGCGGGGATTGAACCGGCGCTGCAGAGGCTGCGGGCAGCTTCGCAGCCCAGCGCTCAACCCCTGAGCCACCAGGGATTGGGCCTGTTCAGTGAAATTTTCATGGTATTTTTAAGAGTTAGAAATCTATACAACATGTAACCTGTGATTACCAATATTGTGTTTTGTACTTAAAATGTTGCTTGGAAAAATAGTTTAAGTACTCTTGCCACCAGGGGGCAGTAGGAAGCCCCCTGTAGAGATGATGGGTATGTTTATGGCATTGATGATGTATTCACAGGTATTTACATTTATTTTTGTTTTTGTGTAGAAGAACTGGGGTGTAGGCCAGAGGTGCAGCGGGGGAGGTGAGGATTCACCAGAGACAGAGCGGGGAGCAGAGCAGGCAGAAGGACCGAAGCACACTGCTGAGGGGAGCAGCGGGCAGCAGGAGAGGTCTGCGCGCCATGTGGGACCCTCCTCCAGTGGCCAGGGAGCAGCCGGGGATCAAACAGGCGCTGCAGAAGCTGCGGGCAGCTTCGCAACCCAGCGTTCAACCGCTGCGCCACCGGGGAGGCCCTATGTTGATCATATTTCAATAAAGTAGTTGGGGGGTAAAAGATGTCAGAGTCAGAATTACCAAGAATGCCTGAATTCTGCCCTTCCAATCAGTCCCTCCACAGAAAAGACTCCCAGAGGGGTTCCCATGAACAGTAGCAAGTGAACAGTAAGGTACCACTTTATTACCACAATAGCTGGTTAGATGCCTGATAGCTTGATGCACAATATGCTGATAAACAACTGGAGCATGTGCTTCACCCCTGAATAACCACAGCCTCTCTTGTCTCCTAAAGCCTAAACCAAAGAACAATCTCTGCCAATCTGTGCCAGACCCCTGAACAATAATAAATGGTGTGAGACAAGAAGAGCTGCACCCAGTGGCTAAGGGTGCTGTCCCCCCTTCAACCCCCCTGCCTTGAGAAGGAATCTGTGGTTCTCAGCGGCATGACTGGGTGGGAGAGGAAGAAGAGAAAACCGCCACTCATGTGCTTTTAGAGCCCTGCTGATGAGATTAGTATTCCTCTTTCAGAAAACAACTGGAAGAGAAGGTTTCTGGGGTCAAAAACGAAAGTAGGCATTCCCATCTCTCAAGGATCTGTAACTGCCCTCTTCTCTAAGACCATCTTGCCTTTGCCGTTCCCCTTTTAAGGGCCCCCCCACACACACACTCCATAGGCTACTCAAGCCAGAAAACTTTGAGATTAACCAAGTTTCCCTAGTCTTCAACCCTCACATTCATGCTGATATTAAGGTTTTGACTCCATTCATATTGCCGAGCACTACTCTAACCCAGGCCACAGCCATCTGTTTCCTATGATCACCTTCAAGCTGTTTCCTTGTCTTCCATCTTAGCCCCATCAAATGCATCCTGCATACTGTATAGCCAGAGTGACTTCTTTTTTTTTTTTTTAAGATATTTATTTATTTATGCATACAAGGAACTAGGGTATAGGCCAGAGGTGCAGGGGGGTGAGAGGATTCACCAGAGACAGAGTGGGGAACAGACAGGCAAAATGACTAAAATACACTGCTGAAGGGAGCAGCAGGCGAGACAGGAGAGGTCTGCTGCGCCATGTGGGTAGCTACTTGGCAGGCCCAGGATCGAACTCATGCTACAGAGGCTTCGGATAGTTTCACAGTGCTGTGCTTAACCCCTTGCACCACCGGGAGGCCCCAGAGTGACCATTCTGAATAATGCAAAACAGATCACCCCCTGTCCTGCTGCAAACTCTTCAAAGACTGCCTTTTGCTCTGAGTGCAAAGTTCATACTCTTAAGAGGCTTTTAAGACCTGACAGGATCAGGTCTCTGCTCATTTTTCCAACATTCTCTCTCACCATCCACTCCAATACACTCCAGCCACATTAAAGTTGAGTTCTTCAAACTCTACCGTCATTTTTGCCTTCCTTTATTTCAGTACCCCTTTGCCTATGTCCCACTCTCTGCTATTTGTCCTTCATACCTCGGCAGCTAGAGATATCACATCTTTATGTTGGAACTGGTGTGCCCAGGTGCCTGCTGAAGTCTACGCTAGCAGCCCAGGCTTGGCTGGCCAAGCCACTGGTGTTCTCTCACAAAACCTGCACAGCCTCATGTTGGCACTTTACCCATTGTGTGTTGATCATTGCTTACCTTAGCTGACGTCCCCTCTCTGCTATGAAACCTGTGGGGCCAGGAACCAATTCTGTCGTGCCTTAGTTCTATTCACAGATCCTGTTCAGAGGACACTTGGTGAATATTGTAACAGAAGATGTTCAGTGTTTCTCTCTTGTTTATTTGGCTTTTGCTTCTACTGATAAGGTCTTTAACTTCTCTACAGGCCGACAAGTTGTTAAAAACCTTGAAAGCTCACCTTACACCTGAAGCAAGAGAAGAAAATGAGAATCAGGTAAATGATGTTTTTCATCACTTACCAAATAGCAATACAACCTTATTTACATCACTTATAATAAATGTGATTAGTGATGACTTAAGACATGTTATTTATTAGCAAAGAGAAGAGATCATTATTGGAAGTGGTAAATCCTTTCATAATTATTTGTATTAAATGTGAAACTGCCTTAGAGCAAATAATCTATTAATAAGATGTTCTTATGCATATGCAAAGGTCAATTGGTTGTGGCCAAATATTACATGACATGGCATGGTATGAGTAGGAAGGGGACCTGATTTGAAGTCAGAAAAACTGCGGATATTAGCAACTCTGTCATTTTGTATTTGGGTGACCTTATAAAATTCAAACTCCTTGATTCTTATTGTCCTTTTCTTTAAAATGGATATATGATTTTCTCTGCTGAACTGCATGTCCTGAGAATCAAATGAAGTAAGGACTGTGGAACTATTTGAGTTAGCCTGTAAACTGCTCCTGGTGGGAGGGCTTGTCATGGTTGCTTTAGACCCCTTCCCTATAGCCTGACACTTAAGTAGTTCAATGAATGCTTCATTGGGACCAGATTCTTACCTTGAAATAGAGAAAATGTTGAAAAACCCTAAGGAACTGGACCTTGGAAAACACCCATTATATATCTGGAAATGAAGGTAAATATAAACACAAACTAAAACTAACTTCCTTCTCTCTGTTCTGATTGTCTGTGTAACTCCCTTTATTCTAGGTTATACAGATTAAAAAATTTCCCATATTTAGAATTCCTTTTGATTCTACATTTTATTTAACTTTATAATAGACAACAAAAAAGAATTTTTTTTTTCCAAATGGTTAGGGATTCCTGATGGCAGTGCTACGTGAAATCAAGATTTTATTTTGGGCCTCCCCAGTGGCGCAGCGGTTGAGCGCTGGGTTGCGAAGCTGCCCGGCAGCCTCTGCAGTGCCAGTTCGATCGCCGGCCACTGGGCGAGGGTCCCACATGGCGCATAGACCTCTCCTGCCGCCCGCTGCTCCCCTCAGCAGTGTACTTTGGTCCTTCTGCCTGCTCTGCTCCCTGCTCTGGCTCTGGTGAATTCGCTCACCCTCCTGCACTTCTGACTGTACCCCGTGCTTGTATAAATAAACAAACAAATAAATAAATCTTTAAAAAAATATTTTATTTTGGGTAGTAATTGATAGACTAAATTAAAAAATGATCTATCTGACTTTAAATTCAATATCTCAGGGACCATTCCATTTTGAAAAATTTCGTGAGAGCTGAAACTCAGATATAGAACCCCTAAGTGGTGACTCTGCAAATAATAAGCTTAGATTGATGGAAAGATCTGACAGACTAACGGTTTATTTATCAAAGGCTTCAGAAAGAGTCTGCACAGTTCAAATAACATGGCAAAGATTCTGGCTCCTAGGGATTGACAGATGTATAAGCTTCCAGATGCCAAAATCATCACCTGGGAGTGCACAGATGTGGATCATAGCTGAGTAAGAGCGAAGGTGACATTGTACCTTCTAGAAGCCTTATTCTCCCACTATAGGCCAGCTTTAATTATGAGCTAGAGCAGCTTTATAAGTAAGTCAGGCTATGTGCTGGGGTCTCCCTTATCGGAACTAGGCTAGCCTCTTCAGGCTTAGATATAGACTAGACTATTATTGTTCCATCGTGGTGCACTCAGGAATGAACACATCCTCCCTGATCACCCTTCGCTTCCCAAACTAATATACCATGGCTAAGGTGTGTGAGGTTAAAATAAAACCTGTCTGAATGTCATGCTAAAAGGCTTCTCATCCACTTATAGACCTCTCCTGCTGTGTACGATTATGGCGCCAATGGGAGGAGTAAATAATTACTTTAAATGTCTCTTTATATTCCAGCAATATGTATAACCCAAGGGTACCGCTTCTACAGTGGAAATAGCTTTTCTCTTTTCACTTTCTCCCCTGTGACTATCCAGGAGATTGAGAAGAGGAACCCAGATAGCGCTTTCTACTCTCATGTGGATATTCTTTCTCTTTTGAATTAATGCTCACCTTTGCTCGCCTCACACCTGTTGCTCTACTTGTTGCTCTCCAGTGTTCTCTCATGGTCCTGCTCATCACTTTGTGTCTGAACATTATTTTGGATGAATGCAAAAATTCTTTAATTTACTCTCCTCACTTCCCTGTGCTTTAACTCCATTGTCTTTTATTTCCACACTTTGCCAGCTTTCTACCAACTTGGGCATATCTTGGACCTTACAGCAGTAGGACCTACTCTGCTTCTGTGATATTTCATCTCTGTTTAAAGCCTTCTATTATCTCAGTTTCCTTATTTTACTCCCAGTATGATTATTTTATATTGTGGTGCTCAGCCCAGGAAGTATGAGAGAATCATTCAGGGTATATATATATTTTTTTAAATACTGACATATAGGTTTTACTAAATCACAGGCCAATTGAATCAATGCTCAGAGGGTAGGATCCAAGTACCTTAGTGAAATGATTGAAAAATCAGGATACAAAGCCATCTACCCTTACTTCCATGTTTAAAGTACCTATCTACTACTGTCTAAAATATTGGAAGGATTCCCTATAAAGAAATTAAATGGTTATCAAATAAAGGCCTCTCTGCCTTCTGATATTGAAGCGCTCCCCAGCGTAATAGCTTCCTCCCCACCTAAAGACCTGGCAGATCTCATCCTACCAGAACACAAGCCCTCCCACACATTCAAGCTCCTAATGAGCTTTCTTGCTTTGCTTTGAAATATGAATAGACAGTCAATAATTGCCAGACATTTCAGTTCAGCCTTAAGATAAGAAAAAAAAAAGATGACCCTTGAGGTGATGAGTGATACAGAAAATACACTTTTAAAAATGGGGGTGGGGGGGACATTACAATGACTGTTTATCAATTCTTAGACTCAAATTACACAGACAAGTCACAGGTGATTCAATTAAAATTACAAAACTGGCATTAAAGGTTCTCAACTTTAGTACTTAAAGAGCATAAATGACAGAAGATGAGGGGTAAAAGGAGGGCAAGAGGAGAAGGGAAGCATAAGGTTACTGAGACCTGCAATTTATAGGATATAGTCCATAGTCATGGAACAAAATTTATAGGTATAAGTAATAGAATGACAAAAGTGGTATAATTCTAGTAGGAAGAAGATAGGAGATAAGAGTGGGGCAGATGAGTTCAATTTTATCCCATGGTAGGCACTCAAAACAGCTATTGAAAATATAAATGAAGATTCTATAAGCAAATCACAAGTGATTTATAAATAACCATTTGAAATTGCTCCTTAGAAGTAGGAAGGCGGGAAAAAAAAAAAAAGAAGTAGAAAGGCGAGAGCAGAGAACCAGTTGATTTTCATTATAATCTTTTTAGTGCTTGATTTTTTTTTTTAACCATATGTACATATTCATTCCAAAAATTAGAATTTAGGTATAAAAATCTTTAAACCCCAAAACAAATCAAGCTTGACCTTTATAGTCTCTAGGTAAGATAATATGCACAAGAGGTTTTCCTCACATTGATGATAATATATTCATTCACCTGTTGTCTTGGCTAGTGCTTTTATAGTTTCATCTTTTGCACTTTAATCTTTAATTCAATTCATTTTGGTGAGAGAATGATCAAGTGTCGGGGTCACTCACCTGAAATATAAAAAACAGTGCATTTGTTTCCTTGGTGTCACATGTTGACAGCAGAGTCCGGCGCCCCAATGAGGTGCAGCCTTATCCACCAGTGATTTCGTGCGTAAGCAGGTGGGCTGAGGATGTTCCGGGACCTGTGCCACACTGTTTTAATGATGTAGCGCTTCACTTTTCATTATGACAGTGTGAGCACCGTGCTTATCTTCCTCCTTTATTTTGGCCTTTGGCAAGTTACTGTGGAGTCTCTCAGCCCCAATGTCCCCATTTATGAACAGGGGATAGCTAGTAACTGTCTCATAGACTTCAAGGAATAAATGAGACAATTCATGTAAATACTTAGCCCAGGAAAGTTGTAAGCTGAGCTGTCATTATTTTTAGTTATACCATATTGCCTGGTGCGTAGTGTATATTCAGTAAGTTAATTCACTTTTAATAATTTGCTTATTTACTCACGCTAGGATAATTTTGAATGTTTTCCTCACCTATTGTTTTTAGCGTGGGTTGTTAAATGTGATTGTTTCCTTTTAAATACTCTATAGTTCTTGTCCTTGCCTATAATTATTGCTAGAGAGTTTACAATTATCATTTCTACATGTACTGTTTTTTATTCAACTTAAATTCTCATTCTTCCCAATTACATTCTAATTCTATAGAGGATGTGGCAGATTAACATGTCTCTTTTCAGGATGAAAGCCAAACCTCTGCATTCTCTTCTGATGACAATGACGTACACATCAGCAGCCAGGAGCGAGCTGAGAGGGAACTGGCTAGCCATGTCACCAAAACAAGGAGAAGGCGGAGAACCATCCCCGGGAACCCTGCCTCCCAGGTGAAATGAAGTGTACCAACTGAAAATAAGCCACCGCCTATGCCAAAGCTGGCTCTCTAATTCCCTTGGGATTTCTAACAGTTGTAAACACTGCTGTAAGCTCCACGAAAGAGCTCACACAGGCCTGTGTCTGTCCTGGTTGTCACACCTCAGGTGCTAGTGCTTGGGGAGCACTTATTCAGTGTTAAGCACAAATTAAAATTTGAATAAATACGAATGTTCATTAAGTGTGGGAAACCAACATCAAATAGAATTGTCTTTTCACTTTCCTTACTGGCCTTAGACCTGGTGATCACTGTGTACTCGATCTTATAGGGTAGAGTCTATGGTTAGCCAAGGGTTTCCCTCATTCACTTTGAGAGGGCTCTCACTTTGTTCTCCTAGCCTTTCATTTAAATGTAACTTTTAGAAAATACAGGCCTAATTTTTGTTTTTTTTAGCTTCATATAGTCCCTTAATCATTAAACTACCTAGGTCCCTCTGTGTTAGTTTCTCACCCCTAACAGCTAATTTTTTCACTTATGCCTTTCAGGATAACAGGTTTCTAGTGTCTTTTATCCCCAAATTCACGTTCTTGTGACACTTACTGAGGCAAAAGACCAATCTGCCACTCAAAAAGCATAGTCTCCTACTGTTCTTCATTTAGCCCCTTTGCCTGTTTGGTATCTGTCTTCAGAAGGCAGTGCTTCTTATTTATCTTTTACATCATTTCTTTTTTAAAATTCATAGCAGCTTCATTCAGAGATAAAAATAAATGATCCCAGTGACTTCGAGAGTCAAGAAAAGCAAGAAAACCAGGATCTCACAACTGCAACAAAAGTTCCTTCTCCATCAGACAACAGCCAGGGAGATGAATATGCAGTTTCCTCAGGAAAAAGTGGAATAATTGGTATGTGGAGGAACTTAAAAAAAAATCTAAAATTGCTAAGGGTAGCCAGGTATGTGTTCATTTCACAGTTAAAAGTGTGTGGCAAATTCAGCCTTCCCAGCTGTTTGGCCATTTTTATTTTGACAAATGTATGCTGTTTTTAGTCTCGAATCTCCAAAAACTTCTCTAAACCTCAAGTAAAAGTTTGTGTCAGTAAGACAAAAAAATTTCTACATTCCTCATAAATGATTCAATGTTACTTTCACCCCTGAAAATCTTGAGGCTAGAGCAGGGGCCTGAGAGGACTAAGATAGAAGAAGATGCCTCATAATATTTTAAAATCATGATTTAGAGCAAGATGTAAAGAAATGTGACAGATGGGCCTCCCCTGGTGGCGCAGCGGTTGAGCGCTGGGTTGCGAAGCTGCCCGCAGCCTCTGCAGCGCCTGTTCGATCCCCGGCTGCTCCCTGGCCACCGGAGGAGGGTCCCGCATGGCGCGCAGACCTCTCCTGCCGCCCGCTGCTCCCCTCAGCAGTGTACTTCGGTCCTTCTGCCTGCTCTGCTCCCCGCTCTGGCTCTGGTGAATTCTCTCACCCTCCCGCGCTTCTGACTGTACCCAGTGCTTGTATAAATAAATAAGTAAATAAATGAATAAATAAAAATAAATTTGCTAAGGTGAATGGAAGTTTAAAAAAAAAAAAAAAAGAAATGTGACAGAGTCTGAAGTGGGAGTAAAATTCAGGTGTCTGCTATCCCACCAATCATTACACCAAGAAGACTTAGCTCTAAGGACCTGGTTTCTGTGGCACAGAAAATGAGGGTGGACCCCATAAATCAGGTTTGCATTGAAACACAGGCTGTTTGAAGGAAAAAAATATGATCATGTTGCTTCTGGCAAGAAGAATTTTTGTAACATTTTGTTGTGATTTCAGACTCAGAAAAGTTGCAAGAAGAATACCAAAAGTTCCTATGTGCCTTTTACTTAGATTTCCCAAATGTTAACATTTTACCACATTTTGTTTTATCCTTCCTTCCTCTCTCCCCCTTCATACACAGGTTGTAGACTTTCTTTTTCTTGAACTGTTTGAGAGTAAGTTGCAGATATGTGCTCTTTACCCCTAAATACTTTAGTGTGTGTTTCTTAAAAACAAGAATTTTCTCTTATAACTCTAAGAGTGCAAGAAGTTCAGTAACAGACTTCGTGTTCCACGTTGCAACTGACCTTGAAGAAACTATCACTTGTCAGCTTTTGGTAGAGTGTTGAGGAATATCCATAATTATTTGAAAAGCCTATTAAAGTACTCTTACCTCTCAACCACATATGTTGTGGTGCAAGATTGCTTTCCATATGTAGTTCAATCGAAGTAGCATATTGTTTGCAGGAACAGATAAGAGAATCCAGAATTCAGCTGCTTTCTGTTAAGTCAGACATTAAGGAAATTGTTTATAAAGAAAAAAACAAACTTACTACTTTTCTTTCAGAAATTTTAGCCTTTTTCATACATTATTTATGTTACTATATAATGGATATATTATTTGCAATGAATCAAAATTTTTTAAATTTCTTAGTTTTAATAACTGATAAGTTACATATTAATATAACATGTAAACAAAAATTCTTTGGTGTTCTAAATGATTTTTTAGGGTATTTTAAGAATATAGTATGTATGGAATATAGGCCTTGTATATCAACTGATCCAATTATGTTCTTTAAAACAAAGGACAATCTTGGCTTATCATTTGCATTTCATTGTCACATCTTTAGTCAAGAATTTTAATCTGCAACTTTCTCAGTATTCCTATCTTTCAAGATGTAGATAATTTTTTAGTACAGACCAGTTTTGACTTGCTTTGTCTAATGTGTGCTGATAGTTAGATTCGTATCATGCACATTGCCCGGACTCCCCCAGAGTGATGCTGTACCTCCTCACTCAGTACCCCAACAGGCACAAGTGTTGATTTGTTCAATGCCAGGATTGTTGACTTCCTTTGACTGGTTATGGTGGTGTCCCCACTAGATTGCTCCTCTATAAAGTTACTATTTTTCCATCTGTGATTAATTAGTATCTTGTGAGGACTTACTATGATTGTGTTTATAACCTGTTTTTCATGGAACTTTTTTTGTTGGTTTGGGGCCAAAGTCCAAGCAGAAGCCCCTGAAGTCCTCTTACTCTACTGAATGATTCTTTACTCTGTTTATGAATGCACTAGGGGAACTTAAGTGACTTTACAAGTAATATTTCTTGTAAACTCACTTGCATATTAGATTTCCTCAAGATGACAAACATCTCAATGTGGAAAATGTTGGTGATAAATGAGAGGAAATAGCAAACCTTTCATCCACCATGATTTCAATAGGATTTAAGAACATATCAAAACAAGTACAGAAGCAGAGGACCTGAGGAAATGTGCTAAAATACTAATGGTATTTGTTAGGCTGGTGAAATTGTGTGCATTCATTGTTCTATTTATAACAATAACATTTTTATAGTAAAAATTCTGGAAAAAGATGTTTTGTTTTGTTTTTTCGTGGCATATTTATATAACTTCCATACAGAAAGCATGTTTCTGCCTACTTGAAAACTGTGAGCTAAAATTGTAGAGATGCTAGAACTAATTCTCTGTGCACCTTATGTACCATTTTTCCCAGCATCCTGGCAGAGACCATCACATGAAAATAATCTGGGGTAATTTACAGACATTTCTTAAATGGAAATAATTTTTTTGAAATCTCTCGTTTGTTCTGTGTCTTTGGATTCAGGTAAAAAAGACACAAAGATACCTTCAAAAGGAAAGAAGTCTCTCCACACCAATGGGTTTTCCAAACCTGGAAAAAATAAAAGAACTGCAAGTACTACCCCAAGTAAGTTTTGTACACATATATAAAAGAATGGTTGGCGCCTTGAGGCTGATGTTTGAGGCTCTGTGCTGTGGCAGCTGAAGGCTCATTGCTGGCACTGGCTTGCATCCTGTTCTCTCTCATATCCAGCTGTGAGACTTGGGCAACTTATCCTCAATAAATCTACTTCCTCAATATAAAGTGGAAATAATTATACCACCTGTTTCATCAGATTGCTATCTACATTAGTTAAAGCTATTTATCCACTTTACATTACCTAGCATAGCAACTAGCATGTAGCAAGTATTGAGTAAAGATCTGAGATGAAAATCTGTAAAGCACCGGGCACATGTCCTCCTGGTATTTAATTTCTTTCTTTTTTTTTTTTTTTTTTAAATAATAAATTTTATTTTTATATTCCCCAAACAATTGCAACCCCCCAATTCTGACCCCAATCCCTCCCCTCCTGCCACCCACCCCCCAAAAAGTGTCTCTGGTTCATAGTTTTTTCTTGATTTTGATTTTCACTTTCTTATAGTTACTCATTTTCCTGGTCCCTTATTTAAGTTTTCTAGATTCCTGCTATGAGTGAGACCATCCGGTATTTTTCTTTCTGGCTTATTTCGCTGAGCATGATCCCTTCCAGCGCCATCCATGTTGCTGCAAATTGCATGTGTTTATCTTTTTTGAATGCTGAGTAGTATTCCATGGTATATATGTACCACATCTTCTTGATCCAATCATCTATTTTTGGGCATTTGCGCTGTTTCCAAAGCTTAGCTATTGTAAATAGTGCTGCTATAAACATAGGGGTGCAGGTGTTCTTTGAAATTGATGTTTCTGTGTCCTTTGGGTAAATCTGGTATTTAATTTCTTTAGTAATTTGTTTTCTAACAAGTCTAAGGGACTTCATTTTTTTTTTTTTTTTTTGGTTAGAAGTGGGGTACTGGCCAGAGTCATGGGGGGGCGGTGAGAAGATTCACTAGAGAGAGTGGGGAGCAGAACAGGCAGATGTACCGAGGTACACTGCTCAGGGGAGCAGTGGGTGAGACAGGAGAGGTCTGCTGTGCCATGTGGGTTGCTCCATAGCCAGGCAGGGATTGAACTCGGGCTGCAAAGGCAGCGGACAGCCTCACAGCTCTGTGCTCAACCCCCTGCGCAACCAGGGAGGCCCTTTCATGTAATTGTCTATCTTGCATTGCTGGAATGTCACTCCACACATAGATTGCTGATCAAGTGTTGCATATTTATAGTACTTTAGACTACTGTTCACCATATATTAGAAATTCAATTAATATTTATATGCTTGATTGGAATAATACGGAGGAAGAGACTAAAAATGGTTTCCACAGTTTGAAAGTTATATAAAAAAGACAAAAATAGAAAAAAAAAGACAAAAATAGAGACAGAGATCATCCTATATGTGGCTGCGAAACCTAAAATATTTTCTGTCTATTCCTTTATAGAAAAAGTTGGCCCATCCTTGGTATAGTCTTTTCTAATCATTATAAGGTACTGAATTTGAGAATAGTTAAGGCCATTTAATTAATAAAGGGGAGGATTAATCTATTACTCTTATCCTGTGGATGGAACCAAGGTATCAGTAGCAATGAAATGGGCAATGGTGATATGATGTAAGTCTAGTAGTTAATAAGATGAATATGCTATGCCCCCACATGTCTAAAAATTTAGTGTTTTGAGGGGCCTCCCTGGTGGCACAAGGGGTTAAGTCAGCACTATGAAGCTATAGGCAGCCACTGCAGCTGAGTTCAGTCCCCAGCCAGGGAGCTACCCACATGGTACAGCAGACCTCTCCTGTCTTGCTTACTGCTCCCATCAGCAGTATATTTCAGTAGATCTGCTCCCCACTCTGTCTCTGGGGAATCCTCTCACACACCGCTAACCTCCCCACCTCTGACCTACATACTAGCTCTTGTGTGCATAAATAAATAAAAATAAATCTTTTTAAAAAAATAAAAATAATTGTGTGTTTTGAATTAAAATTTTAGCAAAGGTGATGCTATAGTTGAGTACTAGGAATTTAGAGGTGAGAAGGTTAACAAAAAAATTAAGGAAGTGTAAATTAATGGATTTTGGCATTTTCACATTTCGCGGAACATTCTAGACTTTAAGAAGCTTCATGAGGCTCGTTTTAAGGAAATGGAATCCATTGATCAATACATTGAAAGAAAAAAGAAACATTTTGAAGAACACAATTCATTTAATGAACTGAAGGTATGTTGTACATTTATGTTTTGAATGGGATTAAACTTTGGTTTCAATGTGGGTATCATGTAAGCACCATGGTTAATATAGCCAGCTTTCTGTTACTCTTCAGGAGAATGATTTTGGATTTAATGTATGCTTATTTGCTTACAATTGCTTTCCCCCACCATGAGAATTTTCAAAACCCTCCAGATAAAAAAACAAATCTTCCTCATTATGAAGGTTGACTTCCAGAGAGGCAAATGTTCCTGTTTCCCACACTCAGATGTCTTGCCTATTGCCTTTTTAAAAAAAGATTTATTTATGCATATAACAACTGGGGTGTAAGCCAGAGGTGCAGGGCGGGGTGGGGGAGGATTCACCAGAGACAGAGTGGGGAGCAGAAGAGACAGCTACTAAAATGCACTGCTAAGGGGAGAAGCAGGTGAGACAGGAGAGGTCTGCTGCGCTATGTGGGTCACCTCCATGGCTGTGGAATTGAACTTATGTTGCAATGGCTGGCGATTGCTTGATAGCGCTGTCTTTAACCCTTGCGCCACCAGGGAGGCCCCTTGTCTATCACTTTTAAGGATGGACTTTTAATGGACTTTTAATGATGATCAAAGCCACCTCCTTTCCCTATCTCTCCTAAATTTAGGAGAAAAAGACTGTCTAGAGGTGAATAAATTAAAGGCTTCCTGAGTTAACTGAACTCCCTGGGGGGCCTTTAGTTCATGTCCTGCTTGACTTCAAGCTCCTTGGAGCAAGAGATGATGATGAACTCAGCCCTGAGTTGGGTTAGCGGAATAGTGCATTGATAACTGCAGACTAGGAAGCTGATGTCATCATCTTAGGTACTCTCTACTGGAATTCAAGCTTTCTGTACAATTTAATTTGGATGCGTTAATTTTCCAAGTAAAAGTTAAGAGCAAAACAACTGCCTCAACTTTATATAACCTTAAAGATAAATTGAATACATGAGTAGCTTAATCTTGATTTTAGTTATAGACCCATCTCAGTGAGTTTATTTCTAAAATCCCATACCACCCCCATTATTGTTTAAGAAGTTGGCTTGTCAGTATGGTTTTTTGATATGATCTAGAGACTGGAGAATAAAAAGAATTACAGTGACATTACCATAGCTGATGGGAAGTTTTCTTGACAGTGACATATTTTGGTATTATTTATTTGAATAGTGATTGACGATAATAAATGACCAGCGATCTAGAGAGAATCATTCTGGCCACGATTAGTGTCTCCTTGACTTTCAAGATAAGACACAGGAGACCAGTTTGATCTAGTTGCCAAATGGACCTCTACAGAGATCAGAAATCTGCCTATTTACTTTGCCAACAATGGGAATTAACTAATTTTTCAATCTTTGATAGTATAGGCAAAAAATGAAATCCCAATTATAATTAGCATTATAAAGCATGTAACATATAATGTAACATACATACATACATGTTACATTATTGTTCAGATGTTATAATTGGCTGTTTTTCTGTGAATTTGTTTTAACTTGTATCCATTTTCTTATTTATGAGCCATTTATCAATGGTATTATATATGTTACAAATACTTTTCCATACTTTAAGTTCTATTAATGATATCTTTTACTTTTTGGAAGGATTTTTTTGTTTTATTTTTAGTTAAGTTTTTAGTTAAACCTATTCAAACTTTAGAGCCTTTAAGGCTTTTGAGTTTTTTGTCGTCCTTAGAAAGGCCTTGTCTGTCTCCAGATCATAAAAATATGTGCTAATATTTATTTGTACTGCTTTTATTCTTTCTCCCTATTTTAAATCCTTAACACGCATTTTTATCTTTGTGTATTATATAATTGAGTTCTTGGCTTTGTTAGAAAGGAATTTTAAATGCTAAAAGAAAGGGAGAAGTTGATTTAGATACATTGCTAATAAAATAATAGCATTACTGCAGCCAATGGCATTATAATATTTTACCCTAAAAAAGTCAGAAAGGGGTCTCCCTGTAGCACAGGGGTTAAAGACAGTGCTATCAAGCTACCCCAGCCAGTGCAACATGAGTTCGATTCCCCGGGCAGGGAGCCAACCTACATGGTGCAGCAGACCTCTCTTGTCGTGCCCACAGCTCTCCTCAGCAGTGTATTTCACTCAATCTGCCTGTTCTGCTCCCCACTCTGTCTCTGGTGAATCTTCTCACTGCGCCCCCCCACACACCTCTGGCCTACACCCCAGTTCTTGTATGCATAAATAAATAAACCTTTTCTTAAAAGTCAGAAAAATCGATACTTATTACAAATAGAATTATTTATGCATCAGAAGTTATGCAGAAATATAGAGCTGATGGTCCTGGCATCAAGTAAACTTTAAGGAGACAGTATAGAAAGTGGGAATTTTAGGGGAAAGATGGAAGAAGGCATAAAAGGTGTGATTAAATAGTATATTTAATACATCAAACCTGTGTATTCAACTTACGTTAAAGGAGTATTTACTCAAATTTTGGTTTTATTTATTTATTTTTTAAGATTTATTTATTTATTTATTTATTTTATATATAAGCACTGGGTATAGTCAGAAGCGCAGGGAGGGTGAGAGAATTCACCAGAGCCAGAGCGGGGAGCAGAGCAGGCAGAAGGACCGAAGTACACTGCTGAGGGGAGCAGCGGGCAGCAGGAGAGGTCCATGCGCCATGTAGGACCCTCCTCCAGTGGCCTGGGAGCAGCTGGGGATCAAAATGGCACTGCAGAGGCTGTGGGCAGCTTCGCAACCCAGCACTGAACCGCTGCGCCACGAGGGAGGCCCTCAAATTTTGGTTTTAAATTTGTCTCACAACAAACAGTTGAGTCTCTTCTGATTGTATGTTGAAATGAGAAATTGATATAATTCTCTGTTTGTACTTTATAGGATATAGTCAGAATTTTAATCTCTTTTGGCTTTATAGTCTCAATTTCAGTACTCTTCTCTGTTGTCAATTATGAAGTTACATTTATTCTGTTTGCAATGATAGTAAAACATTCAGTTTCTCTTTGAGCCTTGACAATATATACTGGAAAAAACCTCAGTGGAACTCTTCCCACAAATTCTGGAATATGACCTTCCTTATTTCCCTCCCCACTTTCTTTTCTTTGGTTTTCTTTGTTTTAACTTTAGACTGCTACTCTTGGCATTCTAAATGGGAGAGGGTAGCAGTAAAATTATCTATAGATTCCACATGCTGATTATGGAATCTTATTCCTTGTGTTTGTACTTAAACTGCATACCATGTTCTTAAATGTACGTTTTTCCAGGAGAATCTATTTACTCTTCCTCTCTGGCCACAGAAAGGATAAACTTGGGTGAGCGGCAGTACTTATAACTCATTACTCAGCACAATCAAAAGTTATTCCTAAATCATAATCACCATGCAACACAGTGCAGTAACAGCCCAGCCAGCCAGCCAGGCAGGTGGGATAGCATGAGGTAGTGGGATAGCATGAGAACAGGTGGGATAGCATGAGAACAGAAGGAACACAGGTGGGGAAAACAGTGGGCAGGAAAGAAGGGCATGCCCTTCAGCACTTTGTCAAGGAGATAGCGCTGAATGAGGCCAGGCTTGAACACAGCATGTTTCTCTTTTTTTTTTTTTTTTTTTTTTTTTTTTTTTAAATATTAAATTTTTTTTTTATATTCCCCCATACAATTGCAAACGCCCCATTCTGACCCCAATCCTTCCCCTCCCGCCCCCACCCCCCAAAAAGTGTCTCTGGTTCATAGTTTTTTGTTGATTTTGATTTTCACTTTCTTATATTCATTTTCCTGGTCCCTTATTTAAGTTTTCTAGACTCCTGCTATGAGTGAGACCATCCGGTATTTTTCTTTTTCTTTTTGGCTTATTTCGCTGAGCATGATCCCTTCCAGTGCCATCCATGTTGCTGCAAATTGCATGTGTTTATCTTTTTTGAATGCTGAGTAATATTCCATGGTATATATGTACCACATCTTCTTGATCCAGTCATCTATTTTTGGGCATTTGGGTTGTTTCCAAAGCTTAGCTATTGTAAACAGTGCTGCTATAAACATAGGAGTGCAGGTGCTCTTTGGAATTGATGTTTCTGTGTCCTTTGGGTAAATACCTAGGAGTGGAATTGCTGGATCATATGGAAGCTCTATGTTTAGTAGGTCCAGAAATCTCCACACAGCTCTCCATAGTGGTTGGACCAGTTGTTTCTCTTTCTTAAGAAGCAGCCTGTCCCTAAGGGAATGGCAGTGACTCCTGTTTCTCTAAGAGGGAGACTCTCTGTGGCTTGTACTCCCATCAGCCAGCGGCGCTCACAAGGTGGGCCGAGCAGCTCTGTGGGTAGGAGCACCTTGTGTGTGAAGAGCTCCATCAAGTGCTCTGCTCTCTCAGCAACTAAACTGAACGTCAGGTAACAAAGTATTCTTTTTACTTTAAATTTCTGTTTGGTTTTCTTGTTTTATCTAACTTCTCTAAGCTCATATTTTCATTAATAAGATAGAAAATAATGTGAATATTTTCATTTTATTAGTTCAGTGTATGCCTGCAAAGATGTGTAAAGAGAAATTTTTCCATTGACTGAAATAGAAGGTTGAAGCTAAATCTCAAACTGCAGTAAACTGAAAAGTGTTCACTTACTGAGTATCCGTATTGTAGCCCAATGAATAGTGCAACAGATTGTATTTAATGCTGTTGAAGAGCACCACAGTTAAGGGGCTAGTCCCTGCTTCAATGTAGTGTCCAGAGCAACCTGGACTTCACAGCCCCTCTCCTAACACATCTAATTTCCTTAACTGTTGTAGTCTTTGGTAATAATTCTAGGATACCGATTCGGGATCACCATCAAATCTTTAGTTAGAAGTCCAGAAGTTCCCTTCTATTTGCCCACCACCAACAGCCTTCTGTATATCTGTCATTACTAGATATTTATTGAATCTAAAATACCATCAATTGAAGACTCACCAGTATTTTATGAACCACTAAGAAAAATCACTGCCAATTAACTATGACATGTTGCTGATTATAAAACCATTCCAGTTTCAGAGATGTTAAAATGTTAAAAAATAATAAATCAGAGACATTCTGTAGGGGATGGGGAGGGAGAGGGATCAAAAACAGGGGAGGGAAGAGCACAAGGGACTGGGGAGATGGTGACGGGTGAACTGGAGGTGGGAATTTTACGGGGACGACACCTGAGAGGAGAAAGCATGCACTGTACGAAAGTGAACAGTGATGTAAAATATATATTAATCATTTTTAAAAATGGGCATCAGCATGTCAATAAAATACATTTATGGCAGTTTGCTAGGGGTAGATAATGGGCTTTGGTACCACTTGTACCAGTCTTCTCGGAACCTGTAAGATCTGTTCCCGTCATTCATTTGGTGTAACACTTTCCTGTTCCTTCTGACTTGTCATCACCAAAAAGAAGAAAAAGAAGGGGGGCTTGGTCATTGGCCAAGGCAGGAAGAGCAGAGGATACAAAACAATAGTTTACAAATAATGGAAGTTGTTAGATGATTTGCGTTGGTATCAATCAGCATTTTAAAGAACATGTCTGTTAGTTAGGCAGAAGAGTTTTGCGTAACAAGTATTTATTGAGGCCCTTTCACTGCTTAGTGATGGGGCAAGTGGTTTTGTTTATAAGCTTGGTATGTTACACTTGACTGTCCTGCTTAGGTTTTCAGCCACGACTAAAGATAATGAACATAAGCGTTCACTGATCAAGACTCCAGCCAGAAAGTCTCCACATGTGACCGTATCTGGGAGTACTCCAAGAGGCCAGGCTGTGCTCGGGACACAGAAGTTAAAGTCCACAAGAGGGGATTCTGCTGCTGGTAAAAGAAAAGCAAAAAATCCTTTAAGGATTCATCTTTAACCCATATAACGTGTATTATTTTTTTCCTTAAAGCCTCTCCATAGCCATAAAAGCAAAACTGAAAGTGTCACCATAGCACGTTTCTCATTTTCTACACGTGAGGGACATGCCAGACACAAAAGGAAAACACTGATATCTGCCTGAGTGTTCCATCCCTTCCTGGAGGGGAGTCCTCAGATGTGACCTCCCCGAAGAGCACTCAGCCTCTCTTAGGGGTCAGGGAGAAAATTATTCCCCACATCCTTGCAAGACTCAAACTAATAGGACCCCAGAGTTCATGGACTAAATGCCACCACTTTGATTAATAGATTGCATAAGGCCATTAAGCCACGTAGAAACTCTTCTACATGCTGTGAACTTAATCCTTGCTTACAATGACCAAGTGATTTTCAAGAGTACTGCAACAGCAGTGGGAAAGCTTGAATGTGATAGGTTGAGGCCTATATTAGAAGTATGTCAGGATTCTCCTGAGAGTCCTGTGAAATATGTCCGTTTAAAAGCCTACATTACAGAGAAAGGATTGCCAGATTTCCTGAGGCTAGAAGCATCATTCCAAGTCATCCTGTGTATGGGAATCAAAGGGCTTAGACAGGAGGCAGTGCTAAAAAAATGGATAGTGGTCTGGCATAAGATTTGACTATATCATTTTGCAGAGCAGTAGCCATTTACCTTATAATGAGAAAAGATCCACAAATACTTACAGTTACATATATGAGACGGATACAAAATATTTATCATGTTCTTAGCTGTCTCCTTTAAGGTATTTAGCGGGGTATCTCTTTGGAAAGGAATAGGTCCCCCCCCCACCCCACCCCCCCATCATCAAAATAAAATAGAATTTCACAAAAGAGAAATCATATGTTTTTTTCCCCTGTGACTTCTTCATTCACTCACCTTAATGTTTCAAATTCATCCTTTACTGTATTTTCCAGTGGTATGGAAAAAATACAATCATATATTTTAGGAAAGGCCACTGTCTTTTAGCATTTTGCCTATTTTCCTGTTCATGGACTTGTAGGTATCGATGACTTTGGTTTATATATAGTGTAGCTGTGACCATTCTTGACTCCAATATATGTGCAAGAGTTTCTCTAGACCTCCAGGTAAGACTGCTGCATAGAAGAGTATGCAGACATTTCCTACACTGGTTGAATTAGAGCAATTTATACTCATCAGCAGTGTATATCAGCCTCAGTCTTCTCCCTGCCAACACTTGATATCAACACAGTGGGACTAGTATATGTACAGGGTTTTGTGTTTTCTGTTTTAATGAGGTGATTCTAGATCCTGGTTGCGCCTCAACATATAGAGGCAAGTGTTAAAACTTGATGGTGGCCTGGATGCAATCTGTGAGGGGAAGGATTATAAAATGTGCCAGATACATGAGATCCAACTGCAGCAAAACTTGGCTTACCTGGTATGTGGTGCAGAATTCACATTCCTAAATGATAGGCTTTCTTAATAACCATCAGCACCATGAGTCTTTTCATCTATATGTGATTAGGTTCCTTATAGGATTTAAATACATCTGCTTGTATTTCTAAAGGGGTACCTAAGATCAGGGAAATAGCCTGAAAAACTATCCAGTTAATTCTTTCAACAGGGTTCTAAACTCCCAGCTGATCCTAGGAAATGTCATATTTTAAATACTTGGGGAACTGCTAATAGGGGTAACAAACCTCAGCAGTTAACTTTCCTCAGTTATTTTTTTACTCCCCCTTTCTCCTTTTTAACCTCAAACCTATTTCAGACTGTTCATATAGATTATATTTTTAAAATTGAAAGTGATATTTTCATTTAAAAAATTATAATAGGTCCTTTTTCTTCCTAATTAAGGCCTTGGATTTTGTTTTTTTTGTTTCTTTTTAGTTACTACCCCATTCAAATGGACATCAGAGGCAGTGCAGACACCAGTGTCCCACAGGAAACCAGTGTTTGACCTTAAAGCAAGTCTGTCTCGTCCTCTCAACTATGAGCCACATAAAGGTACATGGGATGTTTTGAGATACCAGGCATACAAAAGAGTTGAAATTAAACAATTCTGCATTTGAGGTTGCAAAATATTCCAGTGACTCAATGGAAGCCATCCTTGAAGCCACACCTAGAATTCCTGCCCAGCCCTATATCCACATTACTTAAAAGGCCAGAACCCATGATTTCAAAGACTGTCCATTAAACAAATAATAAATACTTGACTCACTTATATTTTTATTAATCAAAGACTTAACTTCTAATCACTGTTAGCGCAAAGAATTTTTAAAACTTCAGCCAAAATGAAGAAACCTGAAAGTTACCATGTGCAACCTTTTTTGCGTAAATGAATTATATTCTTTGGAGCTTTCAACAGAGCCGAGGCTGGGAAACACTGGTTCATTTTATTTATTTATTTATTTTTAAAGATTTTATTTTTATTTATTTATACAAGCACTGGGTACAGTCAGAAGCGTGGGAGGGTGAGAGAATTCACCAGAAGCAGAGCGGGGAGCAGAACAGACAGACTGATGAAATGCACTGCTGAGGGGAGCAGCAGGCGCAGCAGGAGAGGTCTGCACTCCATGTGGGACCCTCGCCAGTGGATGGGGATCAAATCGGTGTTGTAGAGGCTGCGGGCAGCTTTGCAGCCCGGCGCTCAACCACTGTGCCACCTGGGAGGCCCCAACACTGGTTCATTTATTGGCCAAATGTAACTCTTGGGCATATGTTAAAGTATCCTTACATCCACTAAAAGTATTAACAGTTATGTAATGTATCTTTCTGGAATTCAAAGTAAAAATCCTCCTACAAGAATCACACTTACTTAATGATGTTTACCTTTATTATTAATCTTAATAAAACATAGCCATAGTAAAAATGTCTTATTTCGAAGAGTCTGCTAAACTATAGCTTAAAAAACAATTTCTCTTCCATGTCTCTCATTTTTTCTCCCCAAGTTTTCCCATCTTTGGCAATGGTATCCCTCTTTGCTGAGTTGGCAGGGCAGAAACATAGGAGTTGTCTGTGGTGCCTTACTTTCTCAGCTATTCTGAAGTCTCCCTTTGAAATAACCTTTAATTTTTTTACCCCTTTAGTGACTGCTTTCTTCTAGGTTATCATCTCTTACATGGGCTTCTGGAATAGCTTCTTGGCTTCACTATAGCCTTGAAAACAAATCAGAGTTACATCATTTCATCACCTCCTCCTTCCCCTGATTATGCCAACCACACTACTATTTCAGCCCCTCCAACATTCTAAGTTCATTCCCACATCCAGGTCTCTGAGTTTGCTATCCCTTGGTTCCCGCAGACCTTTGCACAGCTTGCATCCCCATTTTAACGATATGTTCATTCAACTGTCACCACTTCAGAGGCCTTCCCTCCCTTTCCTGCTTCCCACAATCACTCTTTATTCCTTACCCTGTTTTACTTTCTTCATAGCATGTAGCACCACCAGATGTTATTGCATCATTACCTACCTTTGCAACTGAAATGTAAGCCCAAGTAAGCAGGGATTTTTTTTTTTAAGATTTATTTATTCATACAAGATCTGGGGTGCAGGTCAGAGGTGTGGGGGGTGAGAGGACCCACCAGAGACAGAGCGGGGAGCAGAACAGGCAGACTGACTGAAACACACTGCTGAGGGGAACAGCAGGCGAGACAGGAGAGGTCTGCTGCGCCATGTGGGTTGCTCCCTGGCCGGGGATCAAACTTGTGCTGCAGTGGCTGCGGACAGATTCATAGGTTGCATCTTAACCCCTTGCACCACCAGGGAGGCCCGAGCAGGGATTTTTTACTGGTCCACTGCTGTGTCCCGGCACCTAAAGCACTCCTTGGCACAGATGAGGTGCTCAGAGTATTTGTTATAGGATTGACTGACCACTACTAACTTTGACATTAGAAACCTGGATTAGAGCTTCATTTGTGCTTCTCATTTTTATAACTTAAACAATCCCTTAGTTAATTTATGGAAGGGAAAATATCACTTTAGCAGTTATTGAACGTATCAGCACTATATAAATATTCTGGGCCTCCCTGATGACATAGGTGTTAAGTCTCAGCACTATCACTGCTGTGGCCTGAGTTCAGTTCCCAGCTAAGGAGCTAACTCTCATATGATGCAGCAAATCTCTCCTGTCTTACCCTCTGCTCCCATTATCAGTGTATTTTAGTAGATACGCCTGTTCTGCTCCCCACTCTGTCGCTGGTGAATCTTTTCATGCCCTGCACCTCTGGCCTACACTCTAGTTCTTCTACATAAAAACTTTTTAAAAAAATTTTTAAAAATATGTATATAAACATTGGAAAATATTTCAACTCATTCCATTCCAAACACACTTAATAGGCAACAGTAATAAGTTGCACAAATGAAATACTACTTTAATATTAATCATAATACCTATATAACTGTAGGATAATGGCCTTTTTTTAAAGATTTATTTATTTATGCATACAAGAACTGGGGTGCAGGCCAGAGGTGTGAGGATTCACCAGAGACAGAGTGGGGAGTAGGACAGGCAGATTGACTGAAATACATTGCTGAGGGGAGCAGCGGACAACACAGGAGAGGTCTGCTGTACCATGTGAGTAGCTCCCTGGCTAGGGATCAAACTTGTGCTGCAGTGGCTATGGATAGCTTCATAGTGCTTGATCCTTTGTGCCACCAGGGAGGCCCCGATAATGGCTTTTTAAAATATGCTTTTTAAATGGATTTTAATATTAAGGGTTTTTTAGTTCTAAGTTGTTTTTCTGTGACATTATAAGGATTAAAAAATAGAGCACACTTTTTTTAGAGCAAAAATGCAGTTTAAGTCTATGGAATATAAAATTGAAAATAAAAAGCAGAAAACTGGCAAATGTCTATAAAAACAAACTATAAATGTTGGTGACAGCTACAGATAAAGTAAAATTAGGAATATAAATATAAAAGTCTTCTTAAATCTGTCTTTCTGTCCTATACTAGGAAAGCTGAAACCATGGGGACAATCTAAAGAAAACAATTCTCTGAATGAACATGTAAACAGAGTTAGCTTCCATAAGAAAACTTACAAACAACCTCGTCTCACTACCAGGTGAGTATATGATTATCCAATTCTATAGTTTTTAATTTTGAAAGACTGTACACAAAAAAGCAGACCTCTGAGCAATAGAATCTCAGTAAGAGTGGTATTTTAAGAAGAGGCTGGAAGTGAAATTGCTTACAGAGCTTTCTAAAAGTACATGTAAGTAGGTCCCACCATGATGGATTCTAATTCAGAAGGTTTGAGGTAGGGCTCAGGCATCTGCATTGTTTCTAAAGCTCTACAAGTGATTCAGGAGATGACCTAGACTCAGCATGCTCTTGCATGACCGCTCTGCTCAAACAATGTACATGGGTGCCCCTCCGACACCCACCAATCCAGGTGGGCAGGACACCGTTATGCAGGTCCCTGTAAAGTACTCACTCCCAGGGAAATCCAGCTTACTAGGGTCGAGCTCTGCACAGGGGAAGACCCCAGGATGAACCTTAGAGGTATGCTTATGTGTGAAAACAAAGTGAAGTCAGAGGTCACCTTGGGCTCACAGCACTCTGTGATTTTGAACTTAACATTTGACTTATACTTCCAGAAATGCAGCTTTCTCTTTTAAAAAATATTCAAAATTACAGGAGTTGGACTTGGTCACCAAGGTGCCTTCTGGTTTTCATTGCCTGCTTGATTTTAGAATGCTGTAGTAACATTAAAAGGAAAGTACTCATTGTAGTCCTTTAACACAGCAACTCACAGGTGTGGCTGCCATGGCACAGGCCACTGGGGACAGGCCCTGTAACCGTCTGTTTTACTCACATGTGCTGCATGTCATTTTAAGTTTGGATATTATTCCAATACTGGTTGCTTTAAAGTCATCTGTTATGGAGTTTCACAGGAGCTTAATGTGTACCTGTTCCTCTTAGGGAGGAGCAACGGAAGAAACATGAGCAAGAACGAAAGGAGAAGAAAGCAAAGATTTTGGGAGCTCGGAGGGGGATCATTATGGCTAAAGATTAATTTTTTGACATCCTATAAATATTCCTTTTTCTGAATTCTTTCTTTTGTAAATATTTTTATACTGTCCTCCCACTTTAGTGAAAAGACCTTTTTCTGTTCTTTGTTTGAAATATATGTCATGTCAGAGGCTCTTTATATACTATACCTTTAAAAAAAAAAAACAACTAATACCTTGAAGTTCACAAATTCTTCTTCAAAATGGTTTTTACATAACACAACTTAGTTTTCTAATGAGACCCACCCGCTAGGGTTATTGACCTAGGGTTTTTATGTCAGGTTCCCTCTGCTGGCTCTAACATTAGCAAAACTGCAGTTCTCTTCTAGGCAAAAGCATTTACTTGACAGTAGCTAGTTATGCCACAGCCTTACGGAAAATGAATGATAACAAGAATAGGATAAGCAGGGGTAGAAAAACCGCCTCCTCATTCTCTAGAGAATAAAGTAGTCTTAGTGAAACTGGGCCATCTGGCTAGTTAGGGCATCAATTTTTTACCCGTGGTGAAGTGTTTTGTTTAGGCTTATAAGTACCTTTGTTCAGATCGCTCCATGTAGTCACCATATGTTGCTTGATATATTTTTTAAAACAAAAACCCTATAGCTCATTTTAGTCTTGCTTACTTAAGAAATATACAGAGCCATATTGAATCTGAGGTGTGCTGCTTTAGGCATTATTGTGCTTTGTCAAATTCACATCATATCCATGTTTCTTGCATCTACGTGGTGCCTCTGAGTTTTGTCCTGCTTAAGATTTTCATAAATAAAAATTTTCTCATGGTGGTAGATTCATTCTTTGTAAGCATAATGGCTTCCAAGATTAACAGGAGTTTACATATAATCCTTTGTGCAGACTTTTCTGATTACCCACTCCTACCCCAAGAAGAAATGACTGTGTCCTTTTTTTGTATTTCCACAGCACCTGTTAAGTTTTATTATATTACTTAGTTATTCATATATGGCATGCTCCTCCTGGTCCCCTGGTTTAATAAATTCAAATTTTCCTGTGAAGAGTTAGGGGTCAGATCAATCAAGAAACCTTTGACTAATCATCAAATACACTGGTGTGAGGAATGAAAAATGATGTAATTGCTTTGGAAAATAATTTGGTAGTCTCTAAAAAGTTAAATGTACACCTACCAGGTGACCCAGCAATTCTACTCTTTGGCATATAACAAAGAGGAATGAAAACAGATGTTCAAACAAAAACTTGTGTGCAGCTATTTACAGCAACATTATTCATAATAGTCAAAAGGTAGAGAAAAACCAGTTTCCCATCAATAGATAAATGGATAAATGGATTTTTAAAATTGAATATTCTGTAATGCAAAGGAGTGATGCACTATTAAATATGCTGCAACCTGGATGAACCCCAAAGACATGGTGCTAATTAGAAGAAGCCAGACACAAAATATCACTTTATTTATATGAAATATCCATACAAGATAATATATAAAGAAAGATTACTAGTTACCTGGTATTGAGAGTAGGGATGAAGAGTATTTCAAAAGGGCACTAAGGTTTCTTTTCAGACTGATGGAAATTTTCTAAAATTACCTTCTTATAATTTACAATTGTCTAATCCTGTAAATATACTTTAAAAAATACTGTATACTTAAAACAAGTGAACTTTCTTTTGTAAATGATACCTTAATAAAGCTATTAAAGGTATAAACATGGAACTATGTAAGATAGGTTTTATGCCATGGATGATGGAAAAGTTACGAGCCTTTGTGCATTCTCTTATTAGCGTGGTTTTCTCTTAGGGTATGCTGGCAATCATAAAGTTTCCTGCCTCTTCCTCTCTTTTTAAAAGGACAATAATTAATTTAAGCTGTTAATTAGTTTTATTTTTGGTATATGCAATCACTTTAATACTTACAATGTCTGGGGAAGTTTTGGGGTCTAATATCTGATTTAATTTCCAGTGGTTCCATTAGGTCACTATAAAGTAAGGATTTTGCATCTTAGGAACCAGCTCTTAAAACAGGTGAGTCCCCCCCTAAATTTATAATTCCAAGTACAATCACTTTGAGAGGTGGAGACTTGGGAAGATAAGTAGGTCATAAGGATGAAACACTTACAATGGGTTAATTAAGAAGACAGACTAGTTGTTCTCTCTTGGCCACACAAGGAGACAGCAAAAAGTAAGCTGTCTACAAGTCAAGAAGTGGAGCCTCACAAGCACCAGTTGTACAGGCACCTTGATCTTTGATTTCCCAGTCTCCAGAAATGTTTAACCCACCTCATCTACTGTAACTTGTAGTAGCAGCCTGAGCGGACTAAGACGGTAAGTATCTTTTTCCAATGACTTTGACAACATCTTACTATTCTTCAGCAGTCTCCTTTCCTCAAATATGTTTTAGAAAATGAACACTAGAAAGAATACAGTAGTAGAAGGTCATCAATGGTCACCTGAGACCCTTGCTTTTGAAGCCTACTCATGCAAGAAATGTTCCTGAGAGGAACCATCCTAACCAAAAACATTTACTTACACAGGACGGCTCTATCAGTACTTGCATTGTGCAGGTTAAGGTATAGCTTGGAACCTGTATTTCCCTCTAAATGGCCTTTCTTAGCGGCAGCACTTAGGAATACATACCAGGCACTGATCAAATGTCATAAAAGCAACTTTATTTTGTGTGTGTTGTCGTAGCTGCTATTACCCTTAGTGTAGTACAGAACTACTACATGATTCTACTTAAAAAGTCTTGGGTTAAGCTCTGGAGAATTTTCATAGGCAAATTCTTCTGTGTGGGCTGGATCAGTAAACACACCAATAAAATCTATTTCCAGGAAGAATGGACCATCTACTTTATCTGCCAGGGTGAATCCAATTGATGAGATCTACATTTAAAACAGAGAAATTAATTAAAATCTCATACTCTGATGTACTGTTCTTCCTAGAGTTTAAAAAAATTTTTTTAAAGATTTATTTATTTATACAAGAACTGGGATACAGGCCAGAGGTGTGGGAGGGTGAGAGAATTCACCAAAGACAGAGTGGGGAGCAAAGCAGGCAGTCGGACTGAAGACACTGCTGAAGGGAGCAGTTTGGGTGAGGCAGGAGAGGTCCGCTGCACCTTGTGGTATATTTCTGGCTGGCCAGGAATTGAACCCACGCTGCAAAGGCTGCAGACAGCTTCATAGTACAGCGCTCAACCTGCTGTGCCACCAGGGAGGACCAAGTTTTAAAATTTTATGAGGTGATTCTATAGCTGGGTCTTTATATTATCAGCCCTAAGTAAGTGTACCATAGTTCTCATATGGTGTAAAAAATTTTAAGAAGTACAGGGCTGCTTTTCTTTCCACAGTCCTCTCCCTTTTTAAGATTAGTAAGAATGTCTAGTGGAGTTTACTTGAAGCTTTCCTTAATTCTAATACTGGCTCTAATTTTAAAGCTAAAATAAAATATAAACCTGCTGATGAAAAGATTACTACACTGAGATTCCTCCAGGATGGGGTTTGGTTCAGACAACAGGACAGAGTCAATATCTGGGCATAAGACGAGTGGCCTTAAGTAGGAATTTACATTTTCTACTTGCCAGCCTGTAAGAATGGACTGAACTCATCCTCACAGGCGTTGTTTCACTAAAGATAATACAGTTCTGAGTGAAAGTACAAGAAAATGTCACCTTGTCAAGCAGAAGCTGGTACTGGGCATCCCGGATTCTTCCTTGATTAGAGAAGAAAAATTTGGAGAAAGGAATCTGAAAGAAGAAAGCATTTACTTCATACCTGAAATGTAAACAACTGAGGCATCTCTGTAGAATGACAATAATAAAAGGGTAATAGTTTAAATTCTCCAAGTAATATATGCAGTTATGACAAGAAGCTAGCCATTTGGATTAAATATAGACATTGTTTTAAACATAAGTACTAGAGGAAAAACTAAAAAAATATAAGCCAGAAATCTCAAAGGAAAATTGATCTAGTAGAGTACAATTACAACTTTCTTATGGCAAAAGACAGGATAAATTAGGGGGGGAAATGTGTGGGCAAAAAACTAGTATCTTAAACACAAAACTTTTACAAATAACAAAAAGATTAAACAACGCCATAGAAAAACAGATGGGGTAAAATAAATACTTGTTAGTAGGAATGCAAATTGGTACAGCTCTCTTAGAGGGCAATTGTGCTAGGCAGTATTTCAGATGACCTCTAAAGATTTCCACCTCTTAGTGACCACATACATTCCCCAAATTCAAGCACTAACCTCAGTAATGCTATGAAGAGACTGCAGAAGTAAGGTCCCAAATCAGTTGCATATGTAGTAACTTTGGGGTTCTATATATTGGTGTATGGAGTGCTTATCAGATACTAAAGCACACTTCCAGGTGTAGGACAAATAGCTATGAACTATATATGAACAAAATGTTCCAGGGAGCAGGGTAAAGAGTGACAATAAACATGAACAAAATAACTTTACTGAATAAGTTCCATGGAAAAAATTTAACTGAATCGTGTTATAGGCTAGAGGGTGCGGCTTCAGGTAGAGGGATCAAAAAAGGCCTCTCTGTGCTGAGAGGTTAGTGTTAGAGGACACAGATGAAGACATGTGCGAAGAGCATACCAGCAGGTATAACGCTAAGTACAAAAGTTGTGAGATAGAAATAAACTTGTTGAATTTGACACAGCAAAGGGCCAGAGTGGAGGAAAAAGGGAAGGAGGGAGACTGAAGATAACAGGGCTCTGATATAGGAGGAAACTGCATTCAGGAGTTTGGAATTTATTCTAAGAGGAAATGACTGGAAGGTGTTAAGCAAGTGGCTGATATAATGTGAACTATGTTTAACGTCACTGGCTACTGTGTGGAGTGTGGAATGGGGGCAAAAGGTCAATCAATAAAGCTGTTGCAGTAATCCAAAGGCCTGGACAAGGGTGGAGTGGAGAAGGGAGGGCCAGAAATAGTTGGATTCTGGGTATTTGGAAGTAGGGTGGTAGGAATCACTAATTGACTGACTGGACATGGGGTGAGGGAGAAAGGAATCCAGGATGACCTTTAGGTTTAAGTACGAGCATCATGGGGACTTTCTTTTGAGTTTATGGATTAAAATCATCAGGCAGAAGAGTGGAAATGGCACTTGAGTTTTGCCCTCACCCCCTGAATTTCTACTTTCCTCCAAGTTGACATTCTTTACCTTCTCAAAGCTTCTTATTTACAGAATAAGATGGCTTTCTATTACCAAATGTTTTTCAAAAAAATTTTTTTTGATGATTGTAAGGTATGAAGCATTATTCTTAAGGGAGTCTTTCTACTAAGTTAGGAACACTAGCTTAAGAGAGTCCCCTGAAGTGGTGATATGGCACAAACTTAAAGAGAAACATCTACTTGGACACAAAGCAGAGATGTATCCATGCCTTAGCATGGACCTGGCCATAGCTTTCTCAAAAATATTTTGTGGTGGGCCTTCCCGGTGGTGCAAGGAGTTAAGACGCAACCTATGAAGCTGTCCGCAGCCTCTGCAGCATGGATTCTATCCCCCAGCCAGCCATGGAGCTTCCCACATGGTGCAGCAGACCTCTCCTGACTCGCCTGCTGGTCCCCTCAGCAGTGTACTTCAGTCAATCTGCCTGTTCTGTTCCCCATTCTGTCTCTGGTGTATCCTCTCACACCCCCCACACCCACATACCTCTAGCCTGTACCCCAGCTCTTGTATGCATAAGTAAACCTTAAAAAAAAATTTTTTTGTGGTAAGTTAACATATCAGTGAAATAAAGTCAGTTGTATAAATCTTGCTTCTAGGCCCTCTTTCTCCTTTCTCTTCCTGCACTTTCCAAGGGAGATTAATAAAAAAAAAAGAAAACTACAATGTAACCATGATTTCATAAGACCTCATTTTTGTAAACAGGAAAGAATTGTTTTGTTACCTTGACCTCCTGCCAATAGGGCCCCCCACGGGTGAACATGAAGTAACTGTACATTTGATTTGTCCTCTGCATTATATTCGTGTCCTCCCTGATATTCACCATCCAAGGTCGACCATCACCACGGACACGGAGATACAGAGTGTTGAACTGGGACCAGTCATAATACTTCTTCCTTTCAAAAGAGCCCTAAGGTAGGAAAAGCAAAGTTTATTTCATTTCACTTTCCACTCCTGGCAAACTGGAGTCATCACCAAGTCAGAGGCATCAAAAGGTTCCACTTGCCATTTTTCTGCCTCTTTTGGCTTTCTACCACCATAAGGAGGCAGATAAATCTGGCGATTCTTATTTTTGTACAAAATACTGACATAGTATCACAATGTTCAAGATATGATTGATCCGGTGCAGTGTTTACAGGGCGTGGGTACTCACCTGTGTCACTGAATGGAAGTGAGTTACTGGAGGTATTTTCCTGCCCTGGTCCTGTGAATCAGTGGCTTCTGAGAAGGCCATTTTATGACAGTTGCCTTCCCATAGCCAGAAAACTATAAGAGAGCTCAAGTTTTAAAACTGGTATTTTATAACAACTACCATCCATTGACTGCTTGCATAATTTAATCTTCACAACAGCCTCATGAGACAGGTCCTATCACTGTACTCCATTTTATAGATGAAGGAACAGAGCCCTCAACTAATAAGTGGCAGACCCTGTGCTGTTTAAAATTGTTAACAACTATCTCTACTATCTCTTTCGAAGTGGAATTCACTGTTAACTTCTAAAAGTGTTTATGTATAATCTCAGAGGTAATCTGATTTCAAGGATGCCAGTGCTCAGGTATAAACTATTATGTATTAGCTGTGTAATTTTGAACAAGTTACTAGATCTCCCCAAGCCTGTTTCCTTATTTGTAAAACTGGAAAAATCATACAAGATTACTGTGAGGAATAAGAGAGATAATGCAGATAATGCACAATTTGTGCATTAAGTAATGTGTACAAAAGTAATTTGCACAAAGATTGGTAGGGCACACTTAATAAATGTTACAAAGCATTTTCAATTTCTCCATAGTAGATATCAAGCCATAGAATTATTTCCTGCTGTCAAGTGACCAAATCTATTCTGTGGATTTTCAGGGTCTGAAAAAAAACTCTTTTTTTTTAAATATTTTTTTATTTATATAATAGTTGGGGTACAGGCCAGAGGCGTGGGAGGGTGAGAGGATTCACCAGAGACAGCGCGGGGACAGACTGAAAACACTGCTGAGAGGAGCAGTGGGCGAGACAGGAGAGGTCTGCTGTGCCATTTGGGTATCTCCCAGGCCGGCTAGGAATTGAACCCACAATGCAGAGGCTGTGGACAGCTTCACAGCAATGTGCTCAACCCACTGCGCCACTGGGGAGACCCCTGAAAAAAACTCTTGTGTGTAGTTTGTTGCCTGAGAAAGAACACATACCTTTCTTTTTAATTACTAGCTGGTTACTGATACTACTCCTAACATTTGCCTTTCTCTTTAAAAGTACAATACATCTAAGCGAAGGTCCAGGGGCTGTGGCTAGGGCCAGGCATGGGAGCCTGAAGCAAATTCACAAAAAGTCAGAGGCTGATAGTGAGACAAAGGAGCTGACATAAGGAACTTTGGAAAACAGTACTCTGACAGTCAGCTCAAAGGCTAAAGATAGAAGAAATTATTCATAAACACCATACTCTAGTTGGTAAAGCTGTTTCTCATGGGTTAAAAATAATGAAGCTGCTTTACATGTACACTGACTATGTAAATGGATGGTGAATGGCATAACACAGGTTTCTCAACATTACTGAATGAAGTTGCAGACAATCCACAAGGAAAAAGCTAGATGAACAACACAGTGCTGAGAGAACATTAGTATGAAGTCCTATTTAGGTTAATATAGATAATAGAAATAATTATAGATGTGTGCTCATGGGCTGGCATGCACACGTGTTTCCACTGAGGGAGCCTACAAGTAGTGTCCACCCAGTAACAAAACACTCAGTACCCAGATCTGGATTTCTAATACCATTCTCCAAGCAAAAGCGACCAAGCTTCCTTTAAGAAATGACTGATTCTAGGATTGAAACAGAAGAAACACGAGATGAGCTGAGAGCAAGGTGGTGTGCCAAATGCACTCCCAAAACAAGAGGGGGCACGTCAAAGGGACAGGAGCCAAGCTAAAGGAGTTCCCAAGGGCAAAAGCTGAAACATCTGAGCAACAAAATAAATGACATAGTATTGGATTGAAACCGAAAGCACACGTCCATACCAAATTACTAATTAATAAATGTGGGAGAAGAAACAAATCTTGTTTACTGAAGAACTCCAAATAATTCATGTAAATATTACCCCTTCCAGGAGATAGAATTTAACCCCACACCCTACACCATGCATTGAATGTAGGGTGCACTTAGTGATTTGCTCCAAAGAACAGAATACGGAATGGAGGGAGAAAAGTAACTCAGCAGTGGATTAAACCGGCAAATGTTCCTTGACCAGTAGATGAAGGAAAACACCGACAGCGGTAAGTCCTGTCGTACTATGTGCCCCTGACACCATGTGATGAGAAGGGACTTCAACTCTGTGGTATTCTTCCTAAACCCCAGAGCCCCAGTCTCCCCAGGAGGAAAAACATCAGAAAATCCTAAATTGAGGGATATTCTACAAAAATACCTGCCCTGTATTTCACAAATCCTCAGGAAGATTAGGAGAGAATAAGGAGCTGTCATAGACAAGAGGAGAGACTAGAGACATCACAACCGCCTGTATCGTGGAGTGCTGGAAAGGATCCTGAAACAGAAAAAGGCTATCAGTGGGAAAACTAGCAAAATCCAAATAGAGTCTGGGATGTATTTAAGAGTAACGTGGCAGTGTTGGCTTTTCTAGTTATGGAAAATGTACCATAGTGCCGTTAGGATGGTAACCATCAGAGGAGCTGCAGCTCCCCTGACCACCTGTGACTATACAAATGCCTATTTTTCTTTCTCTTTTTCCTAGTAAATGTATCCTTTTAAAATGTAAAAAACAGGGCCTCCCTGGTAGTGGAAGGGGTTAAGCACCACACCATGAAGCTGTCCACAGCCTCTGCAGCACGAGTTTGATCCCCAGCTGGCCAGGGAGCAACCCACATGGCGCAGCAGACCTCTCGTCTCGCCCGCTGCTCCCCTCAGCAGTGTATTTCAGTCAGTCTGCTTGTTCTGTTCCCCACTCTGTCTCTAGTGAATCCTCTCACCCCCACACCTCTGGCCTACACCCCAGTCCTTTAAATGCATAAATAAGTAAATCTTAAAAAAAAAAAAAAAAAAAAAGCCACAAACTGACCCTAAATAACCCTGGCCAATACAGGGTCTAACAATTGGTATTAAAGGAGATACCAGTCTCCCCAGATCATCTTTCAAATGTCTAACCTCTCAAGGCTCCTTGAACATAAGAATGCCCTATCCTGGCGAAAGCAATGCCCAGAAACAAATAACCATTCCTCAGGAGCCACCTTTCCCTTGTGTTCCTGCTTTGCATTTATGCCCAGTAATTTAATCCCATACACAGATGAGATGCTGGTGTTTTCATCTACAGAAACAAAAGATGTCTGCAATAGGTCAGACCCCAGGGAAGTTTACTCCAGTTCACTAGAAAACTGAGGCTCCCGTGCCTCACCTACCCTTGGAATCCGGGATATCATTGCACAGTATCCACTGCGTCCACTCTCCCCATCCTGAGGTGCATCGGAGCTCAGAGTTCCATACAGCACTGCGCTGTGGTTATTCTTGCCCATTTTCAGGAACACCTCACTTTTGCCTCCAATTGTCTTATCAGAAGTCACTATCCACTTATCCAAATCTTCTTTTCCACGGAACTGCCAGACAACTCGGGCTTGCTCCATCAAGACCTCATGCAGGGGGCGGCCTTCGGGCCCTATCCAATGATTCACAATCTCATCCTTCAAACGCCTAAAATGGTCCTTTATTTCATCTTTAATTGCTTTATCAAAACTAACTTCAGGTTTCTCCTCAGGAGAAGATATATCCAAGCCAACTTCTCTCTGGTGATGGCCTTGCAAGTCCCCTTCAGTCTTCCTCTGAGAGGAGGCTTTATCAGGAACAGCCACTGTTTTCGGAAGACTACTGGAACAATAGTTTGCAAAGCGACTACCCAACAGTGGGCACAAGGCAATGCTTGGCTTCGGGCATTTTCCGAGACTATATGTGCCAGTTAGCAATTTGTGAACCAAAGCCATGGTAAGAAAAAGTCAAAATGTAAATTTCTCCCTGGTAACCATGGACAGAAACTCCAGTAAATAGCCCAACTCCACCTATAACGGAAGAGGCATTGAAGAGTTACCAAGGTAGCAATAATCACCATTCAACATGGGTCATATATTGTAAAATTCATGAACTTAACTTCTAATCCCATAAATGTTAACCACATAAAACATAAACATTACAGGGCCTATTAGGATCAGAGCACTGTTCACACTGTTCATAATGCATCCCACTACCTTGTGAAAAAACGCCAAGAAAAACAGAAACACAGACCCCCTTCGGGGAATTCATGACCATGTATGTGTTAAAAGCTACCTCAAAAGGTTGTGTCAATTTTATTTTTTTTTTAGATTTTATTTATGCACACAAGGACTGGAGTATAGGCAGGAGGTGGGGGCAGGGGAGAAGATTCACCAGAGACAGAGTGGGGAGCAGAAGAGGCAGATCTACTGAAAAACACTCCTGAGGGGAGCAGTGGGTGAGATAGGAGAGGTCTGCTGTGCCATGTGGGTAGCTCTCTGGCTGAGGATGAAAATGGTGTTGCAGTGGCTGGAGACAGTGCTGTGTCTTTAACCCCTGTGCCACCAGGGAGACCCCTCCCTCCACAACAGGGACTGTTGTGTCAATTTTAAAGCAAATTTTATATTGGGTATTTCAAGACACAACTGGCTCCTAAATAAAATATTTTAATTCACTTTAGGGACTAAACCAACCAACAACATTCTAGCACCTTATAAAAAGAGGGTCTCCACTGAATACTGTCTGTGGAGTCAGAAAACTTGGACTTGATATCTGGCTCTGCCCACTTACTAGGTTGGGAGCCTTGAGAATACTACTTTTTTCATATAGCTAAACCCTTACTTCCAGGTAAACCAACAATCTTTTGAGGCCTCCATCTCCTTTGGGATATGGCTGGGTGAACACCTCCCTACCTACCTTAAGAGATTCTTCTGAAGGTCAAATGCAATCACAGCTATCACAGAGTTCTGTGATCCAGGAAGTCTGAGAAGATGCCCAATATTCTTCATGGCCTAGCCCAAGGCCCACACTTTAAGTAACCAGGTGAGTCGTATCAGTCACTATTGGAAATCTTTAAAGACTAAACCTAAATAATAGCACTAATACCATCACAGTTAAACACCATTCTTATGTTTTTCAAATCACCCAGATATATTATCTCATTTAATCCACATAAGAATTCTTTAAGACAGATATTTCTTTCTCTAGGAAACATATACCAACAGGTGAACTGACTTGCATGAGTGCATAACACTAGTCAATGTGGAAGTTAGAATCAGAACCCTGACCTAAACTCCCTCTTTTAGGGGCCTCCCTGGTGGCCTAGGGGTTAGGCCTAGGGGTTAGGTCTCAGTGCTATCATGGTGACAGCGACCTGAGTTTGAGTCCCAGCCAGGGAGCTAACCCAAACATGGCTCAGCTAACCTCTCCTGCTGCTCCCCTTAGTAGTGAATTTCAGTGAATCCACTTGTTCTGCTCCCCACTGTGTCTCTGGTGAATCCTCTCACCCACCCCCACCCTGCACCTCTGGCCTATACCCCAGTTCTTGTATGCATAAATAAATAAATCTTTAAAAAAAGATAAACTAATGCTATTCGCAGCAACATGGATGAAGCTGGAAGGGATTATGCTCAGTGAAATAGGCCAGAAAGAAAAAGAAAAATATCAGATGGCTTCACTTATAGGAGGAATGTAAGGGAACCAAATAAGAAATCAAGAAAAAAATAAATTAAACAAAATTAATAGGCAACTATTAATCAGAGACACTGCTGGGGAGGGGAAGTGAGAGAGCAAAACAGGAGAGGGAAGAACACTAGGGACTACGGTGATGGTGCATGGGTAAATTGGTGGTGGAAATTTTACAGGGACTACACCTGAGAGGAGAGAGCATGCATTGTATAAAAAGGAAGAATGATATAAAATATGTATGTATAAAATAAATAAATAATGTAAGGGGGAGAAAAAGCTGACAACAATGAATGCTGGTGAGGATGTGGAGAAAAAGGAACCTTCTTACATTGCTGGTGGGAATGCAAACTGGTCCACTATGGAAAGCTGTGTAAAGGACCCTGATATTACTAAAAATGGATCAACCATATGATCAAGCAATTCCATTCATAGGAATCCAGCCAAAAGACACAAAAACATTAACTCAAAAAGATACTTGTAATCCCATTTATTGCAGCACTATGTATTAGATTATGGAAACACCTAAATGCCCAAAAACAGATGACCAGATCAAGAAAACGTATATATACACAATGGAATAATACTCCGCAATCAAAAAAAGATAAACTCAAAAAAAACCGCAACAAACTCCTGCCATTCACAGCAACATGGATAGAGGTAGAGGGGTTATACTCAGTGAAATAAGTCACAAGGAAAAAGAAAAATATAGGATGATATCACTTATAGGAGCAATATAGGGAAACCGAACAAAGGGTTAAAAAAAAAAAAAGCACCCACGAAACCTATAGGTAACTATAGATCTGAGGCTTAAAGCAGGGGAGAGGAAGGAAAAGGGATCAAAACAGGGGTGGAAAGAGCACAGGTGACCACGGTGATGGCTGACAGGTGGTGTAGTGATGGGATATTTATGGTGACTACACCTAAGGGGAGAAATCAAATACCGTACAAAAATGTACAACAATGTAAGAAAAATTAAAAAATAAAGGGTGAAGTAATGATGAAAAAATTTTGTTTTATAGTTTTCCCAATAATCAAAGTCAAACCCACTAACTGGATGACACCAGATGGAAGCTGACGGTGAGTTCTGACAGCAACGTAAAAACGCCGCTACAAGCGAGCTCCGCAAAGACCGTGTATCTAGGATTTACCAAATGCCAGCAACCGCTGAGTGTATTTTCCTTGACGCCTCACTAAGAGAGGCACTATTATCATTCCAATTACAGAGAAGAAAAAACCAGAGTTGCAAGATTCAATTACCCGAGGTCATAGAACTAGTAAGTGATAAAATTAATTCCAAAGCCCGGGGTGTTTCGCTGGCTCCTTATCCTAGTCGAGGAAGTAACCCGGGCCCTACTGCCTTGGGGCGCCCGCTTCAACCCTCACCTGCTCACCTGCTCCGGCTGTGACCCCTCCAAGTCCCAGACCCACCGACGCCGGCAGCACTGCGGGTACCCGAAAGTGACTTCCGCCTCGGTCCCCCAGTTTCCCCCACCGAGTGCTCCACTTTCCCTTTGCAGGTCCATCTGCTTTTCCCGTCCGATTCCGGGCAAGGTATGGCACTGTAGTTCCGGCCGGAGTGAGGCCTCGGGAAGAGCAGCCTAGATCGCGGGGAACAGCCACCTGCGGCTCTTGGTCCACTAGCTTCCCCAGCAGGTTCCGGATAGCGGTAACGCCCCTGCGCCCCCAGGCCCTGTGTCCCCTAGTTTCCGCCTACCCGCAGCCCCTCGAGGGGCTACCCATGAGCTTAGAGGGCTAATTCTGTTAGAATTGCCCCGCCGAATCTTTGGCGACCCACCTTGCGCCCGAACTGCAAACGGACCAGCCCACCTGCCCCGATCCCGCCCAATGGGGTCAGTCGCCCTGCTGGGCTTCTGTTTTATCTTGTGCACATCTCTGTTAAAGCACTTTTTTTCTTAATCTAGAAAACTTAAATAAGGGACCAGGGAAATGAATAACTGTAAGAAAGTGAAAATCAAAATCAACAAAAAACTATGAACCAGAGACACTTTTTGGGGGGAGGGGGGCGGGAGGGGAGGGATTGGGGTCAGAATGGGGGGGTTGCAATTGTATGGGGAATATAAAAATAAATAAATAAATAAATAAATAAATAAGCACTTTTTTTCTTTAAGATTTCCTTTTCTTTTTCTTTATTTATACAAGAGCTGGGATACAGAGGGGCGGGAGGGTGAGAGGATTCACCAGAGACAGAGTGGGGAATAGAACAAGGGGATTGACTGAAATACACTGCTGAGGGGAGCATTGGGCATGACAGGAGAGGTCTGCCGCACCATGTGGGTTTTTCCCTGGCCGGCCGGGATGGAACCCGCGCTGCAGAGGCTGCGGACAGCTTCACCGGGGAGGCCCAGACCTTAAACTATTTTTTTATTTTTTTTTAAGATTTATTTATTTATTATTTATACAAGCACTGGGTACAGTCAGAAGCGCGGGAGGGTGAGAGAATTCACCAGAGCCAGAGCGGGGAGCAGAACAGGCAGAGTGACGAAGTACACTGCTGAGGGGAGCAGCGGGCGGCAGGAGAGGTCTGCGCGCTATGCGGGACCCTCCTCCAGTGGCCGGGGAGCAGCCGGGGATTGAACCGGCGCTGCAGAGGCTGCGGGCAGCTTCGCAAACCAGCGCTCAACCGCTGCGCCACCGGGGAGGTCCCCAGACCTTAAACTCTTAATTGAGATGACCTGGACACCAAAAGAATCCTATAATAACACTGCAAATATACACAGTAATAATTTCCCCAGTCCTTTTCTCAAAGTTCACATACATATATGCATTACTATGTTCAAGTATATTTTTAGATATAGTTGAAAGGAACAGAACACAAATTCATTTAAAATCATTAGTGGGGGCCTCTCCGGTGGCGCAGCGGTTGAGCGCTGGGTTGTGAAGCTGCCCGCAGCCTCTGCAGCGCCGGTTCGATCCCCGGCTGCTCCCCGGCCACCAGAGGGAGGGTCCCACATGGCGCGCAGACCTCTTCTGCCGCCCGCTGCTCCCCTCAGCAGTGTACTTCGGTCCCTCTGCCTGCTCTGCTCCCCACTCTGGCTCTGGTGAATTCTCTCATCCTCCCACGCTTCTGACTGTGCCCAGTGCTTGTATAAATAAATAAATAATCTTTAAAAAATAAAATAAAATAAAATAAAATCATTAGTGAAGCCATAGTAGTTTTTGTCATTTTGCATTTTCTCAAACAATAGATGTTAAAAATATCTCTTCAGTTCTCTGTTGTGGGCTGCATAAAAAGGGTCCTCACAGCATTTTGAAAGTGTGCCTTTTATTTGTATGAATGTAAGCTCTTAAGAGCAGGAATTTTGTTTTGGTTACTACATTTTGTTCAGCATCTAGCTCAGTGGCTGAGCTCAAGCACATAGTAGGTGCTTAATAAATGTGTGGAATAAATACATGCACATGTCAACAAGTTTGTTTGATAAAATGAATGGGTATTTTTCTTCAAGCTTTTCTCTTTATTTTTCTATACTCCCTCCATCCTCTTCCTACTCTACTGTAACCCTCCTCCACAAGGTTTAACAATTATAGTTGACATTTACAGAGTATTTACTCTTTGTTAGAAAGTATTCCAAGTATTTTTTTTCACCTGTGTTAATTCATTTAAAACTTTTCACAGCTCAGGCAGATACTATCATTATCCTCATTTTACTTACAGGAAATATTCACAGGTTGGACTCTCTGGGAAGCCAATTCAAGAAGAATTTTAACCAATTTGAAGAGATATATGTACCCCTGTTCATCACAGCATTATTCACAATAGCCAAGAGTAGAAACCTAAGGGCATATCAATTGATGATTGATAATATGATGTATATACACACAATGGAATACTACTCAGTTATTAAAAAGAAAAAAAATAAAGATGAAATCCAGCCTGCCATTTCCATGGAAGGATGGACCTAAAGGGTTTTATGGTAAGTAAAAAAAAGTATGAAAAGCACTGTATGATTACACTTCCTATGTGGAAGATAAAGAAAGAAAACTAAAAAACAAATAAAAACAAACTCTTAGACTATAAGAACAAAATACTGGTTACCAGAAGGGGGAAGTGAGGTAAAAGGGTGAAGAATGGAAACTAGACCTCTGGTGGTAAACATACTGTAATTTACACAGATGTCGATTTATAAGTTCATATACCTGAAACCTACATAATGTTATAAACCTATGTTTCTTCAATAAAGTTTGTTTTAAAAAGAGGAATTTTATAATACAGGAAGTTTATTCATTGAATTTAGACAATCTCAATATGGACTAACTCCAGTCTATGAATCATTAGAAGACCCCTTGCATAAAGATCAAAATCGAAAGATTTTACTCAAATAAAGAATATACATTTGATTGCAGTTAAGAGTAACTATATTATGGCTTTCTTTTATTAACACATTTAAAGAAGGTCCTCACAGAAGGCTTCACTGTGGCTAGAAATGGGGGAGATGGCCTGGTCATTTTGGGTCTTCTTTGCCATGGTCTCAGTCCCAAGAATATGATGAGAGAGCGATGTCTAGGGATCATATCTTAGGAAAATTCTTTTGGAGTAAAGAGATAACTGGGCCTTATTTAGTTGTTTTCTCTACCTTAATCCTCAACAACTTTTCAAGCTAGCAGCAAACTGGCAAACTGGTCATGTAGGAATGTGCTTAGTTCCTATAGGGATTTCTCTGTGTATGATATTTTCTTTTATTACTATTCTAAGGCATGCACATCTGTGACATGTATGTAAATTTGCTGGAAGAATAAATGTAGACAGTAATGAAGAAGGGAATAGGAGGAAGAACTCACCAGCCTGCCTGGGCCCAGTAATCCCCAGTGAATACTGGAGTCTAACTCCCAAGTTCACTACCAGTATTAAGAACTAGTGGTGTAAAAAAAAAAAAAAAGAACTAGTGGTGGACCCCAAAGGAATTTTGAGAAGAGTTTCAAACTATTATTGCTTATGCCCTTTACCCTATAATTCCAAACCTCACAAAGAAATCTGGAGCTGCCCTTTTTATCAGCTGACCTCATATGCAACAGGTATAAAGACGAATTTATTTCCTTCATACACCAGCTTTCCAAACCTTCTCTCCACTTGCGTTCCTTATCTTGAAGAAGGACCAGCTTGGGGCACCCCCACCCCGGGCGGCGCAGCGGTTGAGCGCTGGGCTGCGAGGCTGCCTGCAGCCTCTGCAGCGCCAGTTCGATCCCCGGCCACCGGCGAGGGTCCCACCAAAAAAAAAGAAAGAAAAAAGGACCAGCTTGATCATCACAAGTTTAGGAAATCCGTTCCCCACTCCTCCCACTAATTTTCAAGCTCTGGGAATTCTAATTTCCAAATTTTCCAGAATTCATCCACTTCTCTCCATTTCCTTTGCCTCTTCTTAGTTCAGGACACCAGCATCTTTCGCCAAAATGACACCAACAACTTACGCGGTTCCCTCGCCACTGCCTTCTAATTTATTGGACACACTGTGGCCAGGATAACGTTTTTTTATCTTAATAAAGTTGCTGTTTAGCTTAAAATCTTTCAGTACCAAAATTTAACCTTCCTAACGCAGCTCGTGAGGCTCTGAACCACGAGTCGCGGCGTGCGCGCCCGGCCTTCCTCTGGCACACCACAGACCCCCGTCCGGCCATCGCGAACTTGCAGCCCCCGGACCCGAGCCCTCCCTGTCCCCGCGGGGCCGCCAGCCCCTCCGTCTCCGGGCAATGCGGGGGCCTCAGCCTCCGGCCTCCAGCCGCGGCCACGCAGCCGGGCGCCCTCGGCGGGCCCACAACCGTCCTCCAGGCGCGCCGCGGCCGCTCCTGACGCCCAGTACCGCAGCCCCGAGCGGCCTCTCGGAGCAGACACAGAAGCGCGCGGCGCGGATCCCGCCCGGCCGGCGGCCCCTCGGGGCTCGGCTCGCCGCGACGCGCTCCCGGGCCCGGAACCGGCCCGCGGGCGGCCCCGCCCCCGCGCTGCGTCGGGGGCGGGGCGGGGCGGGGCGCCGGGCGCCGGCGAACGACCTGCGCCGGGCGGGGGGCGGGGCCAGGGGCGGAGCGGAGCGCGCATGCGCGGTCGCCTTTGTGTGGGTCGAGCGGCGGCGGCGGCGGCGGCAGTGGCGGTCCCCCTGGCAGGCGGGCGGGCGGGGAGTCCGGGCGGCGGCCGGCGCGGGGGCCGCGGCGCCACCATGGTGAAGAAGCGGAAAGGCCGGGTGGTGATCGACTCGGACACGGAGGACAGCGGCAGCGACGAGAACTTGGATCAGGTGAGGCAGGCCGCGGCGGCGCGGGCGGCGGCGGGAGGGCTCGGCGGGCCGCGGGAGCCGGGAGCGCCGGGCCGGGCCTCCCGCCCGCCCGCCCGCCGCCCGCCCGCCGCCCGCGCCCCCGGCCTGGACAGCCCCGGGCCCGGCGCGGGCGGCGGGCGGCGGCTGCAGGGCCTCGGCTCGGGGCCGCGGGCGGCGGGCGGGGAGCCGGGGAGCCCGTCCGCGGCCGGGGCCGGAGGGGCCGGGGCGCGGGCCGGGGCGCGGGCCGGGGGCGCCGGCGCGGGCGGGCCGGGAGGCTCCGAGGTGAAGTTTCTCGGGCCGGGGGTGTGGACCGCGGAGGGGCGCCCGCCCATGTGCCGAGCCGCGGCCGCGCCTGCCGAGCGGGGCTCGGGCATGGACCTCCTCGGGCAGCCGCGGTCGCGGGGCGAGCGTGGTCCTCGCTGGGGTGCCGTGGTCCTCGCTGGGGTGCCGTGGTCCTCGCTGGGGTGCCGTGGTCCTCGCTGGGGTGCCGTGGTCCTCTGGGGTGCCGTGGTCCTCGCTGGGGTGCCGTGGTCCTCGCTGGGGTGCCGTAGTCCTCTGGGGTGCCGTGGTCCTCGCTGGGGTGCTGTGGTCCTCGCTGGGGTGCCGTGGTCCTCGCTGGGGTGCCGTGGTCCTCTGGGGTGCCTTGGTCCTCGCTGGGGTGCTGTGGCCCTCGCTGGGGTGCTGTGGCCCTCGCTGGGGTGCTGTGGCCCTCGCTGGGGTGTTGGGCCGGGAAAGCTCCGGGGAGCAGGCAGGAGGGAGGGCCCGGGGGGAAATACACGGGGCGACACGGAGGAACTGTGGCCGCGGCCTTTGGTCCTTTTCTTGCACGCCCCGCAGTTCTTCCTTCCTCCAGGATTGTGCAGGGACCGTGGAAAGTAACTTTCAGCGTCCGTGCCTTGAGGTTGCTGGAGCTGTTTATGTGCCCTCGTGTACACCGGACTGTCTCTGTACTCTCGGGTGTACTGTCCTATGCGCTGGTGATAACCACCAGGAGACAGAAAGAGGGTTTGCTTCCATGTTCTGTGAATAAATGTTAGAAAAAAAGGATGTGCCAGAGTTGAGTAGGGATCGGAAATTCTGAGTTCTAGGCTGGCCGAGGGTGCTTTCTAGCTGTGCATCTTTGGTCTTAGCTATACAGTCCAGATATGACATCAGCCTCGTCTAATTGGGCTATTATTGTAAGGATCAAGTACTTGTAAGCATTAAATTGGTGCAAGCACTTGCAAAGGAAAGCTTTCGTTTGAGTGACTTCTTGGGAGGGGGGAGTCTTTTGTGTTAGACCAGAGGTCTCAGACTAAAATATTAGGACAGTAAAAAGGAAAGGTTTTTAAGGAGGAGGGCCTGAATATTTGTTGAAAACAGGGCTGTTTTTGAAAATGGTGGTATGGAGTTAGGGCAGTAGTGGGACTAGTGAAGAACTGTCAAAGGAATAGAAATCTCATTTTGGAATAGGCATTATAAATTAAGTTGAAAATCTCATGTGAAAGGCTCCTAAGTTCACAAAACTGAAAAAATATATTCTTGATTGGGAAAGTTTGTTTGATAATTTTAGAGTGATATTTGGGAGGACCTTGTCATTATTATTTTTTACAATTTTACAGTTTTCTGATGTTTCTGGTAATAAATTTACCTGCCATTTAAATAGTGTCAGGGTGAAGTAGTCATCTTATTTATTAAGTTTACATCTTTAAGGTTTCAAATTATGGTGAAGTTGGTATCACTGTATATACAGGGGAAACAGAAGTTGAAGAAGTTCAGTAATTTCCTAGATTCACACAACTTGTATGTGGTAGAGTTGGAATTTGAATCCAGATCTGCATGACTACAGGCCTATATACTCTTTCCATATACCAACCTTTTTTCATCTTGCAAAATAAGAATAATATCTTGTGATGGTATTCCACATTGTTAGAAATCATCTTTGTAAAGTACATTGAATAACTTAAAGGAAATTGGTACATCAATTAAATATATTATTTGGGGAATTCCCTTAGTAAAGCACTGTTAACACTGTTCTGATGACATGTGAACAATGCTGCAAATTATTCTGTCCTTAGTCATTTTCCACAGAATTCTGACAAAATAAATTGAGAGTTTCCTTATTTAGTAGAGATTTTACCTGATCTACAGCTTTTTCAAAGTGAGAACTGGAGGGGAGTGCAACTTTAAACCTAACTCTTCATATCTATTTGTAAAAAAGGACTAAGTATGAAGTGTGTAAGTAGTACCTAGTATACTTTAACAGCAATTTCAACTTCTTCCTCTTCAACCACTCACTGGCATTTTTTTAATTGGATGGGAACCTTATCAAAATTCCCTTCCCCTGTACATCCTACCAGAGCCGCCAGGCCCTTCTAGCTGTTCAGCACTTTGTCAGGCTCTCAGGATTCAAAGAAAAAAAAGTATGCCCTCTAGAAGTTTTCACCAGAGACTTTCAGCAGATATTATCAGCCTGTTGTTTTTGTTTTTGTTTTTGGGGAGGCAGGAGTCTTTAGGAATCTTCAGAACAAAATTAACACATCCTGGACCTTTCCTGCCCAAGATACCTTGGGCTGCCCCAACTAGTTCTCAGTCTTCATTGGCAATATGACATTGTGCTTGCTATTGATTATATGGTCCTTGTGGAAAAGAACAAACCATGACAAATCTCTTGAGTGTCTAGTTGGAGAATAGAGCACAGTTAGTAAGGCGGTCCTTTGTCCTGGGTTTTTCCAGAAGGGGAGCTAAGCCATTATGTCAGAAATATTAGCTCCACCTTAGTCCTTTTTTTTTTTTTTTAATTTATTTATCTTCATCTTCTTCTTCTTCTTTTTTTCATTTTAAAAGGACAGGTTTATTTAGGAAAAGAGAGGGTCCTGCATAGTCATAAGTGGGCAGAGAGCTTCTCTACCTTAGTCCTTAATGCAGGTGAGGCAAGTGAGCCTTCTGTGCTGGTTTTTTCCCTGATGGTGGGAGGAGGACCACCTGTGCCAGAAGATGCTGGGTTGCTTATTTAAAAATGCACTGCAGAAGGGCTCCCACTCCAGACTTAACTGTGTCAGACCCTCAGGGGATGGAGCCCTGGACTCTGCATTTTTACCAGCTATAACCCAGGTACTTATTTATGTTAATGGTTGAGACCAGTCTGCTTGCACGTATTTTCAGACACCTAAGTAGTTTGGGAGAGAAAGGAGACAAAACTGCTGTGTTTTCGCAATGTCCAAAACCATTTGAATTGTTGGGATGCTTTTTCTGAAACCTGTTTTCCTTTCATCTTGATGGGAAGAGGTATGTAGTAACTGAGGCAGAGTAGTTTAACTTTTTCAAAGTTTTGTTGTTTTTTTTTTAAACTCAGACCTCTGAGAATTGGAAAGATTTCTTTTAATTTGTCACCTGGTAATGACCTTTTTTTAAATGTTCGCCGTACCCTTCATCATTTAAAATTGCCTTTGGCACCTCTTGGGGGAAAAATAACACACTTTGAGGTAAATCTTTAGGCTCCCCTCTATTATGTACTGGAATGGAAATAATTTATATCATTATATCTTTATGGAATACTATTTATGCAGTGGGTTCTATAAAATGAAAGGCATCTAAATTAATGAAGAAGCCAGAGTTTTGTAAAACATTACTCTGCCTTTCTAAAAAAAAAAAGTGAGGGCCTCCGTGGTGGCACAAGGGGTTAAGATGCAACCTATGAAGCTGTCCATAGCCACTGCACCAGGAGTTTGCTCCCCAGCCAGGGAGCAACACACACGGCACAGCAGACCTCTCCTGACTCGCCCGCTGCTCCCCTCAGCAGTGTGTTCCAGTCAGTCTGCTTGTTCTGCTCCCTATTCTGTTTCTGGTGAATCCTCTCACTGCCCCTCCCCATCTCTGGCCTGTACCCCAGTACTTATATGCATAAATAAATCTTAAAAAAAAAAAGATTGAGCTACATTCATACTGGGATGCTTTATTTCATAATTTTTCATTTAAAATGGTGATTATATTGTCATATCCTGTTTTTGTTTTTGGTTTTTTTTTTTTAAGATTTATTTATTTGTACAAGCACTGGGTACAGTCAGAAGCGCAGGGAGGGTGAGAGAATTCACCAGAGCCAGAGCGGGGAGCAGAGCAGGCAGAAGGACCAAAGTACACTGCTGAGGGGAGCAGCGGGAGACTGGAGAGGTCTGCGCGCCATGTGGGACCCTCCTCCAGTGGCTGGAGAGCAGCTGGGGATCGAACCGGCACTGCAGAGGCTGCGGGCAGCTTTGCAACCCAGCGCTCAACCACTGTGCCACCGGGGAGGCCCTGTCATAGCCTGTTTTCCTCTATTCTTCAGTAGTTAAAAGTTTATCTTTGGGAAAATAGACCCCCTAAGTATTTTCTAGGAAGTATTTTCAGACATTATTTGGTTTGTTTGTTTGTTTGTTTTTAAAGATTTATTTATGCATACAAGAACGGGGTATAGGCCAGAGGTGTTAGGGGTGAGGATTCACCAGAGACAGAGTGGGGAACAGAACAGACAGATCAACTAAAATACACTGCTGAGGGGAGCAGCAGGCAAGTCAGAGAGGTCTGCTGCACCATGTGGATAGCTCTCTGGCCGGGGATTGAACTTGTGCTGGAGTGGCTGCGGATAGCTTCATAGTGCTGAGTCTTAACTCCTTGTGCCACCAGGGAGGTCCCTTCAGACATTAGTTGTGGAAAAAAAAAAAAGTGTTACAAAGTATCCTTCCATAAACCTTCCACATAAAAGTTGGAAAGTTTTGAAAGTTGTGTTTGTCATTAATATGGTCTTCTTTGTATTAATGAGAACAAAGTTTGGTCTAGGATGAACTTGTTAGAAGTGTCAGTGTTAACTTGTGAAGTTTTAAATTTGTGTCATAATGTTGCATCTAGCGTGATGTAACATTTGCTATTTCACACAACTTTTCTTTATAGTGTCTGTAGTGCCAGGAAGATTGAGTCCCATGGGAGTTTTAGCAGAGCGATTTAGAAAAAATTCAAAATCCATCTTT